AACCGAATATATATGTTAAAATGTGTTTACCTTGTGGATGCTTATAATATGACAGTGTTTCAAAGGTCAATATTGCTGTCAGTAGAGAACGTCTTAAACAAGGCCAGTTTCAAAGGTAAAATATGCTGCTGGTACTCTGAGAACCAGGTCAGTTTATGAGGCCTGGAGTATGCTTTTGATAGGGAACCAGGTCAGTTTCACAGGCCGATATTCTGCTTGTAGAGAAGCAGGCAATTTACACAAATATTCATAGAATCTGACGAGACTATAGAATGTAAGCTGATATTTTAGACAACTTGACGTATAGTAACAATAGCTACACATAGATTGAAATTAAAGCAGGATAATCCCATCACATAGATTCAACAGGAAAAGAGATAAAAAAATATTTATACATGTATTTTGTTATTCTATGAACAAAAAAACCCCTAACATTGAACACAAAATGCTGGACCGTGATTCATGATTTACTAAGGTTTTTGAATTGCAAGAGATTATTTTAAGATATTCTGATATATTGTTTAAGAAGTTTCAAATTCTGATTTTAGGTGCTCTACCTGTTTATTGTTTTTTTCTACATTAAGCTTTGAATCACATGAAACTATAATAAAATTTGTCATTTGACTTTGAAATTTATATTAAGTTTTATTAGCTCAAAGGGAGCTTACTCATGAGATATCTAAGTGTTTTGTAATAATGACCCTTTGATTGTAAATTTACTGCTCAGCAGATGGTTATTATATTATTATTTGTTCACACTTATGCCCTCAAGGTCCATGAGTTTTGTTAATAAATAAATATTTTTTAAAGAATACCAGTATGTTCTTATACATTTAATTGCAGTTATTTGGCAGATATTATTATTTTACGTGAGTCTTTTCTTGATCAATGTCAAAAAATCTGTCTTATAAGTTTTTAGACAATAATTCCCAAATATGAATCACTAAAAAATAAAATTCATACTGAATATTTTTCTGATCTATGGGATGTAAAATATGAAAAATAAGATCAACAAGAAAGGGCATCATTCAGTGAACTCATCCCTCAAACCACTTACACGTTTCATTTTTAGGGGAAAATTTCTAAATATTGTTTGACTGAATAGCAAATAGTGCAGACATTTAATGACTGAATACCAAATAGTGCAGACATTTAATGACTGAATAGCAAATAGTGCAGACATTTAATGACTGAATAGCAAATAGTGCAGGAATTTAATGACTGAATAGCAAATAGTGCAGACATTTAATGACTGAATAGCAAATAAATTGCAGACCATGAGGATTTGGCAGCACTGATGTTCTGGATGATCTTGGTCTGCACTGGTTGTATTGGTAGAATATGCTGGTACCAGCAGGCTATAAAGGTTTATTGTATACTTTAAGAAATGGATTTAATTCTGAAAAGTTCAATATATTTTTGCTCTATGATACATATTTTGAAGCTTCGCTGGGAACTAAAATTACATCAGGAGGTGGGCCTATAGATTTGATGTTGTCAGTCTGTCACTGTCAGGAGACTGGTAAACAGTACAATGTTGGGGCATTCTGTGTTTATATGGACATATTTCTACTTAATAGGCTGTTAATTGCTGCTAATTGATGTAATTATCTAATGTGGTTGGTGTGCTACATACTTTTTACATTGTTATCAGATATGCAATATACTGTTTTACATTTAAAAAAACTAGCATGAATCAGTTAATAAGAAAGACAGTCCTAATTTTTCACCACTTGGTCAAGGTCACCTGTAACCAGGTAAAGTTACATTGCTTTGTATACCAATATAAAAGGTATCATACATATCTGGTGAAATGTAATTTGATAGACTGTTCTTTTTGCTCTATATAACAGAACAATTGAAAAAGGGTTTACATTTTGTAGAATCAGTTAATTGAATGTCAAACCTTGGATCAATTAAACTTGCAGTAAACTTGATATGTGATTGGAGTAATGATTAGGTAGGTTTAAGACACCTTGTAAACCTGTTTAGCTCTCTTACAACAAATATAAATATGGAGTTGTCAGTGTAAGAAATTAGGATTTGAATCAACTAGGCTGGTCGGACTACCAGATTGGAATATTCGCTAGCCCAAAAGACATTTCACTAGCACGACTCATTTGTTTATATTGCCTCTGAAAATACAGTAGCCTGGTTGGGCTTGTTACTGTGAAAAGTTGGCAGCCCCAAGGAGAAAATAAGTAGTCTGGGGCTATAGGACTACTGCTAATTTTGAACACTGAGTTGTTAAAGGAACTGACCACTTGAGTCCAAAAACCTTAAAGCATAAAATCTGAATTAATTACATAGATCAGCTGGGGCACTTAAAACATAGATATACATCATATGATTACCGGTAAGAAATATACTCTAAAATAAACTGAAAATCATATTTTTGTGCAATTCTCAGCCAGATTTCTGTTCAAAGCATTCCAAGGCTTTTAAATTTTGTGTCGTTTTTCACAGTAGAATATTTTTTCTGGAAAAATGGCGTGAATAAACGATTTGAAATTTTGCACACATATTATTTGTCTAGACCAACATCAAATGGAACATGAATCTCGATAAGTTATCTTCAGTCCCTTCATGTAAAAACATGTCAATGGTGTCCCTTTAATTTTCAATATAATGTTCTATGATAATGTCTAATATTGTGATGTGTAAAATTTACATTAAAATCTAAGTATGATTTAAGGTTTTTAGATTTATAATAAGGTCACCAGAACCATTGTATAGTTTATTGGCCTTCTGTCAAATATGAACTCGACCATTTTTGGCTCAAATTAGAATTTGGTGTGAACTTTGTGTATAATTAGCTAAGCACTACCTGTCCTATATATGATAAGTTAAGAATTGAACAATTAGTCATAGACACAGACACTTGAGGTTATTTGTGTCCATGTGCACTTGTTGTATACAATTGTACATGTAAATCACGGCTTAATTTAATTTGCAAATTTTTTTGCATATTATAAGGACCTGGTCACATGCCTTGAACATAAAACTTGTTATTTTTTGCTATTTGGCAACTCCATAATATATCACAATTTCAAAGGAAATTGAAGTGTGGGTAAAAAGATCACTTACATGTTAGACAGTAGAGCATGTCATAACAATATGTTAAGGCAGGTACTTGCAAAAAATAATGGTTTCAATTTTTGATATTCAGGGGCGAAGATGGGCTGGGGCTACAATTCAAGTATCTGTGGTCATACTTTTAGGTGCTTGACTATTGGTCGAATGTCCTTACATGTACAGGTACACATATAGCTTAGTTATTTGAAATAGATTAAAGTTAAATCTAACTTAAACTAGTAATCAAGTGTGAAGGAACTCAGTTTGATAAAACCGTTACCAAAATATCAGTCTGCATGTTAAGTGAATCACCTTTAATATCTTTGTGCACAGTTAATACACTCAGATCACAGATAATGTACGTATATGTGCAAAGTTTAGAGAGGAAAAGGTTAAGATGTCAAGTTAAAGAACATCTTATTTAAACAGAGACATTATATTTGGCCCACATTATCAAATTATAAATGTTAAATAAATATTACTTTGGGTTCAGGTATTCTAAGATTCTGATATGTAAGAAAAGTAGAAAAGGTCAGGAAAGGGAGCTGGATCTGTTTGGGGGTGGGGGGGTTCTTCAGAAAAAAGACAGTGATATTATATGAAAATTTCAGACTCTGAATTTGATTGAGTCTGTTTTCATGAGAAATAATTATATAAAAGTCCACACCCTCTGCCTCTTTTTTCCTGTATGTATATTCATAATTATGTAAGACATTGGAATGTTATGGGTAATGTAAAAGAAGTCAAGGTTGTTATGATACAGGACGTGAATTTATGATAAAATAAGGATGTTAAAGATAATAAACGGGTATTAATTGTTTAGACACATTAGTCCAACTATCTTATTATCAATATCACATATCTGATTTGAAATATTGATTATTTAAATTAATTACAAGTTAAGTTGTACATAATACTTTATATCAATGTCCCTTACAACTTGACACAGATTAATTTCTTGTTAATATTTTCATTGCAATTATTTTTGGTAATTTTTACATACATCTGTTCTATTTTATCTTTTGCTTTATATTTATTGCTGTACATGCTGTAAAATTGAATTCGGAAAAAAAGAGAGAGAAAAAACAACAACAGAAATTTAAAATTGATAGTTAAAAATATTATCCATAGATATAGAACAAGGTAACCTAAAATTTCACAGCCCATGAAACATGTGCAATTCTCCACTGACTTTATATAATGAACTTGTCCTGTTTTGATTTTGGAATTGTCCATTGTTAGACATAGGTATATCAGGATGAAAAAAACAAAACTAAGGTATTGCATTTGTTTTTGTCACATCGAGCTTGTATTCTATACTGGCCAAGTGGCAGTCAGTTAATACTGCGCGAATGACCGAATTTATTCTGGGCGAGTGACCGAGTGAGTGGCAGCTTTTTCTAGTTCAAGCGTTGTAAGCCATCAAGGCATTTACAGCACAAATATACATGTATAATAGCTTAAATGTTTATTTTTAGACATAAAAACAGAACACAATGTTGATATATAGAACACTGATATCTTTCCACTGGTGATACTATTTCTTTGTTAGTTTATGTGCAAATAAAACCTGCAGTACATGTACCTAAATCTTTGATATTAAAGTTGTAGCTGCCTTTATAACATTTTGAACAAATTGCGAATTTGAAAAAAAAAAGGAATGAGGATATTTAAATTTTCTTTTTGAGTTTGTTTAAAAAGTGGTTGTGTTATTTGGATTCATAGATACATGTGGAATAGTGTTGTTTAAGGAAAAGAAAAAAAAAATGCAATATATTGATTAAGTCAGTCAGTTGATTTTAAAAATGAATTGAATTGATTTTTTATACGTTTTTGCAATATATACATGTATGGTATTTTAAGACATATTGTATTTTATGGTATGACACTGTTGTCGGTCAAAAACATCAAATATAAATCTTTCAAACAAAAGAGTTATTAATATTCCACATTGCTCTAGATTTGTGATCTCATATGAAGGAAGATTAGTGTAGAGAAAAAACAAATTTACAAGTCATTATTTCGTTTCATTGTAACCATTATACTGGCAGATAATATTAAATAGAACATGGATACATTATAGAAAATGGAAAACAGTGGTAGGGGTTGTTTTATTTTTCTCGTTTCATAATTTATTTTTCTCGCTTCATAATCTATTCATCAGTGAAATCTCTCTCTTAACTTAATAAGTCTGTTGAAAACTGGATAAATGTTTTATAGAACTTTTCGTTATCCGTGGGCCATGTAAAACCTGAGCAATTTACCAGTTTGCAATAGATATGAAGTCTTGAATTGAAATACAATGTAGAAAAGTTTAAATATGTTGGGGGTGTAGAAAATTCTTTAGAAAGAAACATTAATATTTGTGTTATTTAATTTGTACACAGGCATGTATTTTGTAAATTATTAGTTATTTCTGACTATAATGATTACCTTTTATTTGTACATCTGAAAAATGTACATATGATGGGACGACTTTGTTACCAATTCGTATAGATGACTTACTTAAGACTCTTACTTTCTTTAATTTGAATATTATCTCATTCTGGGACTGCCTTTAACTGCCTTTAAATAAAACTTTGCAACCAACATATTTCTTTACATAATTGTAATATAATCGTAAACTTTTATGATAACAATAATTTATAACATCTATGAATAGTTTGTTATATTGAAGGAACATAACAGGAAAAGTTTTGTCATCATGATTTCAAATTTTTTTTTTATTTTGGGTTATTTATCAGGTATTTTTTTAAAATTTGCTGCTAGTCTCAGGACATGAAATATAAATACTAGCATTAATAATGCTTGCATTAATTATGTATTTATTGGCTTCAGTAAGTCATAAGTAGCATAAAGTAAGCAATTACACATATGCTGGCATATAATATATAAAGTATTACTTGCATTATGTAAGCTATTAAGTACATTTATACTGGTATTGAAAAATTAATGGTTTAAGTAAGTCATTACTGGCATTAAGGTAGTTTGTAAATTACCATTATATTGTTAACCTACACTAGTAACTTGATTGAAGAACATTATATGGTTTCAGTCCAAAGTATTTGATTGCTTACCAGTACAAATAAGTTAATAAATTCAGCATGAAATTTACAACTATCATTTTACATGTGTACAGAAAAGAAGTGAAATATTAGAAAAAATGTATTACTAAGAAAAAAACTTGTTAATGGCACAGTTTGGAAGGCACAACTTTAACATTTTCAGTTTAAACTATTAACATGAATTAGATAAACTATTTGCATATAAAAATTGGGGGGAAAAAAGTGTGAAGATTATTTTCTAGTTGGTCTGATTAAAACTCTAGAAAAATAAAAATGGTTGGTAATTTTACCATACACAGATACAGGTCAAAATATAGCAACAACCTGCTTTGCATGGTTTGTTTATATCACTTAACCAGAAGTCATTTACCGTTTAAAGTGGATTTGCCTACAATGGACACATTATTCATGCATGAATGGATAAAAAAATATAGAAAAAAATCATTTTGCTAATCATATAAAATATCTAATGTAAAATGTTCTAAGTGATTTAGTATGCAGCTATGCTTGGAATATTATTTTGTGATTCATGAATAATAATATTATGTTCTAGAATATTTTATTATTTGCTAAATAGGTATAATATAGATACATGGGTATGTCATATGTGATCACGTTTCTCACACTTACATGTACCAGCAACATCCATGTAAATTTTTTTGTGTGGTTTGTTGTTACGTAAATACTTAAAATCAACATAACTATTAACCTGTCGATCTGCCATTATGGTCTAATTCACTAACTATTTGAAAAGTAATTTAAAGTATACAACATTAAACAACAGTATTCTAGTAATTAGAATTATATGAGTTGATTTTATGATTATTTACAGATCATACCTGTTTTGAGCTGAATTGTGTATATAAACAACAATGGTTTCATGGGTTCGATTAATTCCTCACACCGACGGCGTAGAATGAGCAGTTCTCTTGACGTCAGCTCATCGCAGCGTGAAGATCTAGGTACACATCAAGAGGGGGCAGAGGGTGGCAATGGAGAAGAAGTTGCAGATAGACACGTAGAAGAGGATCAAGCTGACAGCGATCACCACGATTTATCTTCCATCCTGGCGTATCTCATTAGAAGGTAGTTGTATAATTATGATAGATATCGCCCACTGAATTTTAACGAGTTAATATATCTATTATAAAAACACACGTTATCATGATATCAAATTTAATATCAATTTATTTGATGTGTATAACTGGTACAAGCCAAAAGGTTATTTTTTTCTGAGTTCTTTTTCAAATCTGAGGGTTTCCATTGGTCAATAAATATTCAATGGTAGTTTTTAACCAAGAAATACCTAAGATCTGAGATCAATTTAGAGATTTATTTTTTTTAAAACCTTGACCCAGGAATACAAAATGACCAGATAACTGACATAATTATAGTATTATTTCGAGAGGGTAAGAGATTTAACGGTTATTTAAGAGTGTTTCTTATTAGACATTTCTATCTTAAACAGACTTCGTAAACAGACTTCTTAATACGGAATAAATTGGGGGATTTTCTCAAAACATAAATGTGTGGAAAATAAGATGAAAAGATACAAAAATCCAATTACAATGATGAATCCAAAGATACAAATTTTGATACAAAAATTACAAACATTAAAATCTGACATCAAGATTAGATCAATATTAAAGGAAAGTGTTTTATGTAATGTCGAAAGAAAGGTGTTAAAATGGACTCATTTGAAATAGCATGAAATAAAAAGAAAATTTGTTTTGATAATTGTAATTTCACTTTTTAGCACCAGTTCTTACATTTTCACTTAGGGCTATGCCAATCATGAAAACAGTACATGTACATCTCAGATCTGATTAAATCACAGCAATCTCAATTTTTATATTGGCAATATGATTGCAAAGTTACTAGATCTAAAGCATTATTAAAAAGTTTTCACCATCACACTTTTCATAATTTCATGAAAAATTATGTTAATTTTGAACAACACATATGGAGCGCTTAAAATAAATTAATTTGAAGAATATTCTATTCTTTGTAATTTCTAATTTAAATGTATATCCATGATTTTGTTTTTTATATGATTATAAATTTAACGAAAGGTTAAATTTTCACACCTCTTAAAGTCTGACTTTATTGACCTGTCAATTATGAATACATTATAGCACTTACTTAAATAAGTCTTTGATCTCACTTCTGTTCTATCTGTGTATAGTTTACGAGAATTTATGTGAAGAGTATAACAAATGTTTTGAAAAAAAACACACTAGTTTAATGTACAGGTCGTCGCTACATCTGCAATAGCATAGTTGGTTGAGTGATTGCCTAATAAACAAGAGGTCTGTGGTTCGATCCATAGTGTTGACATTGTTTTATGAGGAAATCTGTTTTGTGTCAATTTGTACTGTGTTTAACGGCATTGAAATGGCATTTATTGATTTTAATTCAGATGAATTTTAAATATATGAATTTTAAATATCAATTCTTAATTAAACCAAGTTATTCAAAAAGAGCATAGACTTTACCAAAATAAGTGCAAAACATATTAAAACAAAATGGACAACATACAAAACAATCATAGTTTCAATAATGTTGAAAATATAAATAAGAGAAAAAAAAGCATGGACCTACTCGGTTTCAATCTTACAACAATTATAGAAGATTAAGAAATTATAAACCCATAGTTTATCCTATTTAAGAAATAATATATCCCAAACTGTGATTTTATTGCTCAATAACATCACTCTTTGGAGTTTGGATGCGGGAATTACATCACGAGGGCGTAGCCCGAGTGATGTAATGATGCGCATCCGAACGACAAACAGTGATGTTATCAAGCAATAAAATCACCGATTTGGATATATTATTTCGATTCTAACATGACATCAACAAATAAATGCTGCCGTACATGATAATTAGCTAAATTGCGCCTGATTTGTTTCCGTACTTATTGTCAGCGCATCACATTATTATAATTTTAGTGGTTACGTCACGTGTATAATGATTACGTCTAGAGGTGCGCGGTTTAACCGGTATACCGGTAAACCCTGGTCCGAGACATCTGTGGTACGTACCGCGGTACAGACCTGGAAAACCGGTACTATTAGCTCTAATTTAAAGCAATGACAGATCCGTAAAATGTACTAAATTAAAAAACTTTTTCTGTTGTATATGTTAATGTTTCTTTGAGTTAACCTTTTTACAAACAACTTTCGCTGACTATTATCATTCTTCGATAGTTCTTAGTGAAAATTGAATGCTTTATCGATTACCGCATGTAAGCCAGAATTGTCGACTTGCATGATCTCAGTTGAAGAAGCAAGAATTGTCGACTTACATTTACTTGTCCAAATATCGTTTATTTGATACGAAAACTAATCGTAAAGATTGATAATTCATGAGGGCATTCCTTTCACCCATTCCTTGCATAAAATTAGGGTGTTACTATTTTAAGTATTTATATAAATAGCGACCAATCAGGCTTAGGGGTTTTCCTTACGTCACGCACTTACTGCATGCGCATGGCAATTAACTAATTATAGAACGGCGTAGAAACTGGATTAAAAGTAATGTTCGTTCAACTAATGAATATTAATAAAGCAGTAACATGGTCAGCTGTTTTCTATGTGATAATTTTAATTTGCTTTTGGGGTACATGTTTGTTTTGGTTTTTGACACAGATTAATTAAATACTTAGCCCTTGCAATAAAAAAATTACAATAGCAGCTGGGACTCTGTTATAAAATTAACCGACAAATAAATATTTGTCATCGGCTAACGTGCATTTGACCTATTATTTTATTAATCAATAAGCAATAAAAACATTTTATTTTTCCATTTTAACTATGCAATTTATATAACAGTTGTTAAATGTTGAAAGAGACCAATAGGCCTATGTAATAAAAAGAAACAACAAGAACTGATCCATGACCCAATTAATTTATGATTGTCAACATGCAAAAGTACCTGATTGAAAAAAGTTAAATGATGCTTTGATTAATCTGTATTTTATAGATCTGCTTAAATTTAATATTTGAAATTCTATACCAGCCTACCTTGATACTTATTTTAGGGATAAAAATTAACATAAAGCATACAATGAAAATCCGTGGTATACCGCGGTTTATACCGTGGTTTTTAGGAAAAAACCGTGGTATACCGTGGTATTTTCTTTCTGGCGGTACCCAACTCTAATTACGTCACATGTCTAAATATAGAACGTCAAACAGTGATTTCATAGCATAATAACTCACACTTTCGGTTCTTCTATGTTGAATAGGGAAAAATGCGGGTCGTGTTAGAATGTGGTATAATGCTCAGTATAATTATTTCATAGACACAAATTAAATTAAATCCTATCTTACTTTGTATATGTATATGTCACGGAACTTAATATATTGTGTGCATTGGCAGTATAATCAGTATGCAATTGACAGGTTAATAAAATCTAACAAAGCCTGTGATGATTTTGGTTTCATGTTATTTTTGTATTACATGTATATTAGTTATAACTGTGGTATATTTAATTTACATAAAGAAAAGCTAATGTTGTATGTCTGATCACTTACAATTAATTTACGATACTCATAATACTCATAATTTATAATTAGGTCGTAAGATTTCTTTTTATTGCCTTGAAACTTTACATTCTGTTACCATGATGTAAATGTAAAGTAAATTATATTCCTACATAGTTGATTTATCACCTGTAACAACCTAGAACATTGGCTTTTATCTAGTACAAACCACAATAGTGCTTATAAAATTCTATATATTGACCTTCCTACTTTAGTTTAAACCAATGAAAGTTTCATGTGACGTGCATGAGATAGTTCTGTGATTTAAATCACTATAGATTGTAACCAAGTGGATTTTAAATAAAAAATGGTTAATTTCAGCCACACCTATTAAAGATAAGAGATTGGCAAGCGTTTGCATAAAATGTTCCTAGTTACATCAAATATGCCAAAACACTTGTACATGTTTACCAGTATATATACAGTGTATGTGGTTGTATGAACTTTGTCTAATAAATCTATCATATATTTACAAAACATTAATGTAGTGTTTGCATTGCTTAAAATCTAAGATTGCTTTTGTAATTGTGATGTAATATGCAAATTGAAATATAATGCGTTTTAAAAGTACAAATATAGGAAGCAAGCTTACTGGTATTTAAAAATAAAAATTCAGTTTTGGCTCAACTATTTGGTAAATAGGAAGGTCTGTTGTGCTCACAAAGATGTTGGTGTCCACATTAATATAACAGGTCGCCTTTATTGATATTTGTTTGTGCCCCCCCCCCCCCTCAAATAAGTAGGGGTATATTGCTATATTGCTTTGCATTTTTTTGTACTAACTACTTTTTAATGAATTTTGAATTTTGAAACAGTCATGTGAAAATTATTTATGAGAATGTGAAAATTATTTATGAGAATTAATCATGCATGTAGTTATACAGACAAAGGTCATAACTCAAGTCAGATTTTGACACAATTATACCCCTAATTATATTCTGCGAAAGGCAGTGACTTGCTGATTTAGTATTGTTCCTCAGTGGATGTTCATCATTTTGTCTGTCCGTCTGACATCCGGTGGTCACAACTTGATTAGATCATAAAACTTAAAATATTTCTTGGTAGAAACCTTAAACTTAAATATGTTGTTATATTTTATTGACAAGCAATGCAATGCTTTCTTTCGCAAAATTTAAGAGTAATAAGCCCTTTGAAATTTTCATTCTTAATTTTAGTCTGGGGCATAACTCGAAAAGAATTGGAGATTTCAATTTGAAACTTCATAAATAGTTAGATCATATTAAGGAGAAGAGAAGTTGATGAGCTTTAACTCACAGAGGTATAATCTCGGAGTTATTGTCCCTTGCATGATTTTCATTCTTGATTTTAGTGCAGGGTATATATAACTTGAAAAGTATTGCAAACATTAACTTTTTTTAGTGAAATATCAAATTTTTCAGTTTCATAGATCAATTAACGCAAAGCACACTGTTTTTGAACCATTAATCTTTCATAATTTTAGAATTATTGACCTCAGTAAACTATTTTGGCATTAAATTCTAGAACAAAATTGAAGAAATATAAGAAATTAACTTAAAGGAATATGGATCTCATAAAGGAAATTTATATTTCCAATAACATAATTCTTTGTTTTTACATAATTTTGGTGTTATATATTAAATTATATCAAATTTAGTCAGAAATCTATCAAATAATTGGGTCGCAATGGGTAAACTTAACATGACCTTCAAAATAGGTACAAATATAGTAAAATCTAGAACAAACGATGTGAAAATAAGAAATAGAACACTGTTTTGTAATATTGTAAAACTTCAAATTGCATTGGGCAGATAAACTTGAGGAAGTTAGGTCATACTTATGATAACAGTATTTTAGTAAATTTTTGCACTTGTTATATCTTAATGTTTACTTTTCCTCCTATAAAGTATGTCCCACAGTCAATTATACCAGTCACATAATGTTGTTATGGAAAGTCAATGAATGCATTTATAGAGTAAACAAAATAAATAATTCTGCTTGCAATTAAACATGACTATATATCTGTTGAGTGGTCTTAATACCAAACCATTGATAATTGCATGTACATGTAACAGGTTCTTTCTTATATTATAATATAGAACATGTTTGATGCGAAAGTTTGGCTTTAAGATGTGAGATAAACATTCTGTTATTAATCTCATTCAAACCTCAAATCATGCTTACCTCACTTTATTCCAACCTCACTTCATACTAACCTCACCTTATTTTATCTTCATGTCATTCTAACCTCACTTCATGCTAACCTCAATTTATTCTAGCCTCCCTTCTTTCGAATATTCAATTTATTCTAGCCTCCCTTCTTTCGAATAAATTAGAGAAAATAAGAATCCCTAAAGAAAGTCCAACACAACATAATTGAAAATGTTGCAGGCTCGGTTTGATTCGAAACTTTACTTCATTCTAACTTCACTTCATTCTAACCTCGCTCTATTCTAACCTCAGTTTATTCTAACCTCTTTGATTTCTAACCTCACTTCATACTTATAAACCTCATTTCTTTCTAATCTCACTTCATTTTTTAATTGTTAACAGTTAACTATCACTGATATCATAACTATCCTTCCCATTACCAACTATTCCCGTAATTAACTTATCCTGTTACCAAATTCAACGCCAGTATTTCTACTTGAACTCATCACTTCCATCAATCAGCAAAACCTTATTTCATCCTTATTTCCTCCCTTTCTGCCTGCCTGCCTTTCCCATTGCCTGTCTGCCTTTCCCCTGCCTGTCTGCCTTTCCTGTGCCTGCCTGCCTTTCCCCTGCCTACCTGTCTTTCCCACTGCCTGCCTACCTTTCGCACTGCCTGCCTGCCTTTCCCCTGCCTGCCTTTCTCCGGCCTGCCTTCCTTTCCCAATGCCTGCCTTAATCCCTTGTCTGCTTGCCTGCCTTACCCTTCAATGCTCATGTTACTCTTACACAGATCCTTATTGATTGTCTTCTTTTACCAACATAAAGCTAACAGATCATATTGAACAAAAATAGATGTGCGCGTTGTGTTTGCAGTGGCCAGGTGCGGATCTTGAGGTCGGACGATAGAGGGGACAGTTACTCTGATGACGAGGAATTTTGTGAGGAACAGAGACTCCCTGCTGGTGAGTACATTATCTTCTCTACTGGTTTCCTAGCAGTTTCCTGCCACAAACCACACTTTTTAACAAATAAAATAAAAATCAGTCTAAGGTGGGGTACAAAACTTTGGCATAACAAAGTTAGGTACGGTACCTGTCCAGCATTGCCATGTGTTTAATGTTGCACTTTCATTTTACTTTTTAATTTGAATATAAGCCTGAACTGTGTGATATTCAGTCGATACATGTACATGTATTCAAAGTAAAAAAAGGTCCGAAAAACTGCTATGAATTTTTTAATAAAAGTGAAAAAAGGTGTTACATTTCAGGCTTATATTCAAATTAAAAAGTAAAATGAAAGTGCAACATTAAACACATGGCAATGCTGGACAGGTACCGTACCTAACTTTGTTATGTCAAAGTTTTGTATTGATTGATGAAGTAATGTTGATGCCTCACTGGTAAAAATAGACTGTACATTGGACGAAAATGATAAACCGCCGGAAAACTGCTAGGGGACAGAAACTGCTAGGAAACCAGTAATTTTCCTTATTTTACTTACAACAATTGATACTATCTCAATTGTTTTGAAATTTAATAGGTTTATTCCAAAAAAAAAAAAAAATGGAATTTCAATTTTTTTTTTATAGTGTACCATTTGGCATAGTTTATAATTTAGTGCATTAGTTTGTTAAATTGTTGCAGAATGAATTTATTTCCAATTGAAACAGAGTGAATTCAGTTACAGTTTTTGTTTAATTGCTACAAAGTGAACTGCAATGTAGTTTACATAGTTGAATTTTAACAAATTGAACTTGTTTACATTTTTTTTTTTTTGAATTGTAACAATGTGAACTTGTTTACACTGTTTTGTGTATTGTAACAAAGCAAACTTTTTTACACTGTTTGTTGAATTCTATGAAAAATAAATTAGTTTGCACTGTTGAATTGCAGCAAAGTGAACTGGTTTTTCACAGTTTGTTGAATTGTAACAAAATGAACTAGTTGATATTTGAATTGTAACAAAGTGAACTGGTTTACACTTTTGCTGATTTTTGTAATAAAGACAAAAAGTGAACTCATTTACACTTTTAAACTGCTACAAAGTGAACTTGTTTACATTCTCTCCTCAGTTGCAACAGATTTTTATCAAACATTTGACAAATTCTTTTTTTCGGACATTAAATTTTATAAAAAGCAATGAAAGCTATGCAGTGAAATGAATTGTCATGATTTTATTCAATTTCAGTGGACCCAAATCCAGACACTACAAGAATTATGGTAAGAATTTTATTAATATAAGTTACCTGATGTTATTTGGACTGGAAATGTTTTGTTTTAAAATTAAGTAAAGGTGCACACTTAAAAATTTATTCTGTAGTTGACTTCTATATTCATGTTTACATTAACAAATGAGCCAGGTCATGACAAAACCAACGTTATGCGTTTGTGACCAGCATGGATCCAGACCAGCCTACTGCGCGGATGCGCAGTCTGATCAGGATCCATGCTGTTCGCTTACAAACCGTATAACAAGTATAGAAACTAATAGCGAACAGCATGGATCCTGATCAGACTGCTCGGATGCGCAGGCTGGTCTGGATCCATGCTGGTCGCAAACGCATTATGTTGGTTTTATCATGACACGGCTCAAATGTTTCTAATACATACCAAGCAAAAGACATGTTTCAAGTTATAGAAAGTATAGCACAGTGGTAAAGATTTTGTTAGGATTGTTTCCTTAACATAACAAAAAGGTTATTGAACTTCTCTTAAATTTACTGTTTCTGCTGAAATGCATGTTTCAAGTTAGTTTTGTTACCTTAATTTCCTGTTTAAGAAACATAAAGAAAAGGTTCTTGAACTTCTTAAACTTTCTATAATAACATGATAGTTATATTAACATTTTTTTGCAAATTAATGGGATGATACTGAATTTAGCACACCTGAGTTCATCTTTCTCATAGGTGAGGTTTTGTGACAGTCATTCATTGGTTGTGACCTACATATCTTAAAACAATGTTTTCTAAACCACAAAGTGGATTTTGACCAAACTTCACAGGAATGTTCATTATAAAATATAATATTGATACAGTCGACTCCGGTTATAACGAACTCAATGGGACATTAAAATATCGTTCGTTATATCCGAAGTTCGCTAAAAGCGAAGTAGCAGCAACTTGCTGACTTGTTTGGATGGGGAAATTTGCCGTGAAAAAGCCATACTCTTCACTGGTTACCGATGTAACCGGTATTTTACTTCAGCGGTTATTTAATGCGGGGCATTTTATTGAGCAATATATCATGTACATGGTACAAGTATTTATTCATGTATTAATTGTCTATAAAGTTCTTACCATTTGTTTTCTTTGTTTATTATCGTTTGGTTAATATTGCAAACAAAAAAATTGATTATTTGGCAATTATCGGGTATTTACAGCAATCAACTGAGGGTGTGAAATACAAATTTTCCGTAACAAGTAGGAAATTATATAGTGTGAACATCTTATCAAAATCTTTATTCCCTGAAGCCATAACTAACTTGTGCAATCATTCGATTGTTTAATTATCGGATAGCGTTATTCATGTACTGATCCTAATCGAGCGCATCCCGATATTTCAAGCATAACAGTTTGTTATAACCGAGGAAATTTAAATGTTTTCTGTCAATTGGGGCTTGAAAAAATAGTTCGTTATAGCCGAAAATTCATTATAAGCGAGTTCGTATTAAGCGATGTGATTTAATATAAAATAAAGAAGGAATCGGCCGGGGCTGTCAGATTTAGTTCGCTATTAACGATAATTCGTTATAAGCGAGTTCGTTATAAGTGGAGTCGACTGTAGTTTTAGCTGTATGTCACAAGAGCAAAGACAGACTCAAAAAATGGAATATTTTTATAATATTCATTACGGAAATTATAATGCCCTGGTCATAGATATTTTGGAATTGTGGCATCACATTATTATAGTCTTCTGCAAAAGTTTTATAAATCATGCTCCGCGGATCAAAATTGGCCCAACCCCTGGGGTCACTTAACTTATATATAGACTTACATAGGAAATCACAAATAAGTCTTTTTTATGTAAAAATACAGTGCTTAGAGGATTGATATTTAAGTCTTATCATTGCCTTGTGAACCTTTACCAAAGTTGTGTAATTCATGCCCCTTGATTTGAAAAGGGTCCTCCCCAAAGGGTCACTTAGTTTAAACTAGTATATAGATTTTTTTTAATAAAAAACATACCCGTCATAAAATCCTTTTCATCTGAAACTACAATACACAGGCATAGATATATAGCATAAAAATCACTTAGTAGACAAACACAAAAATTATATAAAAGATTACTTAGTTTATGTAGAATTATATACATGTATAGGAAAACACATTAAGGTTGACTCTAGTGTGAAACTACAATGCCCAGAACTCAAATATTTGGCTTGTAGCTTTTTCTAATGGACCTCTTCAAATATTTTTTATTATAAATCACGCAGCTGGGGTAAAAAAAATGACAATGTGTGAAGTAGTTACTTACTTGCAATGTATTTCAGGTGAGAAATATAGGGCCATGATGGTCCTCTTGTTGAAGTTGAATAACCTGATCATGTCTTTCCTTTGACGTATGAACTAATAATTTAAAATAAAGGAATGACACTTTTTAATAAATCTACATTAATAACTTACATACCATCCTGCAAATGAAGTGAAGGTTGGTTAATTTATTTACATATTATTTCATAGAACAATGACATCTATGAGGAAATCATGCTCCGGTCAGGTAGAAGCAATGCCTTTGATAAATCCCATCCCACAGTGGCACATATGCTGTATAAGGTAAATATCATATCTTAAGATTTCCTAGTTAAATCATAATTCAGTCTTTAATTTGATTCAAGTTAAATTTCATATCTGCCATAGTTAACCTGTAACCTGCCAGCTACTGTAGATTTAAAGAGACTCCACCGATCCTTTTATATCATTGCCTCCCCCTTTTTTTTGAGAATAATCTGACATCTTTATTGTGCAAAATTACCCAATAATGAAGTGTTTGCAATGCTTAACACAAAAATGGTTAAAAAACATACAAAAATCGATATGCAATTTAATTATTGTCATATTTCTATATTATATTTTGAATATTTTTCTGTTTTAAGTCCTTCACTTGATCTATGTGAGAAAATTTTTAATTTAATGTTTTTAAGCTGTTTGACCTCAGCAGAGCTCATAACAGAGCGCGTTTAACAATGCAACCTGTATAATCAGAGATCATCTAGCACAGAACATGCCATTTGATCATTGTCTGCACTGTTTGTTATTCAATTGATAACATGTTTTAAAATTTTCTCTAAAAATTGATGAATGGTTTTGTCCCGACTGGAGATGGGCAAGTCCATTTTACATTTTTTAGATTGGTTAGGGTTAGTGGTTGCTAAAATTCTTAATGGTCTTTTGATGATTAAAGTTAAATCTTGTATCTTACATATTGCTACATTTAACAAGAGCTGTCTGTAGGACAGCACGCTCGACTATTCTAAGTGCATGATAGTAAAAGAGCCTTGATATTGTTTAATTTTTTAAGTTCACAAAAGGGCTAATTTTTTTTTATAAATTCATGTTATAGGCCTAAGAGAGAGTCTAATTATACAGTATTGGCTTGACTATTCGGAAGGTAATGTCACAAGGGTGTTTTATTGAGTATAATAATACTAATTACCTATGAATAAATAAATTTGACAGAAAAGGTACAAAGGCTTGTTATTAAGATGTTTTATCAAGTAAATCACTGCTTTATTATTATGAATGCATAAAATTGTCCCGAAAAAGGCACAAACCCTTCAGTAGTTATTGAGATAACAACTTACAAGAAAAACTTAACCATGAATTTCTAAGTTGAAAAAGGGGAGAAAAATCAGCCTAAATGCAAGATAGAATTATGGATCTTTGTCAGTGACCTACAATGATGGACAGTAGTGAATAACCTCCCCTGAGTACTCCCTATAAATAGATAGGTCCTAAGCTATTGGATTACTCGGACTTTATCGCCTATTTCTTTGTAGCAAACTGAATTAATTAGGGCTAATTATGATCATTTGTAATATTCAGATTAGATATTGCGATAAGATGTAGAATCTGTTGACATAAATTAATCATTTTTTCCTTAAGGTTTACATATTTGTTGATGCATGTGTAAATAATTGATTAAGACATACAGTACGCTCACCGCGGGTTTTGCTTTTTCCGCGATACCACCGCGGACGATTTTTTTTTATCGCGGACAAAACGGGGGTTCGTCCGCGATGAGAAGCCTAATTTCCCCGCGATCCCCGGTGTTCAGTTGTTTCCACCGCGGACAAAATTCTGACGACCGTTCTTCGTTTATCGATAAAATCAGTCACCCGTTTCCCGCGGGGGAACGCCATGGTCAGTTGGTCAGTATAAATTAACCTCCAAAAATAATAGACGTTTTATCATTTTTTTAACGTCATCTTTTTTACACAATGACTTGAAAATTGACCGAAATCGTCTCCTAAATGTTATTATACGTTAAATTATTTGAACGGAATTTGAAATAAAAATAATTACAGCTGTACCTGTTTTTGTTGTTGTTTTTAATACTTCCGTTATAAACGTCCACAAAACTATTGGTCCACATACCAATATTTTTACATTCAACTGAAATCGTCATTTATCACTGTCATCTTTACTTGTTCATTCCTTGTGGTTCTATAAGTATTATTGCCGTTAAACTATATGGGAGCCATATAAATATGATACTTAGTAAAAAAAAAGGACATTTGTGCTGATTTCTCAATGATGACTGACGCTACAGTACATGTCCTGTAAGAGGTCGATGAGTGTGAATACAAGACAGGACATAAATAAAATACATGTACATATATTAGAAATAAAAGAAAAAGATATTTAAACCATCTTTAAGAATTATTTGTATGCAATTATATTCTTTAAAAACGAGTAGACTTGTTTTTTGTGTTTTTTTTTACAGTAAAAATCCCGTCGAAAATGGACATGAGAAATATGCATGACACTTGCCAAAAAGTTTATGTATACTGTACATATATTTGACTCAAATTCAAAAAGATTCTCTTTGCCATCATGTCAGATATTGTCGGATATTGTATATTGTCAGATATTGTATATTGTCATATTTTTTATGATCAACATGCAAATAAACAGAAACAGTAAAACGCATCTGACAATTGAAAGAGACGTCCTGGAATATTGCCTGAATAAAATTGTTGAGGGTTACGTTTTCAAAGTTTTTAAATAAGAAACAAAAGCTGGCATATAAATTGTTGTAGTATCTTTTTCATAAATGTCATATGCCGAATTTTTCATTATTTGACTTCAAGTTTCTCAGTACCATGAAGTTGCGACGACAATGATTTATCTTGATGTCGAATACATATTATACATTACCCAACACAATAACAAGAAGAAGAACAAGAAAAACACTGCATTTGTACATGTACTTTTATTACAACAAAAAAGAAAGAAAACAAATTTTACATATAGTTACATGTATATGTACAGTACATGTTACAGTACATGTACGTACGTATACTGATGTTGAAATACAGTAATTAATTTTTAAAATTTAAGGTTTCCACCGCGTTGACCGGTGTTTGACCGCCGCGTTCCTCCGCAATTTACCACTGCGTTCCGCGGGGGAAACGGTTTCAGCCGCCGATATATGTCCGCAGTGGTGAAAATTTTCTGTCCGCGGGGTCAGGCGGACAATATCTGAGCAAATTTTCGTCCGCGGTAAACCTCATCCGCGGGGTCACGCGGTTTTTGAAAAAGTCGCGCTGAGCGTACTGTATCAACCTGTCTTATATAAAACTCAACGATAAAAGCAAAGGATTCCAAATATTTGGACCTACTTACATTTTGGTTAACCTCGGTTTTTATCAAGGGAAGATAATCCACTACTGTCCCCCATTATGACCCTAAATGCATATGTGAAGTTTTTAATAAATATCTTTAATAGTTATTGAGATATGTAAAACTTGCATGTAAACATTAACCAAGAGACTAAGTAGAAAAGGGGATATGAATCAGCCTTAATGCAAGATAGAGTTATTGAACTTGGTCAGTGACATACAATTATGACCCTCCAATTATGACCCTAAGTGCATGTGTAAAGTTTCAAGTAAATATCTTTGAAGACCTTTAATCTTTAACCAAAATTTCTAAGTTTCAAAGGGGCGAATAATTCTGCAAATGTTGCAGGCAGAGTTATGCAATTTTGCAAACTGATGTACATTGTTACTATAAAACAGTATTTTAAATTTCAATTGAATATCTCAAGCAATAATTGAGATATTTGACTTTACAAAAAAACTTTAACCAAAATTTCTAAGTTCCAAAGGGGCATTATTCTGTTAATATTGTAGGCAGAGTTATCCAACTTGTCAATCTGATGTACCGTGTTACTATAAATAAGTATTGTAAGTCTCAATTGAATATCTCAAGCATTGATTGAGATATTTGACTTTACAAAAAACTTTAACCAAAATTTCTAAGTTAAAAAGGGGCATAATTCTGTCAATATTGTAGGCAGAGTTATCCAACTTGTCAATCTGATGTGCATTGTTACTATAAATAAGTATTGTAAGTTTCAATTGAATATCTCAAGTAATAATTGAGATATTTGACTTTACAAAAAACTTTAACCAACGCAGACGCCGACGCGGACGCTGACGCCGACGCGGGGGCGACTACAATAGCTCTCATATTCTTCGAATAGTCGAGCTAAAAACAGAATATCTCATATACATTTTATGTCTATTATCTCGATTTTTAAAATCTGAAAAGTTATACCCATTGGTTACTGAAAGATTATTTTTTTAGATTTTTATATACCTATATTTTGGTATTCCCTTTATTACACATAGTGTATTATGTATATATTTGTATATTTATTAGCTCGACTATTCGAAGAATATGAGAGCTATTGTAGTCGCTTCAGCGTCCGCGTTGGTTAAAGTTTTTTGTAAAGTCAAATATCTCAATTATTACTTGAGATATTCAATTGAAACTTACAATACTTATTTATAGTTACAAGGTACATCAGATTGACAAGTTGGATAACTGTGCATACAATATTGACAGAATTATGCCCCTTTTTAACTTAGAAATTTTGGTTAAAGTTTTTTGTAAAGTCAAATATCTCAATTATTGCTTGAGATATTCAATTGAAACTTACAATACTTATTTATAGTATCAAGGTACATCAGATTGACAAGTTGGATAACTCTGCCTACAATATTGACAGAATAATGCCCCTTTTTAACTTAAAAATTTTGGTTTAAGTTTTTTGTAAAGTCAAATATCTCAATTATTGCTTGAGATATTCAATTGAAACTTACAATACTTATTTATAGTAACAAGGTACATCAGATTGACAAGTTGGATAACTCTGCCTACAATATTGACAGAATTATGCCCCTTTGGAACTTATAAATTTTGGTTAAAGTTTTTTTGTAAAGTCAAATATCTCAATTATTGCTTGAGATATTCAATTGAAATTTAAAATACTTTTTTATAGTAACAATGTACATCAGTTTGCAAAATTGCATAACTCTGCCTGCAATATTTGCAGAATTATTTGCCCCTTTGAAACTTAGAAATTTTGGTTAAAAGTTAAAGGTCTTCAAAGATATTTACTTGAAACTTTACACATGCACTTAGGGTCATAATTGGAGGGTCATAATTGTATGTCACTGACCAAGTTCCATAACTCTATCTTGCATAAAGGCTGATTCATATCCCCTTTTCCACTTAGTCTCTTGGTTAATGTTTACATGCAAGTTTTACATATCTGAATAACTATTAAAGATATTTATTTAAAACTTCAAATATGCATTTAGGGTCATAATTGTAGGTCACTGACAAAGATCCATAATTCTATCTTGCATTTAGGCTGATTTTTCTCCCCTTTTCAACTTAGAAATTCATGGTAGGGTTTTGCTTGTAAGCTGTTATCTCAATAACTACTGAAGGGTTTGTGCCTTTTTTGGGACACTTTTATGCATTCATGATAATATAATAAATCAGTGATTTACTTGATAAAACATCTTAATAACAAGCCTTTGTACCTTTTCTGTCAAATTTATGTATTCATAGGTAATTAGTATTATTATACTCAATAAAACACCCTTGTGACATTACCTTCCGAATAGTCAAGCCAATACTGTAGACTCTCTCTAAGGCCTATAACATGAATTTATAAAAAAAAATAGCCCTTTTGTGAACTTAAAAAATTTAACATTATCAAGGCTCCTTTACTATCAAGCACTAAGAATAGTCGAGCGTGCTGTCCTACCGACAGCTCTTGTTAAATTTGTTTTTACTATAGAGACAGATTGGGATGAGAAAACAGATTAAATTTGCAGCAAGTGATAGAAGAGTAATAAGCACACCGTAAGTGATGTCAAACTTTATTATCTCTGGGGGTTTATATAAGAAAAAGCTGGTTATCATGTTGATGAATAGCTGGGCATGAAAGCAGCACAACTCCTAATTCATGTGAATTTTCATGAAAAGGTTTTTAAAAAATGTATTGAAAAGCAAAATATTGTCAAGTGAACAAAGAAAATAATTTGCTAAAATTATTCGCAAAGGCGCTAAAAATCGACAAAAGTTGGTCAGAATATGTAAAAATGCACAAGTCACAAAGTAAAAATATGTTGGAAAATACTGCAAAATCAGTCATTAATTGCATTATTTCTTGTATTGTGAATAGTTTTACTTTTCATAAAGTTTTAGTACATTTTTCTCAAGGTTGATTTTCTTCAAACATTTTAGCTCAACTGGAGACATGCAGTTTTAATTAATTCTTCCAAGCACAGCTCCTATATTTTTCATGGGCTTCTAATTTTTGAAAAATCTGGTTTGCAATAATTTCCTAAAATTTGGCTATATAGTTTTATCAATGAGTTTCTGCTCTTCATGAAACTCCTAGACATATGTAACTTCCACATAATTTATATAAATCTGAAGTACTAGTAATAATGATTTACTGAAATATTTCTTAACAATTTAAACATTTTACATTTTCAGATACCTTCCTAACTACTGTGATTCTGTTGCTAACTACAGACAGAAGGCCTTCTGTGGTACTTATTCTGTAGATGGCAATATCTTCCTATCTGCTTCCCAGGGTCAGTATGTCTGTTTGGTTATTTATTTTTGAACGCCAATTTAAAAATACTTTTGGTCATATCTGGATGGTTGAGCCACCTAACCGGCTTTCTTTGATAACAACCCAGTTATTACCAATTTCTCCCCAAGTGACTGACTACTTGACACATGATTTCTGAATTATGGGTGAGAAGGAAATGACCATTAGAGTCAATGTTCATGATCCATTGTCACAGGGAATTTAACTTCGCATGAAGGTCAAACCAGTGACCCGTTGATAACAAATTTGATGCCTGCCCAATTCAGCTAAGTTGATGGACTTAATTTCATGTAATTCTCTGCTGTTGAATGCTAATTCAATTTGAATTATAAATTGATAGATTTGAAGGTTTGCAACCAGCAAGTTAAGTGAACAATAAGAGTCAGGTGATGTTTTAATATGTATAATTTTGTAAGTATCTTTGAGCTCTGTTATATGGATATATGGTTGCATTTTATAACATATGTTCTGTTTATATGGATTTTCATTTGTGATTTTAGATCAAAATATCCGAATATATGATACAACAGAGGATAGGTTTGAGCTTATGAAGTCTATAAGGGCCAAGGATGTCGGCTGGAGTGTCCTTGATACAGCTTTCAGGTATGTATTAAATGGTTGCCAATGGTAACAAAATTCTCACTTAATTTGCATACTTATTGATACATTTCAACTGATCTGAAGAAGGAAAGATTTGTTTTCAAGCTATTTTAAAGTCTTTATTTTGGTTTTCATTTATATCCATATTATGAATGCATGATTGCAAAGCATTTTGAATACAGCTTTTTGATTGTAAATTACGTACTGCTGTACTAATAGGTGTTAAGATAAACACTTTATGTTCTCTAAATCATGGGCAGTATATTGATGAGAAATTGTTACTTAAATAATTGAAACTATATTATTATCGTGTACTTATTGTTTAGTATTTTCTGAGTTAATTCATTCTTGTTGCATGAAAATAATGTGTTTAGATGGCTTGTTAAGATTTGTATCTGTATCAAAAATGACAACATCATTTGACAAACACATCATATTGTAGATGATATTACATTTGTATAATACCAGTTTTGATGTATTTATTGCAGTTGACTTTTCAACATGCTAGTACATTTTTGTTAGATAAAAATATACATTTGGATGATATTGTACATGTAAATAAATTCTTTTGATTTTATGCTAGAAAGAAACTTAATTGAAACATTTATGAGTTCAAACAATTTTAAAATACATGTACTAAAATTATGAAATGGGCAATATTGAATTCAAATAAATTAATCAACATGAAGGTCAAGTTGAACACACAGCCAACAGCTGTATTTGTATGTCTCCACATACAAAGTTGTCCTTTATCCCTCTATAGATTGACAACATAATGGAAATGTTAGGGCATCATCGTGTTATGCACACATTTCTAATTGTTACATAATTCTGTAAGTTACAACCATATGTTAGGGTATGGTCTTTATCAAGAATACAACTGTATTGAATGATGTTAGATAGCAGTGATGACAAGACTGGTTTAGCTCATGCACTAGTGGCTTATGCTTGTCATGATGTAGTAACAAGAGCAAGATACGGTAATTTATGTGATTTTATTAATGAACACTTTGTATATTACAGCCCTGATGGAAACTATATGATATATTCCAGTTGGTCAGATTGCAGTAAGTAAATGTGTTATATATTATTTAAGATGAGTTTATTTTGTTGTCTAGGAAGAATAAATATACTGTAGAAATATACTATAGAACCTCGATAAAGGGGCATATACATGTATGTTCATAGGGAAAGGTAGGGTTATAATTATTTTCGTAACCAATATATTGCATCAGAATATAAGCCAAATGGTTTATGTATCTTACAAGTAATCAATAGATCATTATCCTTGAGGGACAAGCTATTGTTTCCTTGAGCAAAAAACTTTACACTCATAGCTCTGTACTGGTTGATTCCAGGAACAAATAGAGATTGTGTTAATAAGATTATAGCTGTCTACGCAATCAAACTAAATAAATTCAATACAAACTAAATTGCTTTTTTATTATGTTATTTTGTATCGCAAACATTGAAGAGATTTTCAATATGTCACAATGCATGAAAGCTTCAGTAAATCATTTATAAGCATAAAGATTACCCTTATTTTCAAGGAAAAATTCTTGTCTATGCTATAAAAGAAACCATACAACTTACAGATTTATGTCTTAGTTTTGGTGTCAATAAAATTAAGGAGATTTGTTAGTGCATGTATTTGTAATTATCATAGAAAGTACAAAATTATTATTTAACATTGTTAAGAAACTCAATTTAATTAAGCATAAAAAGACATAGAAATTGAACTTATTTCATTACAAATAATGTTTATTTTAACAAGATTCGACTTGAGATAATGGTGAAATTGACATGTAGTGTTTATTTTTTTACAGTTCATCTATGTAATGTACACGGAGATCAAGATGTACATCAGGCGTTACATTTGTTTCCTACAGAAAACAGTTTCTGTATTTTCTCTCTGACGTTCTCGTCAGATAATAGAGAAATTCTTGGAGGGTGAGTAGTACAATGTACTAGTCAAAACAATAAATCTACAAATTTATTAAATTTATGACTGAATAAGATTTAAAGGACCTTCACTGAGGTCCAAAAGCCTTAAAAATATCCGTTGAATTTCTTACGTAGATCAACTGGGGCACAAAAAATGAAAAGATATGCAAAATGATTACATAATATACTAAAAAAATTAAGTGTTAAACATATTTTTGTGCTAATTTTAGTCCAAATTGAAAAGAGTTGCAACGCTTTTCAGTTTTGGGTAATTTTTCACAATTATGATAATTTTTCTGGAAAAAACAAAGTGAGCGAATGATCTGAAATTTTGCACACAAGTTAATTTTTTTTTTTGACTTACTAAAATAAAAGTGGTTAAAGTTACAGTACATCTCTTTGATCATTAATCTTCACCACTTCACTGCTTATATAAAGACTCCAATAAAAGCTAAAAAGGCCTCTTCCCAATTGAAACTTACTGTACAATCATGCAGTCTTCGCAAAAATCACAACTTAAACCTGCTTTATTTACTTCCCAAATTAGCAGTTTTAGCGATAATTTTCCCTAAAATCAAGAGGCCAAGGCCTCTTCCCAATTAATTGAGAAAAATCCTGAAGCCACTCTCTTACAATCTTAAGATATAGCCTAATTATATTGATCCCTAAAATTAAGCTTTAATATTGTTAATTGCACAAGTTAAAGCCATAGATGTTTTGTGTAATATATAAATATCTTAATAGATTAGTAAAAATGTGAGGGGAGAACAACACATTATAAACTGAAGTTTCGTAACTCATATGAAACAAAAACTATTTGACAATACAATATATTCTATATATATATATATATATATTTTCAGAGCCAATGATGGTCATTTGTATGTATTTGACAGGGATAGCAACCAACGATCACTAAAAGTAAGTCATGCTAGTCTGTGAAATCTGGTTTTTAAGTTATCAAAGGGAAGTAATCCAAATTTATTCTTTACAAATGAAGACATTTCAGTTGTGCTTAATGAAACTAGTTTTCAAGGGAGGTAATTTAACATTTATCCGGCTTGCAGCAACTGTATCTACTCCTGCTACTAGCATAGACATAGATCAGCTAGCACATCTGTGCTGTATTATCATGGTCTCCATTGTTTGCTATTCAGTCAATACATATTTTAAAATTTTCCTGAAAAAAGAAAGGATCAGTGGTTTTGTCCAGGGTTAAATATATATTTTAGATATTATATTATGGTAAAGAGTTAGAATATTATAATAGCATGGACGTTTTGTTTAAACAGATAGATGCTCATGATGATGATGTTAATGCTGTAGCATTTGCTGATACTACATCACAGATATTGTTTAGTGGAGGAGATGATGGCCTATGCAAGGTTAGTATGATTAGTACTTTAGTTCTTTCATTATAGAAAGATGTTCTTATAGAAAGAAGCCAATAAATGCTTTTTAAGTAGTAATAGAGTCTATATTGGCAGGCAGTTAAAAATTTTTTAGCACAAAGTGTTGAGAGGTGAGCTTTTAAGCTTGGTAAGCTATTGGTCGTCCGTCCTACTGACTGGACTGGTGCATTTAAGAATTTTGACATTTTCTAGTAAAGAAAATTGAGCAATCCAGGGCCATCATGGCACTCTTGTTATATTATAAGTATGTAAATCAATCAATTTATGCTTTATTCATAAAAAAATTGATGAATATGTTTTTTTATGCATAAGTAAAACAGATACCTATGTATAAATAATAAAGGTAACATTGTGTTGATTTGATCATGTTGATAGGTATGGGACAGACGGACACTAAAGGAAGATCACCCAGTACCTGTTGGTGTTTTAGCTGGCCACTATGATGGCATTACATATATTGATCCTAAAGTAAGTATGATGTTGTACATATATGTTTTTAGCTCACCTGTCACACAGTGACAGGGTGAGCTTTTGTGATCGCTTTTAGTCCGCCGTCCGTAAACTTTTACTTTAAATGACATCTCCTCATAAACCACTGAGCCAATTTCATCCAAACTTCACAGGAATGTTCCTTTGGTGGTCACCTTTAAATATTGTTCAAAGAATTTAATTCCATGCAGAACTCTGGTTGCCATGGCAAGCGAAAGAAAAAACTTTAAATATCTTCTTTTAAAAAACCATAAGAGCTAGAGCTTAGATATTTGGCATGAAACATCTTCTAGTGAGTGTCTACCAAGTTTGTTCAAATAAAAGCCCTGGGGTCAAAATTGGCCCCGCCCCGGGGGGGTCATTGATTTTCCCTATATGCATATAGTAAAAACTTAAAAAATCTTCTTTTAAAGAACTCAAAGAGCTATGGCTAAGATATTGAGCATGAAATATGTTCTTATGGGTGTCTACCAAGTTTGTTCAAATAAAAGCCCTGGGGTCAAAATTGGCCCCGCCCCAGGGGGTCATTGATTTTCCCTATATTCATATAGTAAAAACTTAAAAAATCTTCTTTTAAAGAACCAAAAGAGTTAGAGCTAAGATATTTAGCATGAAACATGTTCTAATAAGTGTCTGCCAAGTTTGTTCAAATAAAAGCCCTGGGGTCAAAATTGGCCCCGCCCCGGGGGGTCATTGATTTTCCCTATATGCATATAGTAAAAACTTAAAAAATCTTCTTTTAAATAACTCAAAGAGCTATGGCTAAGATATTTAGCATCAAACATGTTCTAATAGGTGTCTACCAAGTTTGTTCAAATAAAAGCCCTGGGGTCAACTGTATATACAGGTGAGCGACCTCAGGGCCATCATGGCCCTCTTGTTATATACATTCTCTTGCCTAGACATTGTAACTACAATCTTAAAGGAACTTCACTCCGATCCAAAAGCTTAAAAACACAAAATTTGAAATGTTTTCATAGATCAAGTGAAGCACAGTGAAGCACTTAAAATGTAAAAACCCGCAAAGTATAATATAGAAGTATACTCAAAATTAAATTGATAATCAATAGTTAGTGCAATTTCTTAGTCCGTTTTTGGGTGAAAAGATTTGCTATGCATTTCATTCTTGGGTCATTTTACTCAATGATAACATTATTCTGGGGAAAAAAACTGTTGAGGGAATGATCTGAAAATATGTACACAAGTTAAAAGTATCTACATATATATCAAATGTTACACTAATCTCAGACAAATATTCCTAGTCCCATCATGTCAAAAAGCCTGAGTTGAGTCCCTTTAACTGATTTAATGTGCATGCCGACTTATATGTGCATGCTGGCCTAGCTCTATAGTCATGGTTATAAAGTTAATGCAGCTTACTTGAGAGAATTAATTTTCTCAGAACTGTCAAATTATGGATTGTGAGGTACCTTCAGAATTTCTGTTTCCAAATAAATTGTTTAATTTCTCTAATTTCTCTTTGTTTTTCTCACTTAATGTTACATTTGTTGTACAGCTGCATTTCAAATAATCCCAGCAAAATGTGAATGATGTATGAAGTAAAAGAAACAAGTTTATCTTAAACTTTCCTTTTCCGTATTAATAAGTATTTCAAAGCCATTTTTAAATTTAATTTTTCATGGAAGATACCTTCTTACTTATCTAAATTAAAGTGAACTTATACCCATTTGCAAATGTTTAGCACACACCTGATCTTAGATGAACTTATGAAAAAAAAAAAGTTTGTTTATTTCTGTCTTTATTCATGATTTCCAAAACCTTGTTTATAACATAACTAAATTAGTTATAAAAGGTTTTCTTTAATTAACATGCTTATATATGATTCTATTTTCTTATTACAGTTATTTCCCTTTGTCCAGTAAAATTCTTTTATTTTATATGTGTAATACATAATTGTTATATTTTATAAACTGTTTTGATTAAATCATTACTTGAATTCAGATTCAAATGATTTTTCATTAAATTTTAGTTGAACTTTATTATATATGACCCATATTGTCATTACACACAAATTCAGCTGGTTAAGAGACAAAATACCAATTGTCATTTATTCTCCATCGTTGATTCAAGTGCTATATTATGTCTTAGTGCAAGAACAAGTTGAAACAGTTACATAGTCTAGGAACATATCTCAGCTCATCTCTATATAAATAAGAACGCTACTGGGGCATCTGTGGCAGGCTGGTTAATGCCGGTTAAGGCCGCTGACTTCAAACCACCCTCATCACTGTGGGATTGAATCCCGGGAGGGATTTTGGATCCTTTCATGTGAGGAGGCTATGCAGCTGTCTTACGGAACATCTTTGGTTCTACTCAGGTGCCCATTTGTGTCTGAAATAATGCAAGGAGGGACACCTGAGTTCTGCCACTCCCTGTAATGCTGAAAAGTCGCCATATGACCTATACAGTGTTGGTGCAATGTAAAACCCAGCCAAAAAAAATAACAACAACAAAAAACACCAAAAAAGCTAAGAATTCTTTTGTAAGCTTTTATATCCATCCATATGATTTATTCCAGTAAACTATAAGAAACTATTTGTCAAATGTGTTTGTAGGGAGATGCAAGATATTTGTTGTCAAATTCTAAGGATCAGACAATGAAGCTATGGGACATAAGAATGTTTTCATCTTCCACTGCTATAGAACAAACAAAGAAAGCTGTTTCCAAGCAACGTTGGGACTACAGGTGGCAGCAAGTGCCCAAGAAAAGTAAGAGAATTTTCAATATCATGTCTTTTTATTGTCATCACAACATTGGGTTTTATTTTGATTGATATTTGATGATGATGACTTGTTCAAATCTAATGCATTGCTTAATTTATTTTTAAGCCCGAAAAATTCTGGCATATATTTTTATGCACCTAGTAGTCTGTCCGTCTGTTGGAAATTTCTTGTTCTTTTGAACTGATGGTAGGATATTGAAACTATTTGGCGGAAATGTTGACCATAATGAGACAATGTACAGAGTACAGAGTGGAGGTTTGACCTTTCTCAGGTCAAGGTCACTCTAAGTCATATGAATTTCAACTCTCTTTCTACCTTTTGAACCGGTAGTAAGGAATAAAAATTATTTGACAGAAATGTTACTTATAATGAGAGGATGTGCAGAAAGTAGGCTAGGGATTCCTTGGATAAAAATTAGCCCTGCTCTTTGCCTTAACTTAAGGTAGCTCGCTACTTTCCGACCGAAATATGACAACATCTCAGATCTTGATGATTTTTGGTATGCAAACATATAAATATGTGAGCTTTACTTCTGCAGTATTATTTTATAAATAAACAGCGTTACTATGACGTCAAAGCGCCCTCTCTCGGTCGCGGTGAAATTGCGTCTTTTTTATCAATAAACCGGTCTGTTCTTATCAATTTTCATCCGATTTCCTTCATTTTAATATCATAATGTTCAGTAAATGTATGTCTTTGTAATGATGTCTTTCTTTAACATTTACTTAATAGTCTGCGATTTTACGTCATTTTTCTCTACTTTCTGACGTCCATATTTGATGCAAATATCGCGCGATATCGCATTAAAGATTGTGTAATAAAAAAAATTCAACACGGTGAATTTTGCTATTATTTTCCGAGCGTGTAGTGAGATAGTGACGGAAAATATTTATGCAATAAAAATATAGGGTCAACGCGTAAGATATTTTGCTATTACTGTTTTAAAATAAAATAAGGGTGAGTGAAACGTTATGATTTTGGTGACGTTAATAGTTGTTGGAGTTCAAAGAATAATACCAAATAACAATTTTCTTACGTCAAACATTACGATAGTAAGTATAAACAACACAGGGACTTGATGAAATGTATATTTTTTAAATTGTTGATTATTTTCTGATTGAAAGCATGCGCTAGATGAGCATATTTACAATGTTTAATCCGACAATCCCTTTTTAAATACTTTTTTAATTTGCAGGACACAGTCTCATACATCTTTTAATTCTAATTTTATAATGTGATGTTGTTAAAGTGTTATATTATTATATGAATTAACTAGTTTCAGCGCAAAAAATAAGATTCACATATTGCTGTATGAATGTAGTAAGAATATAAGGTCGCTTACCCGTAGAATATTTATTTTACGTTACATTCAGTCTTTAAACACTTTCCTAAAATCAGATAAAGGCAGACGAGCCTCGGTGTCAAAACATATCGTAAAAATACAATTCAAATAGATATGCATACAAATGTGCCGAAATAAGTGATAAATAAAATTCAGAAATAATATTCAAATATGTTAAAGGGACTGAGGTATTTTGACATGATGGAACTGAAAATATTTTTTCCAGATAAATGTACCATTTGATGTAGGTTTACACCACGAATCTTTGTGCAAAATTTCAGAGCATTCGCGCACTTCGTTTTTCCAGAATAATTAATTATTCAAAATGAAAAGTGTTTAAACGCTTTTCACCCAAATCGGGCTAACAAAAACATAAAAATACGATTTTCAATTTATTTCAAAGTATATTTCTTAACTATCTTCGCATATATTTCTGTTTAAAGTGCCCAGCTCATTTATGTAAGAAATTCAAATGTTATGTGTTTAGCTTTTCAACCTCATTGGAGTCCCTTTAAGAATATTTAAAAACAAACTGTACAAGAAACAAAAACCTTTATTTTGTTTTTATTTTTGCTAACCATTTCTAAGTCTGTGCAATACATAGATTATATAATTATAATCTAATTAAAATGTCATGATAATTAGAAAATGAGCACTTATTTGACAAACTATAAACTATTTTGGAAGCAAAATCATACTGAATAAAAAAATATATATGCATATTCGCAACTGCAGACTCGAATGTACACTCAATATAACCATTACTCAACTCGGATTCATTACCGTTTTTTCATAACTGTACAGTATAACATAGCGGCCATTAAAGTATTATTTATTTCTAAAGAGTTCCGCTACATTTTACCTCTGTAGAGCAACCACTCTAGGCAACAAAGGGCATTTCTCTGTAGAGGTTATACTGTATATTTTAGTTAAATACAAAATATAATTATTAACTAACTTGTGCAACTTTTGTTACCACTGAATACGAATAATGTATTATGTTGACGTTATCTTGTTCATTTTTTAATACAATACAGTTTGCTTAAAAACAAAAATAAAAAAAAAAACAAGAAAAAAAAAACAACCTCAAACACACACCAACAACACGTGTTTATGATGTTAGCAATAAAATGGACTTCTCCCTTATCAACGGAGATCATAATCAGGTTTTTTTTTACTTTGAATATTCTTCTGTTGCCACGTTGTAATCGGTAAAGTGGTCTTACGCTGAATTCGGAAGGCATGGATTCGAGACACGATTGCTTATTGTACTAATAGATTATATTTTAGAATTGTTTACTGTCTATGAAATGTTTCAAGGTCCACCTCGGACTCCTGTCATTCATTTCCAAAGAGAAGTTGATACTGTGAGAAACACTGGTACCGTTAAATTCCCTCCGCTTTAATTGAAATACTGTTGTAAGCGGCGTTAAACCCAATATTAAAAAATAAGAAAATATAAAACATAAAATGCATAGTTCATTATTTTCATAGGCTCTACATAGCACTGCATTATGTGCAGACAAAAAAACGAGCTTCTCCCACAACCATATTCTCAAAAATTGAGGATCCTACATGGTCTTCAATACAAGGGAATCTGTATTTAATATGCAAAATTCTCCGCTTCTGAACATACAAAATAAATCAACGGAACTTTCGCCTTTAATCGAGAAATGATCGCGGCTTCAGGTCGCCTCAAAGATGCGCTAGTAAACGCATACCGCGAGTCAGCTAGTTTAAAATAAATAATGTGATCTGTAATTATGTGAAATACGTGAGAAATTAAAGCCATAGCATGAGAGCGTGATTCCTGCTTTAAATGTGAGTCTCACGCTTAGTGCAGGGTATTTAGCTGCGAGAGAAAATAGAATATCTGATGGCTGTTAATAAATAAAATACGTGTAGAAAATTTTTGAATTAAATGTCTGCTAGATTTTATAATATAATTAAGACTACCAGTGAATCATGGCTTACGTACAAATCGTTGCTACTTCCAGTTGATCATATATTTTTGAAACGTAAATTTGATTTATTTCCTACCACAGACATAGATGTTATCTATGTCTCTGTTCCTACTAACTGATATATACAATTCAAAATTATTACATATGATAACATGGAAGTTTATGTTGTACCGAGATATACATAACATGATGACATTGCGACTGCATCAGCCTTTTCATTCTTTTTTTCTGACATTCTTTGCAAAATTTATGTTTTTATAATTTCCACTTAGGTGGCCCTTTAATTATATCTTTCAATATTCTGAATTGTCTTTCAGTCCTCGAGGTATTTATATCCATTCATTGCAGTTTTTCAGCGATTGATACCAACTTTTGCAGACAGTTATACCCTGATTTGTTGTACATGTATATAATTGAAGATATTCATCGAAATGCAGGCATCTGCCAGGACTTTTAAAAGAACATTTTTACGGAACATGTCTACAAACTATTGTTGTTGATGGTTTTCACACATTTTTATTCCTGTCAGTATGTTATTTATCGAAAAAGTCGTGAAAATTTCCTTGAGAAAAATATTTGACGTCACCAAAATCATTACGTTTTACTCACCCTTTATTTTATATTCAAATAGTAATAGCAAAATATCTTACGCGTTGACCCTATATTTTTATTGCATAAATATTTTCTTTTATGACTTCACTACATGCTAAAAAAATTAAAGCAAAATTCACCGTGTTGATTTTTTATTATTTCACAATCTTTATTGCGATATCGCGCGATATTTGCATCAAATATGGACGTCAGAACGAGAAGGAAAATAACTTAGAATCGAAGAGTATTAAGCAAATGTTCAAGAAAGACATCATTACAAAGACATACATTTACTGAACATTATAAAATTAAAATGAAGGAAATCGGATGAAAATTGATAATAACAGACATGTTTATTGATGAAAAAGACGCAATTTCGCCGCCACCGATAGAGGGCGCTTTGACGTCATAGTAACGCTGTTTATTTATAAAATAATGCAGCAGAAGTAAAGCTTACATATCTACATGTCTGTATACCAGAAATCATCAAGATCTGAAATATTGTCAAATTTCGGTCGGAAAGTAGCGAGCTACCTTAATATATAGACTTTATATAGGAAAACACATTTAAGTCTTATTGAATTTAATATGAATCAGTTGTTACACATACATGTAGTTTTGTAAACTTTAGAACATGTCTTAAAACATAATATTTAAGAAATATCTGACAAATGTTTTAGATAGATTCAGGTATTTCAACAACCAAAGTCTTTTGGTCAGTTCTGATTACATGGACATACATGTATATGCTGTCCTTGCTTCATCCTGGTAGTAATGACCTCTCTGTTACCTTTAAGTTTCTGAGGATTAGAATAATCATTTATTTAATTGCTAGTATTGTAATTTACAGTGGATAAACATCGACGTTTACCAGGGGACACATCTGTAATGACTTACAAAGGTCACTCTGTACTTCATACCTTAATACGGTGTCACTTTTCCCCGGAATTTACTACAGGGCAAAGATACGTGTATACAGGATGTGCTATGGGTAATTTGATAAGTAAGTACAGAAAACGGTCATCATTTCATAACAATTATTACACATCATTAAACAATTTTACACTGAAAAATTGGTATTGGAATTTTTATAGTAGTTGTCTCCCTTTAATTGCAATTTTATTTCAATACAGTGAAATTTGCTCTGTTGATATGTTTAAAATGGCCATTCTATAAAAAATGCAATGATTTTTATGCCATATAAATGTACAATGTATATTACATTTATTTTTTAATAATTTTACAATATACTTAACATATTTCCTTGAAATTTATGAAATATTAAGACTTATGTTGTGTTTATATTTCAGTTTACGATACTTTGACTGGTCAGATAGTGAGAAAATTGGAAGGTCACAGACAGTGTGTAAGAGATGTGTCCTGGCATCCATACGAAAACAACATAGTAACAACTTCAGTAAGTACATTATCTAAACAAAAACCTAGTAAAGTAGACTACGATATCTAAGTTTTGTGCCATTTCATTGAATTTGAAGTTGAGTTTGAAGGTGTTTTGTTTATCTTGGTCTCTATAGTAACCTATAATCTGTTAAATGTTATTCTACAGTCTGTCAGCAGTTAATATTTGTAAGCTGTGCTCATGTATCTTCAGACAGAAATACATAGTTGACATTTAGAATCACTGTTGATTTTAATATCTGTTGATTATAATACTTACTTACTTCTTACTATTACTTGGTATATATCAGAGTAGAGTGGTCACTTTTTTATCAACATTTCTCAAACAAAAACTGTGTTTGGGGTCTAAATAGGGCATTTTTTCACTGTTTGAGGCCTCAAAAAGGTGTGGGGGGTCGAAAACCCCTCAAAACACGTCTGTATGAGGTAAAGGGTTAAAACAGAAATATATGCAAAACATAAATAAGAAATATACTCAGGAATGAATTGAAAATCGTATTTTGTGCTATTCTTAGCCCAGTTTGAGTGAAAAAGCATTGCATGCTTTCAATTTTTGGTCATTTTTCACCATGAGAAGAATTATTCCGGAAAAACAGAGTGAACCAATGATGGGAAATTTAGCATACAAGTTATTGAGCTATATCTAATGGAACATTTATCTCGAATGATTATTTTCAGCCCTGTCATGTCAAATAACTTCGGTGGAGTTCCTTTAAGCTTATTTGTTAAACATGAAAATATAGTATCAGATCATGAAAGTGATGTAAGACATAGATGTAAAAACGAAACTAAAGTAGCACAATTTACTTAGATATCTATTCTATAATCATTCTTAAAACATGTATACCAATCTATTAATTTTTGTGGTATTTTGATTTTTTTCAGTGGGACGGATCATTACGTAAATGGGAGTATAAATCTGTGGACAGATTGGCGGAGGTAGAAGATGAAGAAAGTAGTTCGTCAGATGAAGAATATCACTTGTTTAGTCGAAGTAGACGCTTGCAACAAAGAGCAAAATGTAATAAAAGACAGAGACAAGAAAGTTGGTGTCAGAATGCTGATAAGAAATTTCGAGGTCTCTTTGACTGAAATTAAACTGTTCTGCTTAGCTTTGCTAGAATATTTATATACGGTATATAAAAAACCTTGAAAGAGGCAAAAAATAACTAAATAGTGAGAAAAAAAATCATATTTGAAGTAAAATCTAATTTTTAAGAAAGTGAAGTATTATGAATCCCTCTTTCCAGAACAACAAGTGATTGAAAGCTTGAATTAAGACAAGAATTTGATTTTTATTCTCAACTTTTGGTACTAAGAAGAATTTTGATGTGGGAAATTCATAATGGGAAACTTATTATTATCATGTTAATGACTTCGAAATGTGCAAAAAAAAGTGAAAATATTGAAATTCAGAGTATGTTAGCAAACTGAATATGTAAGAGAACTAAAAAAAAGGAAATTTTGTTTCTAGTGAATCAGGAAGACATATTTTCTGTCTGGAATTGAATCACACCCATGATGATTCCTTGATTCCTTGAAGAAAATTAGAAATGTGACATGTGACATCACTGTTAAAATAACACATTACACATGGTGTGAGATGTAACTATGATTGTATCAAATAATTCAAATTTACAAAAAAATAGAGAGAAAATGATACAGAATAATGTGTGACAAATTGAAGCAAAATTAATGTGTTTAAATAATCAGAAAATTTTAAAAACTTGTGAAAAAGAAAATTTTCAAAACCCTTGAAAATGAGACAAGGAGCGGAGAAAAAATGTGAATGTGATTTAAAAAAAGGACTAGACTTATGAATCATATTATTATTGATGTAAATATTGAATGTGTTTGAAAATAGGGGAAAAAATAGTAGAAAAAAATGCATGCCAACTGGTTTATATGCATAGGTGAATGAAAACTGTACATTTGAGCATCCAGATCCATGCTGGTCGCAAACCCATTATGTTGGTTTTGTCATGACGCGGCTCATTTGTTTTTATGTATGGTCAATATAGAAATAAAGATATATTTTTTAGCATGGATAAGTATTATAATTGGCAACAGTCATTCAGGAAAAAGACATGAGAAAAACTGTAAAAAAGGTATTGCGCCTTATATGATTTGACATGATAGAAAAATGGAATGACATTTTCATGTGAGCCCTTTACCTCATATATCAGTACAGAATGAAAAGATGTCACTTTAGTAACAACATTAATGTTGTTATATGCTATGCACCTGCAATAATAGACTGTGTGTTAATGTGTTAATACATGTATATGTTGACTTGATAACACAAACAAGCCCTCAACTGTGTTAACATGTTTAATATAAGAAAGGTTTATACACATATCGACACATATACAAACATGTTGTGTGGTCTTTATGATATTGAAGGAATATTAACAAGTTTTCCACAACACTTGTGTATAAACTGCAACAGATTGTGTTATATATGTAAATGTGGGAAAAAAAAGTTAGATAGCTACACAAGTAACCTGTATGTGTTCTGTGTAAATCTGAAGACAAAAAAGTAAGGGGTATACTTAAAACAATTAATGAATATATTTGTGTTTTAAGAAAAATATGTGTAAGAAACATGTTATGTTGTGTGACATACACAAAAAGAACATGTTTTATTTAAACATAAAGTACAATCATGTGTTGATACATACACATAAAATCACATGTGTTGATATGTTATGTAATGTACATATAAAGCATGTGTGTTTACAGCCTGTGTAATCTACACATTTTACACACAAAGCATTTTGTGTTGATTTATTGTATAATCTACACATTAAGCTGCTAGCATATGTGTTTTTATGTTGTGTAATGTACACATTGTTGTGTAATGTACACATACAGCATACTTGTTGATATGTCGTGTAATAGACACCAAAACCACATGTGTAATCAGGTAATTATCACAGTGCTTTGCTCAGTAGTTTAAAATATGTACATATATTGTTGTGTTATCATGATGGACATGTGTTCATTACACCTTTATCTTATATTATGTATAATGATATTTTTATGTGCAAATTACAACTAAGTTTAATTTTAGCAACCTGCAATGGGAAAGGTTTATGACTTTCGATTCCTGTAGATAAACAGTTAAATAGACATTAATTTACATAAGATTGTTCAAACAAATTTTTGTTAACCACTGTTATGTACAACAGGAATTAAAATCTATAAAAAAACCTTGGTCATTTTGTTAACTTAAGAATTAACACCCAACATAATTTATGCCGTATATGAAATGTTAAAATGTCAGTGGAGTTAAGATTTCTTTCTTGTAATATTTATCCTGGTGTTCAGTGAAATTCTGTCCTCTGTATTTATTATTTCAGGCACAATTTTGGAAAGTTATATATTTTTTGAAACTACATGCATATTTTATTTGAAAATGAAATTTAATACATTGTTGCATTTTGTAAAACAATAATTTCTGTGTATCTATATGTGATAAAGTACTAAGTAATGGGGGCATTAAGTTTCGAGCAGGAAATCAGGTGTCCCATGATGCTCTTATAATAGCTGTATTATATATTAATTAAACCTCCCTTCTCATCTTGTATTAAAGTTTGCTATAACTTGCCATAGGGTTTAGTTTTTTTGAAAATCGAAAGCCAAGTGTATGTACTTTAATGAAACAAGCCAGTACAAACACAACATATTGTATTCACATTAAAAAAGTATATGTAATAATATCTTAAACAGTACATATAGGGGCCCTTCTGAATGGCCAATAAGCAGTGATGTCATGAGTCGTCTAAAGGGCATGTACGGTAGACCCCTAAAAGACATGTAGACTCAATGGTTTTAGTATGATGTGATATTCTTTAAAACTTTATAGTTTCTTTTAGTATATTACTTTAAAATATTAATTAAAGTGGACCAAACAACCCACACAGGATAAAGTTTTAAGATACATGTATGTAAATTAAATTGGATAAAATACCAGATACAGTTGTTTTTTTTTGTATCACTTTATTTTGCATTTTGAAATCAAGTATAGAAATTGGAGATTTGTTCACAATAACAGTTGAATAACTTGCTATGAAGGAAAGAAGTTTTGTATTTTATGATAATATTTCTTAATGATAATTAATTGTTTGTATATACCTTGATGTGCAGTATATTCTTACAAAAAGTTTAATAAAAAAGTGTTTACAATCTTTGCTATTATTTTATGTTTGATCTTTATTGACACTATCATGAGGTCATGAAATTTGTTTTTTTGTTTTTGGACAATCAGCACATACATGTAGGGTTTAGAAAATTATAAATTTTTGCTGACCAGTTAAAAATGGACGAGTTATTTTCAATAAATCAGCCGCGTCACAACAAAACCAACATAATGGGTTTGCGACCAGCATGGATCCAGACCAGCCTGCACATCCGCGCAGTCTGATCAGGATCCATGCTGTTCGCTTACAAACCCTATAACAAGTAGTGAAACTGATAGCGAACAGCATGGATCCAGATCAGACTGCGCGGATGCGCAGGCTGGTCTGGACCCATGCTGGTCGCAAACCCACTGTGTTGGTTTTGTAATGACACAGCTCAAATTATGTTTTAGGAAGGTGATATATGAACATTTCAGATTTTGTTTTTTTTCCTTGATGTGTTTTATATTATTGTACATTATATATAATAGAATATGTTTTGGAATTAATAATAAATACAACATGTCATGTAGAAATTTCCTCTACCTGAAGATGGGTCATAATTTATCTTAATTTCAACACTTCTAACACTTTGACTTAAGACCACCAGTGATTGTAGACCACCTGTTTTGAAGGGCACGGAATTTAATATTTACATGCCACAGAGATGATGATTTTTTTATTTGTCTTGTGTCATGTTATGTTAAGTTTAATGTAAAATATCACAGTGTCATCAACCTATTGGTGTGATAATCCATTAAATGAGCCGCGTCATGACAAAACCAACATAATGTGTTTGTGACAAGCATGGATCCAGACCAGCCTGCACATCCGCGCAGTCTGATCAGGATCCATGCTGTTCGCTTACAAACCCTATAACAAGTAGAGAAACTGATAGCGAACAGCATGGATCCAGATCAGACTGCGCGAATGCACAGGCTGATCGGGATCCATGCTGGTCGCAAACGCATTACGTTGGTTTTGTCATGGCGCGGCTCAAATATCACAGTGTCATCAACCTTATGGTATGATAACCCTGATCCTGCTGGAACTGGAAGTGATTAACCTTTGCCATCCGGTATATATCCAGGCCCAACCTGCGGTATATATCCAGGCCCAACCTGCGGTATATATCCAGGCCCAACATGCGGTATATATCCAGGCCCAACCTGCGGTATATATCCAGGCCCAACCTGTGCACTCACACCAGGCTCTGTTCTGTTTGTACCTCTTCTTTTTTTTGTATTTTGATATTGTAGTCTCTTAAACTTAAAATGGACTGTTCCAAATTAAAACCAGGGCAAATCTATAACTCAGATTCCGTAGGTGAAGGGTTAAAAATCCAACCAAAATTCAACTTTATACTGATAAATCCGTTATTTTTCTTTATACTGACTAAAGAGACTAAGGTCAGGCTGATCATTCTTTGTTTCATAATTGGTATAAATGTAACTGTAGTCTGACCAGGTTTTACACTAACAAATGCTTCTTTTTCTTCTTTTTTTCCCCTCTTTTTTTTTTGATAATTGCAGAACCTGCAATTTAGAATAGACTGTACCAAAATCCAAGTAATTAAAAAATATCAGTTCAGTATAGGTTAAAAAATTCAGTTAAATATAGGTTAAGATATTCATTTTGATTAAACCAGAATCATATGAATGATATTTTTTTTATAATCATTTTAAAAGTGGCAGATGATATTTTATATTCATAATATACATGTATAGTAAAGAAAACTGATCAAATTCTTTTCACTAAAGCTTGGATTCCGTTGTATTGAATTTATGCCCTATATTCTGATATGATATTTGATTTATTTTGTTGTTGTGGTTTATTTATTTTTGTTTTTGCTTGTATGTGTTTTATTGTTAAGTTTGTTGATTTTCTCCACGTTTTAACAGTGATTTCATGGTTTGTTACTGATTCTGAATTTTGTATACAGTGTTAGGTCGAGAATTTTGTATACTGTGTTAGGTCAAGAATTTTGTATACTGTGTTAGGTCAAGAATTTTGTATACTGTGTTAGGACAAGAATTTTGTATACTGTGTTAGGTCAAGAATTTTGTATACTGTGTTAGGTCAAGAATTTTGTATACTGTGTTAGGACAAGAATTTTGTATACTGTGTTAGGTCAAGAATTCTATGTACTGTGTTAGGACAATTGTTAAATTTAATGACTTTAATACGAAGTATCTTTTAACAATTCGTTAATACTTACTGACCTATTGTATTGTACAAATATATAAAATTTGAATATTTAAAGAAAACAATAAAATTTTAAGCAACTGAATTATAGCAGATAAATTTTGTGTTTTATCCAAAATGAAATATGGAGTTCTATTTATGAAAGAAAAACCAAGTAAGTTAACAAGGGAGGAATATAGAACAGCATATCAAGAAATGTTCAGAATAGGTTTAAGCTATTCTGTTTATCAACGATGATACTAATAAAGAAAAAAAAATCAAAGAAAGAATAGAGAGAGAGGAAGAAATTAGATCTAAAAAAATTATGATAAATTCATAAAAAAGAACTTTTATTAGGGACGAACAGGCATTCATGTGTTCAACTAATTATGTGTACTTCATTTCAGTACCAAAACTGTACTATTATAGTATTGTGCTCTTTAATAACCAATGATGATCTAGGGAAATGGCAGATAAAAAATTAAGATGTCTTTAAAGGCACATTATACTTCAGAAAACCAATAAATGTTTATTTTTATTTCTTTAGAAAGGGCAAACATGAGTTTTATTACATATAAATATCGGTATTACAGCATGCTAAATCATCATAACATGCTTGTTACCTGAAGAAAGTTGTGAAAAAATGTGAAATTATCCATCATAAAAGTAGCAAAATGTAAACAAAGTAATATTTTTACTTACTTACAATATACTAAATCACTAAAACTGTACTATTTGCCAAAAGCAACAGAAGGAAAAGATGGTTTGCTGGTAATTGGCCAATAAATAACTATTGGAATCTATAATAGTATACCAAAAATTAAAGGCTTTTGAAAAATAAAATATAAGCATATCTGGGACATAATGGGCCTTTAAACCAGAGATTGCAGTTTTGAGTCTTACTGGGTCTGTTGCTCAGCAAATTTTTTTTAAAGAAATGTTGCTATCAGTTATGAAATGAGCTGCGTCATGACAAAACCAACATACTGGGTTTGAGACCAGCATGGATCCAGACCAGCCTGCGCATCCGCGCAGTCTGATCAGGATCCATGCTGTTCGCTATCAGTTTCTCTACTTGTAGTAGAGTTGGTAAGCGAACAGCATGGATCCTGATCAGACAGCGCGGATGCGCAGGCTGGTCTGTATCCATGCTGATCGCAAACCCATTATGTTGGTTTTGTTGTGACACGGCTCAAATCTGTTTACAACAATCAAATTTGACTTGTATTATAAATTCACAATATTAAAAAAAAAAAAAAATCTTATCTCCCTACAATTTAAGTGAACTACAAAGTATTCAGGTTTTATATACCTTATCATTGAGTTACATATACAAATTTTTGGACAGGACGGGAAGAACTGATTAAACTTTCCATATATCATCTTGGTCTATTTGAAAGACCCTGATATCATAAAGTATGGTTTAGAATCTGTAAACAAACCCTATATTATAAGATAATATATATTATTTTATAGAAACCATTTTAACAGCAATTCTACTAACAAATGTTAAAACAAAAATTCTGATACATGATTGATTACAAATTATAAATGAGATACACTTGGGTTTTACAATTGATGATAATGATAAAATATGAAACTTTTTTTATTTTTAATAAACTACAGTGGTACCTGTAATACTGACACTTTTTTTGTTTGTCAAAAGTGAAATATTTTTTGGATTTCAAAAATTTTAAAACTTACTTTTTTTTTTGTGGGCCTACTATGTTCCATGGGTTTTAAGCCAGCCCACCCCACAATGAACTACATGTATCTATACTGCTTTAAAGCTGTTTGGATTGATAACTTAAAATTACTTTAAAAAATGTAATTACATTGTAATTGTAATTGATTACCATTACATTTTTAATTACAAGAGATTATATTATATACAATGATTAATGGTCCCTATTATCTTGCCAGTAATTAAAATAGTCATGTGTTATAATGAATGCAAAAGAAAAAAAATCTATTGTAAAGAATTTACACTATTTTAAGATGTTTTATGCCCCTTACACTTTTGTGGGAGGTGGGGTTGGAGGTTGGCTATATAGTTTAGTCCTTGTAAGCCTATTTTAACCCCAAATGTTGGTCTATCTGTCCATGCATCCCCCTGTCCATGCATAGACTATAGTTGTCGATTTACTATAAAAAAAACCCAAAACAATTTAATATAGAAACTTTCTATGATATAATGTCAGCATGCGAACATATACACCTGGGTACTTTGATGAACTTTGTTTCAAGATTGGCAAAGTTATGCCCCAATATTATGAAATAAATAGTAAAGAACAAGTTTGGTTAGGCTGCCAGTACAGGCAAGCTAGCCAACACCTTGATGTAATCTGACCATAATATACTTCATAATGTTCCCTGGTCTATTTTGATACATTAATTTCCTCAAATTTCTCCCCCTCAAGCCTACTCAGGGGACAACAGTTTCTACCAATGTGAATACTGTTCAGAGTTGAAGATCAGACAACAGTTCCAATTTTCCCAAAGTGATGAATGGTTTTGTTTATATTGAAAGATTGAAAAATATTTCTTTTAATCTGGTCTCTAGGTTATAAAACTTTTTCTGAGTTCTGTCTGAAATCTCAGGATTTTCATTGGTCAGTGTTTATTCTGTGTCAGTTTCTGACCAATCAATTTCATGAGATTTGATTTTGAGCTAAGAAATTGTTTTTTTAACTTCGGATCGATCCTGATCTTGGTTAACTGATATCCTTCACAGGCTATTATGCTTCCCAAAAGACATCTGACATAATAAGGTGACATTGGAACTACTTTTATTCACATGGCGACCTCCATGTGCCACCTTTGTGGCAAAAGCAGTAGAGATAGTTTTCTTTAAAACAGTGGTAGAAAGAATAACTTTGAAATTGATAACAGTCAATTTTCAATCTAAATCAGACATACACAAATGTTGCAGAAGTTGTAGGAGTTGTGTTACTTTCTTGTGAACGAACACTGCCTTACAACCTGGGCAAATTTGTGTTGGTGTTATGATTTAAGATATGGGTTGAATTACCTTAGATCAAGATACATGACTCTTTAATAACTCCAACTGTAAATGTTTAACATTAATGTCATTTTATTTTTCAAATAATTTTTCTCTGTTGTGTATACATGAATGACTACTTGAGAAGTGGTGTGCAAAGTTTTTTCATGGCCAGTACATGTACATTATGGTGATAATGTTACACATTAAAGTTATAATGTAAAGTTAGTTTTGTATAAAAGTACATATTTTGTATCATTTCAATAGTATTTTACAGTTTACCCTATATTATTATAACATTTTATCTTACTTCAAAAATTGCAGGGTCAGAAGTAGGAGTGTTTTATGATTTTAGTGGGTGGTCTTAAGAAATAGAGGCGTAAACCTGACAGTATCCAATCAAAATGCTTGTTTCATAATTGCTTTGAAGCAAAGTGAGTGGCAGATAATATATCTCAATATGTTACTGACAGTTTGATTAAAGATTTCTTGAAATAATGATTAATGTTGAGTGTTTTATAAAAAGTAATTATTCTAGATCAATATTCTCAATTAACAGTGTAGCGATAGACAAGTTTTTTATGTTTGAGATTTGTCTGTACATGATGTTAAGCATAGCACACTATACATTGTTTCACTGCTGTTACAAAAGTTCAAATAATATATAAAATTTCATGTTACTATCATGTAAATATGGAACAAATAGATCTAGAGAGAAAAATAAAAATTATTTAAAAGAAAAGTGTTACTTGTATTTTCATGGAATCATATTTTCTCAGTATCATTTTTTTTTCAATATCCTAAGCTTTTATCAGGATATTATGTTACAATATTATATTTAGTTACCATTATATTGAGATACCAGCAGTATATTGAGATACCAGTATGTTGAGTTACCAGTATGTTGAGTTACCAGTATGTCGAGTTACTAGTATGTTGAGTTACTAGTATATTGTGTTACTAATATGTTGAGTTACTAGTATGTTGAGTTACCAGTATATTGAGTTACCAGTATGTTGAGTTACCAGTATGTTGAGTTACCAGTTTGTTGAGTTACCAGTATTTTGAGTTACCAGTATGTTGAGTTGCCAATATATTGTGTTACCAGTATGTTGAGTTGCCAATATATTGTGTTACCAGTTTGTTGAGTTACCAGTATTTTGAGTTACCAGTATGTTGAGTTGCCAATATATTGTGTTACCAGTATGTTGAGTTGCCAATATATTGTGTTACCAGTTTGTTGAGTTACCAGTATTTTGAGTTACCAGTATATTGATATACCAGTATGTTGAGTTACCAGTATGTTGAGTTACCAGTATATTGATATACCAGTATGTTGAGTTACCAGTATGTTGAGTTACCAGTATGTTGAGTTACCAGTATGTCGAGTTACCAGTATGTTGAGGTATCAGTATCTTACATTACCAATATCCTTAGTAAACACTATCTTAAGGTACCAAAATCATGTTATCAGTAACATAAGCTACCACTATCCTAAGGTATCAACATGCAAAGTTACTAGTATGTTAAGTTACTTATATCCTATGTTATGAGTATCCTAAGATACTAATATTCTAAGTTACCAGGGTACAAAGGTACCAATATTCTGAGAAATCTTTATGCTAAAGTACGCATATGCTAAGTGATCAATATTTAAAAGCAGCACACCTCCAGATTCATAATAATTTTCATGAAATTTATGAAAATGTATTTGTATGTGTAATATTTTGAAGTAACCAAAAGGAAGCAATTTACACATTATCAATGGCACTTACAAACCACATAAATTACCACAAAGTGGTTCAAAATGTGCATGAATAGCCTTTACTGCGATAGTAATGCAGTAGAAATATAGTTGGAAATACTTAAAAAATCAGTAATTAATCACACATAATATGTAAAATATTATTTGAATCTTGAAACTTTTTACTTTTCCTTACATCTTAGTACATTTTTCTCAAGTTCGATTTTTTAAAACATATTTTGACTCAATATCATGTATTACAGATATTAGATACCAACATACTAAAGTTCTTAAGATAACAATATACTTTATTCCTATGTTATCTCTAACTATGATAAAAAATACCTATGTCAACAGAATGGTTACTCTGAGTATGATTGTATCTTAAAGTACCAAGGTTTATATAAGTATTATCCTAAGTTACCAATAGGTGAAGTTTCTTATATCCTTAGAACTTCCAAGTATCCAAAGGAACCAATATTATAAGATACCATTATGATAAGTTTAAATATACTGAGTAGCCTATAGAATCAATGTTTATATTAGTAGTATTCTAACTTATCTAGTTACTTATATCCTTAAATTTCCCTATCTAAAATACAAATATCCTATGTTTACAATATCTAAAGTTATTTACATCCTCATGCAAGCAAGAGGGCTCCTCATGCAAGATGGGGAGGATCAGGCAAAGGTGAATCCCCCTGCAAGCAATATAAGATTCTCAAGCAAGCAAGGGAACATTCTCCTGCATGTAAAGGAACATCTTTGTGCAAGCAAGGGAACATCCTTGTATAAGCAAGGGAGGATTGTCATCGAAGCAAGGGAACATCCTTTTGCAAGTAAGGGAGAATCTTTTTGCAAACAAGGGAAGTTCTTTATGCAAACAAGACAGAATTGCCATGCATGCAAGGGCACATCTTCCTGTAAGCATGGGGAACATCCTTGATCAATAAAGGATCCTCATGAATGCAAGGGATTATCCTCATGTGGGGTTAAGAGCATCATAAGATAAGGACCATCCTGATACAAGCTAAGGGAGCTTAAAAGTACAATTAAGTCATTAAACACATTTTGTGTTTATTTAACTTGCTAGAGTTGTTCCCCTTGAAGTAGAGAGCTAGAGAGAAACAGTTTAGCCAGAACAGTCTAAATTGTATTTAAGTTCAAAATGGATCAGAGAATAAATGTGATTGTAATAAATGGTTTGTGAAATACAGCATTTGTTACCCAGTTTTAGGATAAATTATCAGACCTTATGAATATTGTTAAGCTGCATAAGAAACCGATTATGTATGAATAAACTTCAAACTTCATTAGATGAATTTTCTTAATTTAGAAGAATGCTAGATTACCATGAAAGTTGTGTGTAGGAACAGTTTTAAATGCAATCTGTCTGAAATATTTAAGAACCTTTCTCCTCCATTAATGATATGTATGTGCAACTTGACCATCAACCTTCATGTTACATTTTTTAGAGGAGATGTCTGTTTTCACTATAGTATCCACAATTACTTAAGCAAACATGTCCTAAACAAATAAGTAGATTTTGACCAAATCTCCAAACAATCACCTTGAAAAATGAAACAAATAACTTAGCTCAATAAAATATGAGCCGCGTCATTTCAAAACCAACATAATGGGTTTGCGACCAGCATGGATCTAGACCAGCCTGTGCATCCTTGCAGTCTGATCAGGATCCATGCTGTTCGCTACTTGTTATAGAGTTTGTAAGTGAAAAACATGGATCCTGATCAGACTGCGCGGATGCACAGGCTGGTCTGGATCCATGATGGTCGCAAACGCATTATGTTGCTTTTGTCATGGTGCTGCTCATATATACTTTAAAATGGGTTTCAAGTGACATTATCTCGTTGTCAGAAACAACAAGGCTAGGGTCTTTTAAATCTAAGAATTAATTGTTGCATTGTCTGGCGTTCCTCTATAAATATCATAAAAGTTAAATCTAGAATTCTAAATGATTCATTGATATTAATCCACATATCAAATCAATGGACCATTGGTCAATTTTAACATATATAATTTACAGTTATAGTTTCGAAAAAAGGGCAACATTCTGGTTGACAAATCTATTGTGAACAGTAGTGCTGTGTGAATATATAATATATATATAAATATAAATTATATTAATTCATAATTTAACAGCATTGACCCATCCTAATTTTAATGTAAAATTTCTACAAGGCTGACAGAGCTATTTGATATGCGATTAAATCATTAGACCTTTACTAAAGTTATATGAGCCTCGCCATGACAAAAACCAACGTTATGCGTTTGCAACCAGCATGGATCCAGACTAGCCTGTGCATCAGTGCAGTCTGATCAGGATCCATGCTGTTCGCTTACAAACATAGCAAATAGCGAACAGCATGGATCCTGATCAGACTGTGCGGATGCGCAGGCTGGTCTGGATCCATGCTGGTCGCAACCCATTATGTTGGTTTTGTCATGACGTGGCTCATATATCGTCAAACTGTTCATAAAATATATGTCACTATTGTTAGCTATAGACTAGAACTTGTCACTTGTTTTGAAATCTGCATTTTTAGGTCAGATCAAAATTTGAAGTTTTTGTGGCATTTCAAATACATGTATTAATTATTTTTACTCTTTCATTGACAAACAAAAAGATTGGCACATGTGAAACAAAAAATTTTGCAGTGCCTTTTTTCTTAGTTTTTGAATAGTAATGATCAAATAATATAGTCTTCTGAATGTAAACATAGTTTTCAAATAACAGCGTATTATCTAAAATAATTAAACCTGGAATTGACTTAAAAGAAAAAGCTACTGGGGGGGGGGGGGGTAGTTAAGCTAAGGGGGTTAGTTGATGCGCTGCTTTAAGCTTCATATTGTAAATATGGCTCCATGGCCTCGTAATTTCATATACAAATCTTTGTGTTCTGGTTATCATGAAATACAGGTCCCTATTCTCGGTACAGACAAATGTAAAAATATATTTTCACACTCAGTTCTTTCAACTTCTAGATTTTCTTTGCTAATTTGCACATTAAAGCTACATGCCTCCAGTAGATTTTCTTTGCTAATTTGCAGCTTAAAGCTTAATGCCTCCAGTAGATTTTCTTTGCTTATTTGCAGCTTAAAGCTACATGCCTCCAGTAGATTTTCTTTGCTAATTTGCACATTAAAGCTACATGCCTCCAGTAGATTTTCTTTGCTAATTTGCAGCTTAAAGCTAAATGCCTCCAGTAGATTTTCTTTGCTAATTTGCAGCTTAAAGCTGCATGCCTCCAGTAGATTTCCTTTGCTAATTTGCAGCTTAAAGCTACATGCCTCTAGATTGTTAAGCCAAAATATTATAAGAAGATCAAACTTAAGAAATATGTACTTAGATTTTCAGAAAAGTAAAAAGATATAAGTAATAATTTCAAAGTTATGTGCGATTTAAGACTGATTTTGCAGTATTTATTATCATATTTCTACTGTGTGACTAATGCAGTAAGGGCTATTTTTGCATATTTTGACCTATTTTTGGTAATCTAAGTTGATTCATTTTCAATGTGTGAATTACTTTCTTTGTTCACTTCTATACATACATGTACATGTATATGACTTTGAATTAATAGATGTTACACAGAACTCAGCAAATGTGGGTTTTTCTAAGTTTATCCCCCAGTACAATTATAGATTCACACAGCACTTATGATCACAATAAATTAGTCAACCTGTTGCCCTTATTTTCGAAACTATAACTGTTAACTGTAAAAATTTGTTTGTAACCCCGGGTTAGCTGGGGAAAAACCCAAAATATTTTTAATTCTAGAGTATATAGTCTGATGGCAAGAACATTGCACTGTGTCCGGTCAATACTTATCAACATCAAATAATGAAAAATTAGGAATCAGAAAAAACATAAAAATGATTTGATATGTTAATACAATTTACTTTTATTAAAATCAAATTCATTCATAAATATAAAGCATTTTATAAATATCAGGTAATGTTAAGAATTTACATTGTCTGATTTTATTTAAACATAACTGTATCCTGGATATTGGTCCTTGTATGCCTTTGGAATGTTGATAATGACACCACTTGGGCACTTAGGTTGTTGGCAGCAGAGTGGTGGGGCTGGGTCCTCCAAGTGACAGATGCTAGGTAAGTTATTCCAGTTCAAACATCTGAAATACCAAATCAATGCGTTAACTTTTGGTGCAAAACAAAACATCCTTTTAATCAAAGTGTCAATTTCCTTACTTTAAGTTAAGTCAAATCTGATTCTTGAGTTTAATAAATAGATCTAATTGCATTGCAGATATGCCATTATCATTTCTTGTTATTATTTTTATCCAAATAATAGTAATTATTAAGTTGTAATTCATATGAAAACAGTAGTTTAATCACAGTTTTATGTAAGTTTTCTTAATTTATAACAAGCATTTGAATTGCTTCTTAGATTAAGTATAGTACTTGTGTCATATCAGGAATGATTGTGGCCCAATAAAGGGGCTTGAAGTTATGATACAAAGGTTAAAAGGCAATGCATTTGCCACTAAAACATCTTGCAAACTTGAGGACATAAGATGACCACAAGATCATATTAATATCTCAACCAGATACTAGGTGGATACTGTATATAATATAATGTAAGAATATGAGGTGATAACTCAAGGTGATAACTCAAGGAGGTGATAACTCAAGAACATGATAAAGAAACACTTAAAGACTCACTCACAGCTGATGTCAGATGTGAGGGCAACAATTAACATTATTAAAGGAGATCCACTAAGGTCAAAAGTGGAGGTCAAATAACATTAAATTTGAAATTATAACATAGATCAAATGAAACACTTAAAACGGAAAATTCTACGAGGGATTATAAAGAAAAATTCTAAGAATGAAATTTAAAATCAACTTCTGACCTCTATTTGAGCGAAAAGATTTTCGAACGCTTTTAATTTTTTTGGGGATTTAGCACATTTAAATTTTGATTATTTTGAAAAAATGGGGCAAAGGAATGATCTGTAAATTTGCACACTTATTATTGGTCTAGACCTGCATCAAATTGTAGACACAAATCTCTGAAAAGTATTTATTCCAGTACAGTTATGTCAAAAAACCTTAATGGAGTCCATTAACATGACAAGTTTATATGTTTATATATGTAATATCACACTTGAGGATATGTTAAACCTCTATGTAATTGAGGGCAGCAGAAGACAACCTAAAACTAATATAGAGCACACTTACACAGCTCTGCAAGAGTACATTCCTCTATCAGCATCTGTACAGGTACATGACTGACTGCAACCATCATTCCATGTCTGAGCCTGAGTGTAATATTGTCCCTTGTATGTACAGAATGCTGTTAAATGAGAAAAAGTAAACATACCTTTTTAATATTTATACTTTTTAGAAAATACGCCAAATATGTTAACTAAGTAAACAACCTATCACCCGCATTTAATTAAAACATACACTTTACATGTACTAACCATAAAATCTGTATTAAAACAACTAAGTGTTTAATGTTTTCCTAGACATGAGTAGTGGTCTATTACAGCATTAACTACATTCATTCATGGTATTATGTGCAACAGAGTTACACATAGACTAGAATTCTAGTGTTTATAGTGATACTTTGTATTTATATATATATATAGTGTCCGTTTTTGAACCTCCCCATTTCTGCCCAGTAATTCTATGGTCAGGATTCACACAGTATCTATTTTATGTCTACTTAAAGAACAGAACACTGACATCAAATAAAGTAATTTCTGGTGATTCTCTTTCAAAAATTAGGAATTTTCAAGACAATATGTGACCATTCTACATGTATTACATTAAACGTAATAAAGAAATTGACCTTCAAATATATTAAATTGCAAAAAAAGCTACAAAAAATGACATTAATTGTCATAATGTTTGAGTCTAGAGATTATTACTTAAAATCTTCCCTAATGGTGGCTGATTTGTGCCATGTCGTATTTTCACTCCAAGGGGCGCGAGGCAAAAACACAAAGTGACCATGTTATACTTTCGTTCTGCCGGGTGCAAGACAAATACATGATAATAAGACAAAATCACCACTTTGTTGAATTTTTTGTTTTCCCCTGCCCTGGCGCCCTGTGGAGTGAAAATAGGACACAGCACAAATCAGCCACCATTATAAAATAAGTGCTCTAAGCGAAGATTTTAGGTAAGATAAACATACATTATAACAATTAAGATCTACATCTCTCAAAATGCATGTGACATCATGATAATCTATTTATAAAACCAAAGACAAGAAATCTGGTTAGGCAACAATGTTAATGACTCCAGTAGTGTAAAAAAATGAGTGCACAAAGGCTAATTTTTGTATCGGCCAGTCGATTATCATCATCTTTATCAAGATTTTATTCAACTCAAACTTTAAATCATGCTTAGAAGAATATTTTCTTATGCCATGCAGACCCTACAGTAGTAGCATAATCAGAAGACGGGTCTAAAATTACAACAATGCTGTTTGTTTTTCAGTCAAATGCACAAGCTACTCCAGAACATCCCTAGATCAATACTACACTGTACTTATGAACTTAACATTTTAAATAAAATAAATGTAAGCTGTGATCTGTAAATGAAGCTTTTAGGTGTTAGTTAGCAACATGCCTCCAGATTCATGATAATTTTCATAATTTTTTTGAAAATGTATTAAAAAGTAAAATATTGAAAAGTGAACAAGGAAAATAATTTTACATTGCAAACAGCACTTACAACCAATGTAAATTACCAAAAAATGAGATCAAAGTATGCAAAATTAGCCCTTACTGCATTAGTAACTAAGTAATCTTAAATCTTTTTACTTTTCTGTACTTTTTTCGCAAGTTTGATTTTCTTGAAATATTTAGATTCATCTGCAGACATTCAGCTTAAAGTTAGACTATATCTCCTTATTAATCAAACATTTTTTTATCTATCTCTAACATTGTGAAATGGGACTTCACAAAAAGTAAGAGACAAATCTGCAGGGGAGTATTTTGTTTAAAATAACGAAAAACAAACAGCATCTTAGTCAAAAGCCAGAATAGTGTGCATAAGAAGAGTGAAAGCTTTGTGCAATATCATTTTGAGCAATATGCTAACAGTGAAAGCTTTATGCAATATTTTTTGAGCATGGTACTAACAGTGAAAGCTTTTTGCAATAATATATTTTTTTGTGCAATATACTAACAATAAAAGATTTTTGCACTAATATATTTTCTTTGTGCAATATACTTACAAGGAAAGCTTTTTGCAATAATATTTTTTTTGGTGCAATATACTAACAACGAAAGCTTTTTGCAATCAAATTTTGTGCAATGTAAAAATTGTGCATTCAAATGTGCATTAAATTCAAGGGAGGTAAACTTCTTTAGAACTATAATGTGCGTAAGGAAATTGGTAAATGTGTCTTTGTGGGGTCAGCGTGCAGTGTTTAAGGAGATGTGAAATTATCACATAAGCCTTAAGGTCTATTATTATCACAGTACCCTTATAATTCCAAGTTATAGTTATAGGAGGTTGTTGTGTTGAAAATGGACAGTCAATAGTAGGACAGCAATGTCCTTGAACAAGTTTACAACCAGGAGGAATCTGTGAGTATACAGGACACCTGAAAAAAAAAATGTAATGTTGAAACAACGTCTATTAATGTTTTTTTTTGTCACAAATATATTAACAATGACTCACTTGTTCCGCCAACTACAATCTGGGGTTTCATTGTAGACAGGGTAAGTGTACCACAATCTGGTTTAGCACAACATTCACCGGGATTGGTCACAAGTTTACAACCTGGTGGAATGTTTAAGTACTGTGGACATCTAAATAAAATTCAGAAATAAATATACAGAATAATATAAAATGAATAATCACAAAATTGCAAAGATACTGACTTTTTTTTTAGAATAGAAACCAGATACGGTACATTAATAACTGAAAAAACATTCAATATGTATCTACAAACCCATCACTTATGTTAGTTCACTTTAATTAATATTAACCCAATATAAGACATAAGCAAGTCTTAAACTTTCTATTCAGTTAAATTAAGCAAATTCAAAAATGTACAGGCCCATGTGGCCTTAATCTGGTTGTATTTCCTTGCAGTGATCACTGCCGACAAATATCACCGGACTTACAGCAGTGATCACTGCCTACAAATATCACCCGACTTACAGCAGTGATCACTGCCGACAAATATCACCGGACTTACAGGTTTCTACATCTGTAGTAGCCTATGGCAGCATCCTCGCAGCTGCAGTTATACTGGCAACCATCAGTCCAGTGCTGGCCTTGAGTGTATTGTTTATTCTTATATTCACATACTGTAAAATAGTTTTTTTTATAAATCAATACAAAGGAATAATGCATACCAATTCCCATAATTCATGAAATCATTTATAAATCAATACAAAAGTCCATAATTCATTGAAGCGTTTTCAAATTAAGATTATACATTTCATATAGTCTGACAGACTGACAGACAGACAGACAGACAGACAGACAGACAACCTACCTGCTGCTTGCGTTGGGCCGGTTCCGGATGCGGGACCTTGGGTAATTACGCTTCCTGGTGGACCTAAAATAAAACACATATTTTAAAGGACATGCTTCTTAGACAGACTTCAATTTATAATTTTATAACTTATATAATTTTATATGTTATGATATACACATATTTGATAAATATTTCAGTGATTATGGTGATCTTGAGGGGATGGTAAGCACATGGAAAAATGTATATGTTAAATTCCAATGAACTGTAAAAGTCTATAAGATTTCCATTCACAAGATCTCAACAATTTTCTCCTCATAAAAATACATGTATGTTTATTTCAACTATAAAAAAGCCAGCATACATGTGGGCATATCAACAAGCATGCAAAAGTTGTCTCTTTTTTCAATCCATATACATATAAGCATTGTTCATATCAATGGCAGTTTGTAATTGTCAATTGTACCTTGTTTTTTTTTACAGACAATATATGAATGACACTCAATTTTTTAAAAAAAAAAACTGTGTATTTTATGATACAATGAAGTTGAAGAAATAGAATAACTTACATTGAGAATGGGCCTGGATAGCAAATACATCACCAGTACCAGGATTGGCTGGAAAAATAAAACAATATTTCATTATGTTTCATCAAGAATCAGTCCCAAAAAAACAGAACAATCAACCCTTAACCTGCTTTGAATCTGATTTCAATATCAAAATAAAAAATGAGCTACCAATGGGTAAGAGCCTAAGTCAGGCTTCATGGTTGAGCTAGTTTTAGTACAACATAATAATAATTACAGTCACTACACCTAAACTGCAACCTTGTACATTTATCTTTTATCTTAAATGAGCTAACCATACAGGCATTTCATAAACAAAACTAAACTTTCATATCCTGTAAAAAACTACCAGGTATACTTTTTCTAGAATAGCAACAAGAAATTGTGTTGCTAAGAAAATACTTACTGAATCCCCAATGAGCCTGGCTGGTTCCAGGAGCATAGTAGAAAGTTGGTTTCTTGTCACCGGCTTCATAGAAGCAAGAGGATTTGGTTGAGACCATGATCCAGCCGAAAGAGTCACAATTGTCTGTCTTTGATGACTGACCACTAACATAGAACTCTCTGCCAGTATTTGCATCACTAAAGAAAATAAAAGGTAAAATTTTTTAAATTTTGTATCTTCTTTCCATATTTTCATTCCAATTGTAGATCATCACAGACTTTGGTTTTCAGAAATCCTATATAAACAATTTAGTAACCCAAGAAGCTTATTAAGTTTTTTAATAGTTCTTTGTTTCACTTTTACAGTGTTGTTATTTTTATCTGAGGCAAAAACAACAAATTTGGCCCAGGGTCAAAGAGGGATATTTTAACCTTCAGGCTGAAAAAACAAAAAACAAACTGATTTACCAGCATATTAACAGATGTTACGGATCGCCAATCTGTTAGAGATGAAAATACTTAACTTAATACTGAATGGACTTAAAAAAGATAAGCTTTGGCAACCAGAAAACAGTCCATTCCTGGATCCAAACAGAACTATTAGCAATGAATGTAAAGTTTCTTGCTCAAGGAAACAACAGAAGATGTAAAAAAATATGGAATGAATTGCGAAATACCCTGCAAGACTGAAGATTTCTTTCTGGGCTGTCTTAATATCTGTCCATGTTGAGGAAATAATCCTGTCAGAAGTGAACCAGCTGTTCTTGTCAGCACCAACTGCATTGAAAATAATATTTGCCTTCTCGACACCATTATTGTAGATTGCTACCTTGACCTGCACGAGATACATAAAATAAATTTCTTTTCAATTCTGAGTATATATCGTAATACTGTTAAGTGGTTAAGTTAGCGATGCGGAATTATTGCAAAATTTTGCGAATTGAGGAAATATACATAATTATCAATTAATGATTTACATAATTATCCATTAATGATTTACATAATTATCCATTAATGATTTACATAATTATCCATTAATGATTTACATAATGATCCATTAATGATTTACAAAATTATCCATTAATGATTTACAAAATTATCCATTAATGATTTGTAGGATTAAATACAAATGTAATAACATTGATAATTCAACGGTATGATTCTTGAGAGAAAGGTTCACAAAATAAAATCTACAATAAAACAAATGTTACCTTGTCAATGCAGAGATCCTTCCAGTGGTTAGAATAGTCTGGTTTGTAATGGCCCTTGAATTCAGAGGTAAGGGTTTGGGCCTGTGGTACATTCGGGTTCATTGTCTGGCTTGAGTGCCACAACTGGTAAAGATCTGGACCAGTTGCCCCAGCAACACCCTTAAGGAAGAGCATCCATTCTGATAAAAAATAAATTTCAAATATCAAAGTTAGTTGAGCATGCATTTGCTTAAAAATTTTCTCAAAGTTAACTTCAAACTAACCTACAACCAACCTTCTCTTCTTTCATTTTCTTTGGAACAATAAATTCCGGAAAATCTAATTTCTACCAATTTGTATCTGTTAATAAAAATATAAAAAACTTACTAGATGCATCAGCAGTGACTGGTGCAGGAACAGTTGTTGTTGTCACTGAAAAAAACAAAACAAACAAAAATGTTTTTGCAAAGAGACAAAAGACAAAATCACTTACAGAACAAAATCAAATATTATCAAAAATTTTACTTTTCATCCATTTTCCCTCTCATGAAAAAAAAATGGTTTCAAAGTTTAGTTTAATAACAAAAGAAAAAAGTGAAACGTAAAAGAACCTGTCCCACACCCTGAAAGATAACAAATATCTTTCAAAAAATTGTAATTGTTAGAACAAACAAAAAATGGTTTGAATGATCAAGTGTAGCAGTGGGCTCAACTGAAGGGTTGATTGTTCCTGCCCTAACACTATGTGACGGTTAATAGTTCCTGCCCTACAACCATGTGACGGTTAATAGTTCCTGTCCTACAACCATGTGATGGTTAATAGTTCCTGTCCTACAACCATGTGATGGTTAATAGTTCCTGTCCTACAACCATGTGATGGTTAATAGTTCCTGTCCTACAACCATGTGACGGTTAATAGTTCCTGTCCTACAACCATGTGATGGTTAATAGTTCCTGTCCTACAACCATGTGACGGTTAATAGTTCCTGTCCTACAACCATGTGACGGTTAATAGTTCCTGTCCTACAACCATGTGATGGTTAATAGTTCCTGTCCTACAACCATAACAGTTGATGGTTTTTGTCCTACAAGTTACAACCATGTGACAACCTTGTTTTCACATATGACACTAGTACCAGCTAGTTCCAGGAAGTACGCTTTATAGAAATTGGTTCAAATAAACTTCAAGTTTTCATTACAAAAAAGGGTAAATTAAAATAAATAGATTTTAACTTAAGTGGTTAAGGTTGCTGAATTTCCAACACTTTGCCAACATTGCTTGAGATCATGCTCAACTAGAAAAATGGTGAAAAATGGCCCAATGATTTTGAAAGTAACAGGGTTTCATATATAAGTAAAAGAGATTAAATAAAAATATGGTAAATAAACAAAAAAATCTTACATGTTTCATTACACAGGTTACATGTCTTCCTACAATTCTGAAGAGCATAGCCATAATATTCCCCACTACAATAGAAGCTTGTGTCAAGTAGTTTACACGATGGTAGGTTATCCACACATGGACCAGATGGAGATGGCGTTGTTATAACTGGCTGTCCAGAGAATGCTTAAATATACACAAATATACACAAATATATGCATATATACACAAATATACACAAATATATGCATATATACACAAATATACACAAATATATGCAAATATACACAATGACCTTGTATTATATCAGAATTGTTTTCCCACACAACTATTGAAAAGAACTTATACCAGTGTTTCCAAATGAACTACATTTTTTTTTCGTTTTAGCATCTATTTAGATTTATATTGGAGAATTATAATTATTATACATATACAGTATAGAAATGAAGTTGGAAACAAAGGAAAGATATCATAAATATATTTTGACTTTTTCTCATACTTTGTCTTAAGAGACCGATGTATTAAGCAACCATTATTGGTGTTACCCCTACATGTTTGTTAATACAAGTTCAACTGTATATCATATTATTTTTAACTATTGTTTTATCAAAGTGGATTTTAAAATAAAGAAAAGAAAGCAACAATGTGATGTTTAAAAAATTGCTTCAATAAGGGGTATGATAAACAGGAAACAAATGTACCATTAATTATACATATGAACATGTTTAAAGTAAATGAAGTTCTATTCATATATTTTCCACAACAAGTACTTTAGTTCAGTTAAGTTTATTTAGCAAATCAGCATAATATCATGCCTTTGGCCAATTTAACATTTACAAAGAGAAGAATATGGCTAAGACAACATGAACATATAAAAGTAGTGCTTGCAAAAACTATATATACATGTACATATCACCTTCACAAATTGTCACAGACATACAGTATAATGAAGTACATTTATATTATGCAAATTAAGAAGTAGCTTTGACATCGATAAATCTTTTCCTTCTTTAAAATGCCTCATACAATTATTTTGCAGATTAACATAACTTATTCTTACTCTTACAATGCATAATGTTTGAAATTTTATGACTAACTAGGCCATGAACAATTACCTAAAATATTTTGTTCTAATTTCAGAATATAGTGTGCTTACGTGGTGCTGTGGTTGCACAGAGACCGCAGAACTTCCTGCAGTTATCTTGTGCCCATGGTTCGTAGATGCCAGAACATGCCTGTAAGCCATAGTCCTTACAGTCGGACAGTTTGTCAATACACTGTGGCTGTGGTGTTGTGAAACTTGGGTCTGTTAGAATTAGGATACAATTTTTCATATTATCAAAAGTTTAACAAGAATACTTTCGTGACCAGACTAATTTATTAAGAAGGTCATAAATAAATATTCTATTGAAATATAAATGGAACTATTTTTTGTATTAACTAAAATCTTTTTTGTGCTGAAAGACATTGTAAGAGTCTCTTGAATTTTGTGTAATGGATTTTTTTGTGTTAATTGTTTGACAAGGTTACATTTTGGAAGAGTTTCTTGTATTTTGTTAAGGATTTTAAGGTGTTAAGTATTTGACAATGTTGAGGATTTTTAAGATACAGTTTTTTTTATACAAAATAATAATTATACATTTATACAAAATAATAATTATACAATTACAGCAAATTTGGCATGTCATTGGACAGTTTCTTGTCGCCCAGTCCTTGTAAATGGAGCCACAAGCGTCCTTTCCATAATCCTTACAGTTGTTTATATTGTCATGGCAAAGTGGGTCGACTATAGGCTGTGCTGTGGTTGGTGGGTTTGGTGTTAGTCCAGGTGGTCTGGTAACGCCAGGGTTTGTGTTACATACCACTCTCTTACAGCAGCTTCCAGTCTGAGCCTCTAGTCTACATACTGGTGGAATGTTGGTATACACTGGACATCTATTAATAGTAACAATATCTATAAATAGACTATGTTGTCTATATATAGACTAGGACATCTTAAAATAACCTAGGATATCTATAAATTATACTGTCTAAAAGAAAACTGGACTCAACAAAAACCTAAACATAAATCTGACATTATATGAATTTGACAATGTATGAAAATCTCAGTATCAAAATCTTTGTTTAAGTCACATTTCTTTACAATCATTTTCAATTTTTTTATGATACAATTTTATTCAAGAATGTTTTATTCTAAGATAAGTTTGGTTTGCTAACTGTTATGGGATCATTCATATTATCATCAAGATATCAAAACAAGTGACTTACTTGGCAGAGCATGAGTACATTCCTTGTTTTTCATCTAAGCAAGTACATGTAAAGTCGCACCCATCATCCCATTTAGCATTTTGACCGTAAACAGTACCCTTGTAGACACAAGCATCTATAGAAACAAAATTAAAGTTTACATATAAAGATGATTATAACATGTCATTTTTAGATAAGATGACAGAAAATTTATAAAGTTGATAATGTATTCCAAATGAAAGTTCTCTTTTTATAATTATTTTGGAAGGGGAGGATAAGCATTTGGTTTAAATATTGCTGGACTTTGTAGTTTTTCACTAAAACTTGTATTTTTTTACATTAAAATTCATTAATGAAACTAAGAATGTTTAAAGTTAAAGTGTAAATTCTTACTGCTTTGTCCACTTGTTTGTCCAGGTGATGAGTATGGTCTGAAGCCAGTGAAGCCACCAGTATAGGTGCCCACAACTGGGAACACTGAGCTACTGGTCAGTGGATTAACAACTTCCTTCTTGTTTGGATCATAACACATTGGCTGAGAACAACATTGACCGTCTGCCTTCACCAAGTAGCACTGGTTAGACGGTAAATTGTTGTAAACTGGGCAACTGAAATATTTATAGATTGAAATAAATAAACATTTATAAACAATTTTCATTCTACCAAAATAATTATAAGGGTTATTTCTTTTACCAGTTTAAATCTTTTATAAAAAAAACTTGTCTCACTACTTTTAATACATTCAACAGAACCATAAAATATGAAAAAGTAGGAAAACAAATATGGATATGTCTAACAGAGACATTTACTACTTATATTCACATATAATTCTTATGATCTAATTTAGGCAACTTAGTACTAATCCAAAATTGCACATAAGTAATTTGCAACACTGAATGTCATATTGATATATAGGCAACTATGTAATGAATTATGGATTTTTTTTATGTTGGGTTTTAATATCGCACCAACATTGTCAATGTTAGTGTGGTATAGCTTTACTAGTGGAGGAAGATATTAGGTACATCTGTGTGCATTATTTTTACACACAAGCAAGCACCTGAGCAGAACCACTGACGTTCTGCAAGATAGCTGGATAGCTTCCTCACATGAAAGAATCCAAAGATTCTGGCAGTACTCAAACCCAAATCTATGAGGGGCTAGTGATTTGCAATCAAATATCTTAACCACTTGGCCACAGATGCCCCTCATGGATTATGGTGATTCTTATATTTGAACGTAGGAGATAGAGAAAAGTGATCACTTACAGTGGGTTACAAACATAGTATCCTGTCCTACTATCCATACACTGACATTTATAATCACAACCATCATTCCATGTCTCTCCTTGGTTGTATAGTTGATTCTTGTACACGCATTTGTCTCTGATAGAACCGGTTACATCTGGTCTTGTGGCATTAGGTAGGTAATATCCGCCTCCTGGATAGTGACCTCCGCTTACTACATTGTACAATTTTTAACGTTATTTCAAAGAGGCATATGAATGATGTTTACTTTTGCAAAGACCACAAATTGTAATTATGAAAAGGTTAAATATGCTAATTTATTAGTACAACTAACAGTAAGATGCTATTTCCTAACCAGTGTCACATTAAATATTAAATGACAAACAGCATATAACTGATTAAAATTGCTTGTTCGTCAGAACTCGATTTCTATAAGTATGAAACAATAAGAGTAAAAAAACCGAATTTGTAAAAAACATCTGGATTTTGTGGCAAAACAGTATGGGAAAGAAAACCGAATTTGTAAAACATACCTGGATTTTGTGGCATTACAATGATCTGTGGATCTGGTGTGGAGCCTGATGGAGAATTGGATGGTCGTGGTGTGGGTACCAGCTGTGGTACTGGGTTGTATGTGCCGTAGCCTGGAATATCACATGTCAGTGTTGGGCAACACTGACCTGGTACTGTCACAGATTTACAGTAGTTTGGTAGCTGTGGATATTCTGGACACCTGTTGTAAAAAATGATGGCATTGATAGGATGGTAAAAAGTGTGGAATAAAGGGAGACAAGCATCATAGAGCAGTGAGATACTATTAAAGGGAGACAACCACCATAGAGTAGTGAGATTCTATTGAAGGGAGACAACCAATATAAAGCATTGATATTCTATTAAAGGGAGGCAACCATCGAGCAGTGAGATTCTATTAAAGGGAGACAACCAACATAGAGCGATAAGATTCTACCACATTATAAAGAGATATTAAAAATTGCATAACTTATGAGAAGTGAAGGATAATAACCAGTACATTTCAAGCATGATATTTTCTTAAATTTAAGTACTAGTATACTATAAAATTATAGTTTTGTTATATAATTTTCATCTAGAAAACTGGAATGTTTAGTTTAGCCAGAGTCAGATTGTATTTAGGTGTGTATATCTGTAGACTGATATATGTAGTGATTTTTAAAAAAAACAAAAAACAACAAAACAACAACAACAGTTTACTTACTTGGAGGTACATCTGTACATTCCTGTTTTACCATTCTCGCAGGTACATATAAATTTACAGCCATCTTCCCATGATGTTCCCTGAGTGTGCAGAGAGCCCTTGTATACACACTGGTCTAAAAACACATTGTTAAATATTTATACATGTATATATATGACATGTATGTCTGAAGATCTCTTTTAAAATAGCATAACATAGACAAGAAATCTTCAAGTCAAATTATAATTTCTTATGCCAAATCATTATAAAGTTTAGAAAATGGCTAAAAAAAAATGGTAGAGAGTCCTGGAAACATAATCTGATGATGTATCAAACACCATACCTCTACCACCGGAGATCATTTGTCCTGGTTGTGGTTTGCTGTAGCCGTTGATGACAACATGAGTGCCAACAGGAAGGACCTGGAGTGAGTGTGGTGGTGGGGTGGCAGTTCCAGATACTGGTGACAATGTCTGGCCACTTGGTAATGTACAGAGTGGTTTCTTACAGCAAGTGTTGCTTGGATCAGGAATCAAAGTACAGAATGATGGCAGACTAGAGTAAACTGGGCATCTGTAAAACAACATAGCTTCATGTTAGATTTTTTAAAAATGATTTTATTCAATTCATACATTATTATACAGTATTAGAGTAAAAGATCAATGTAAGTGTTAAATCAATAAGATTTATAACACAAATTTGTAACATGTTCAGTTTTTACTTTGAAAATTCAAAGAATGTCATTATAAGATTTTTAACTCCAAAGTTGGTATTGTTTTTTTTGGTTAAAGTTTTTAGTTAAAGTTTTAGGTTAAAGTTCCTTACTTCTCTGTACATTCAAAGATGTTCTTTGCAGCATCAGTGCATCTGCAGTCCTTGTCACAACCATCTTGCCATGTGGCTCCCTGAGCATATTGCATGCCATTTGTGAATACACACACAGCTAAAAATAGTAACACAGTAAACATATAACTTTCTCTTAATTTACATATTATCTAAAACTTAGGCAATACAAAAAGTGATACATTTTTATTATATACTAAGTCTTATAAATGAAATATTGAGACATATTGATGAAAAAAATGTATAATTCTATTTTCTGTATTTTCACTGTGAAAATTTATGTTTTTACTGAAGTGAAACTTATTTTCCATATTTTCACCTGTGTCGTGCCAGACTACTTTCTTCTAAATTCAGCCATGATACACACAATTACGAATTGTAAGGTCAACAAAGAAAAAAAGTATATGATAAACAAACACATTCAAGTTTTTCCTATAAATACAGAATTTATCTTAATCTTATCATAATTCAATTTCACTTGTGGCTACCACACTCGTGAAATATTTATTTTCATACCATTTGATGAAAAAAAACAACTTGATTTTCACAATCAACAACATCACTAAATATTGACTGTTAAAAGTCTTCATAATGAAACTCCTTATAATTTTCTCATTGAACAACATGGACAAATAATTTAAGTATAGCAATAAAAATCTCTAAAATTCTTACTTGATGGTTTAATAGTTGGACCAGTTCCACTTGGACCTACACCGGTTCCCGGTTGTACAGTGATTACAGGAGCTTGAGTTGATGGTTGAATATAAGTGTTACATTCTGGTTCCTGGCAGCAAGCATCAGTGGTGGACTGTTTGTAGTGGCATTGTGGTGGTAGGTAAGGATATTTTGGACATCTAGTAATTAAAGAAAATAACAAGTGAGAAAATATAACTTAACTTGCTGAATGCCGTAATGGATTTGCCCACCTTTATATTTGGAACAATTCATCCGAAGTTTATGGGATTTGAACATCAAAGTACATAAAATGACCTGGGAACAATTTGCAGTTGCAGAGCCTGGCCTTGGGATCTATACTATTTGCAAATGCTCAATGCTTTTGGTTCCTGGGCAAGCGTAAGAGTTGAACTTTTGCTAAAAACCAAATACAACTTGTCTTTCAATGATAACAGAGTTTACTGTGAAAGTTTTTTTTTGTATGTAATTATTCATGCAAATATATTTCAACATTACATCTGAATGGCATAACGCTTTATAAACAAATTTTTTCCAGGTAATTTCTAAGTGGTTTACATCATCTGAACAGTATTTCAACCATATATAGTAGTCCTTGAAATTTATTTAAATAGTTTAACTCTATTTTATAAAAGTACTATTGAAATTCTATAACAGTAACAACCTATTTCTTAGGAAGAAACTTCCAGCTTCACAACATTTATTACTGAACATATTGCTATGCTTGTATTTGTTTATTTAAGAAGAATACAGTGTTATACGAAATGTTTGTATACAAAATGTACATACAAATGTAGCTTGTATTTATGTGTGTTGTATTTCAAGATCTATATATGTACAAGTTTTGTATGTATTGGCAAAGGCAATGTTTTGCCGATTTTCAAATAAAATTTCAACTTGAACTTTTTAATTAAAAACTGTAGTGCAGTTCATATGTGATAAGGGTTTGAGTGTAAATGTGTGTCTTAGTAGTAAACTAATTATGCACAATAGATAGATTAGAACAGTGGTTCACCTGTCATTGCATTTGTATTGTCCTCGTGAGGCGTCCACACATTCACAGACATAGCTACATCCATCATTCCATTGTTGTCCTTGTGTGTAGATCATACCCTTGTATACACACGCAGCTGCAAGTATAACAATAATTCATGAACAATAAGTCACTAAACACTATCATGAACAATTAGTCACTAAACAGTTTCATGAACTAGCAATTTTCAGTAACTCAATAGCATAGAAGAAATTAAAAAATAATCTGTAACTTGACCTATAACTAAAAAAAAAATTAATAAATAAAATCAGTTAATGGAATACACCAAGAAACTTTAGTCACTAGCAGTATAATACTAATATTATAACACAAGAAAGAAATAAAAGCACGTTAAATTTCTAATTCATCGTTTTGCAAACAGATAAAATTAATAGCTAAATATGAAATCTTCACATGTAAATTACTTCATAATTATCCCCGTATATACATTGACAATTAAAACTACACATAATGTAAAACAGCCATAAGCTTAGTATTAGGTTAAAAGTTTTATTCACAACATAATACTGAATTGTTTAGGAGGGTATAACTTACGTGAAGACCCGGTACTTCCGGTTCCTGGTTGGAATGGAACAACAACAGGGTTTCCACCACTGTTTCCAGTGAATGATCCAGAGATTGGTTTAGGTGTGATGAAAGGATTGATGGTAGACTGACCGGGACCTGGTGTTGGCATTGGTGTTGGAATCTTGCCAGTGTTGCAGTCAGGAATCAAACAACAGGAGTCAGCTGGGTCGGCCTTCAATGGGCATGATGAAACTGGGTAGGACGCACATCTTATTAATAAAGAAAAGAATATTTCAATAAGTAAATAAGCAAAATATTAATTCAACATGCATGATAAGTACACTGATGTGAAAATATTCTTCTCCATTTTTAATTACTGTACATTCCATTAATTTACATTTTTTCCCAAAAGAATAGAAAAAATCTGGAAAGATGGTCCCTTAAAGAAGCATTATTTAAAATAAAATTACAGGAAAATTGCAAATTCAGTTTGATTGAGTCTGTAATATAAATATACAACAGCTACAAGATACTGTACTGTACTGGCATTTCAAACACACACAAGCTACAGATATTTATAATGTGATTGCTGCAGTGAGATGAGAGGATTTCATAGTGAGATATAGAATATATCACCTTTGGTTGCATGTGTAGTAGCCCTTCATTACATCTTCACATCTACATCTCTTATCACAACCATCGTCCCATGTCTGTCCTTGTGTGTAGTATACACCCTTGTATACACAGTAACCTGCATAAAATCAATAACAATTGTTTTCAATATGCAGCAAAATTTCTTATTTACACAGTTACTTTCATAAAATCAAAAACACATCTTTATAATTTGCGGCAAAAATCATTGTTTACAGAGTTACTTTCATAAACTCGTGTGTTTACAATATGCAGCATAAATTGTTATTTAATATTTACACAGTAATATGCATAAAATCAAACATAAGTCTTTATACAATATGGAAACGAAATATGCAAGAATAACTGTAAATATGCCTAGAATCAATTTAATATTTAGGTAAAGAGTTTAAAGGTTATTAACTCTAAGAACTAGTCTGACATATCTTATAGGCAGGAATAATCTTAATAAATACATATGTGTATACTATGTGCATTTAAGGACACAGAACATTTCAATTACATAGCAAAGTATATATTGTCTACATATAATGTATATAGAATGATAGTTACCTTGTGGTTTGGCAGTTGTAAATGTTGGACCTGGAGTTGGTGAGGGGTTCACACCTGGTCTTGGTGTATTGGTCACACCAGGTATAATGTATGGTGCTACCGTGATTACACCTGGTTTAGGTGATGGTGTTTGGGCGGGGGCAGGGGTTGGTACACCTCCTGGGAATGGTGTTGGGTTGGTGAAGTCACAGAATGGTACCTGGCAGCAAGGTTTCTTGGGATCTTGTACAAGAACACACTCATTTGGTATAGAGGAATATTTCTGGCATCTGTAAAAAAAAACATTTACCCAATTAAAAACTTTTTCAAAACATTCACAACTATAAAAAGTGTTTTTTTCCAATATAATCTATTTATATAGCCAAAATTAATTAGTAAAGAACAGCAGAGTTTCATTTTCATGAATAGAAAATTGGAATATTAATAAAAAAAAAAGAAATTCTATCATTATTAAGTGTTGTACCTATACAATAACATTTAGATCTTATTAAGGTGATGTCATGCTGAACAGAGAAGCAACATCATTGTAATGTAGTTATACTTACTTCTCAACACATTTGTATTGTCCAGTATTTTCATCAAGACATTCACATTCATAATCACAACCGTCATCAAACTTGTCTCCTTGATGGAACACTTGACCCTTATAGACACATCCTGTAATTCGATCAAATCCCTTACAGTAACTATTATATCATTCACAGCCAATTCAGTCAATTAGAGAAAGTTCTGTAAACCAATTCAGACACATGGAGCAAATGGTACACACTTTAATTGATTTCACAATTAATCGAAAATGATATAGAAGTGTAGTGTAACAAAACAATAATAAGAAACAAGAAGCAATTACCCTTTCTTGTTCCTGGATTGGTACTTCCTGGGCTTGGTGTGGGGTTGACACCTGAAATGTAAACAAGATTTTACTTTACTATAGTAAAATCACATAAAGGCAACATTCTTCAGTGAAGAAAACTTTTGGATATTACCATTCATTCAGCAAGAAGGGAAACAACTCTTTAATGCTTATTAATAATTGCATATATCTAGACTTGTAACTAAATAATTTTTATATATTTTTACATATAAAAAACTTTTAATAAACTGTTACGAATTCAAAGTAGGGCAAAACCATTACACAAATGAGTGGGTTAATGAGAAATTGTAACAATGAAACAGATTTGTGACTCACCTGTGATAACACCACCAGGTTGTGGGGCAGCAGTGATAATTCCGGGGGTTGGATTTGGTCCTGTGGGTGGCAAGAGTGGACAGCTTGGTCTCTGGCAACATGTTGGATCTTTCTGGTCGGGTACAAGTGTGCAACCTGGCTGAATGCTGTCAAACTTGGCACATCTAAAGTAATGAAACATTGGGCTTTAATTACTGTCTTAATTAACATTATAATTATACACTACATGTCTGAATACTATACATTGAAACAGACATATATTGCCAATTATAAATATTTCTTTAACTATTAGAATGAAATGTGAAAAATATGATCTGGCCAAAACACTATTTTAGGCAATACCACACTTTATCACATTCATATATGTATAAAAAAGCTGGTGAAATACATGGAGGTAAGACAGTAAAGAAACAGCATATTATACAGTGGTAATGAAATTTGAGATGAAAATATTTATGTACAATACCTTTGCTTGCAGTTGTGGAAGTTCTTGCCTGAATCTTCACATCTGCAAATATAGTCACAACCATCATACCATTGTTGACCTTGTTGATAGGTGCTTCCCTTGTATACACACACATCTGAAATAGTCATACAATATCACTGTACATGTACATGTTATAAATTACCCAGTCAAACACAGATAATCCTGTACCTGCAGACAACTTTTAAAATCAGTATTGATAAATATACCTTTTGCAGAGAAAGTATCAGTCTATACAGGTTTTTTTTTAGAAAAAGGCAAAAAACAAGGCAAAAAAAAAATAACAAAACATGGTTCCTTTACAGAAATAAAATGCTAGATCAATGACATAGTTTTTATGCATAGTTTCTGTTTTCTTCTAGTCAAGTGAAAAAGATCACTTAATATATTATTCTTCATTCTCTTGTTAATTGTATCATAACTGGGACGGACATGAATGCATGTAATGATCATAAGATGAACCAATGATTTTCAGAGGGACAGATGTTCAGGTTAAATATATGTGATTTTGTACTTTAATGTTTTGTTAGATGATGACAACGGGAGCTTATTTTATGATGAAACAGCTGTTCCATTGACATTTACCATGAATCATGTATAAAGATGATGAAATAATGTTGACCATCTTCAAAAAGAGATGGGGTGTGGGTCACGTACATTTGGCGGAGGGGGGCATCTGGAATAAAAATTGCTGGTGAAATTGTCTTCCAATTTATTAATGAGATTGTGGGTATAAACCAATCTGTGTTACCCAAAACTATAAGTGAACAAACACAGTATTCAAAATGAACCCAAAAGTGATCAATGCTATTTGAAACAGTTACTTTCAACATTGAGCTTATACCAATATGATTAAACTAATTAGGTTTAAAACGATGATGACTTACTTTGTGGTGGGGCAGGTGTTGCTGATGGATTGGGTACACTGCTGGGTGATGGTGGCACAGTGGGTGGTTGACAGAATGGTTTCTGGCAACACTTGTTCATTGGGTCCTGGGTCAAAGTACAGAAGGATGGTAGAGGTGGATTCCTTGGACACCTGTTGTGAAAAAATTAAACAATTTTTAAAAATCTTTAACATTGACAAATGAAACAGTTTTTAAAATCTTTAATAATTTAATCATTTATTTACAGTAGAGCTTGATAAATAATAAATCAACAGATTTTACTTTTCAAAATATTACAAACCTGTATCAACTTGTGATACTTTTAGGTTTACTTTAATTAAGTAACTTGTTAATACATGACTATACCTAAATCAAGCAAAAATAGTAAGCATTTGATGATTAATTATTATTCTAAAAATAAATTCAATTATAATAAATTCCAAAGTCATTTTCTTCAATGTAACTTTAAATTTGCCCATATACATCATGGGTTTGTAAATATTGTGTTTTTTGATGATTCACACATCATGGGTTTGCAAATAATGGGTTTGCTGATATTTCACACATCATGAGTTTGTAAATATTTGGTTCACATATACATGTATTTGACATATAATGTATTTGCCACACTTTATAGGTTTGCCCATATTGGGTTTGCCAATGTGCCAAACATCATGGCTCAGCCCATATTTAACACACATGGGTTTGCCAATTATTGAAGCAATTGTCTTGCCCATTTTTAACACATCATGGGTTTGACCATATTTCACACATCATGGGTTTGCCCATCATCATGGGTTTGCCCATATTTAACACATCACAAGGGTTTGCCCGTATTTAACACATCACGAGGGTTTGCCCGTATTTAACACATCAAGCAGGTTTGCCCATATTTCAAACATCATGGGTTTGCCCATATGTCAAACATCATAGGTTTGCCCATATTTCATACACCACAAACTTGCCCATATTTCCTATAATATCCCTTAAACTTCAATACTAACTTTTCAGTACATCTGTATCTACCAGTTGATGCATCGAGACATTCACATGTGTACGTACATCCATCATCCCATGTCTGACCTTGTGTGTACACGTTTCCACCATACACACAGCCATCTACATATACACAATTGTTTACAATATGTTCAAACATATTTAAAGACACATTATGCCTCAGAAACAAATAAACTTTTACTTCTTTAGAAACGGCAAGTACAAGTTTTGTAATGTTTAAATAACATTTCTATAACATGTTATGAACAGAGTAGCACTAAAATTGAAATTATTTGTTATGACTCATAGTAGCAAAATGTCAACAAAGTATTATTATGACTTCATACAAAATACTATATAACTATAACTGTATCAATTCCCAAAAAACAACAGGAGAAAAACACAATTCAGGTAACTGACTAATGAGTAACTTTTTGTATTCTATCAAAGGTCACTAAAAATAAAAAAGCTTTTGAGAAATAAAAATCAGAACATTACTAGGGCAAAATGGGCCTTTAAACTTGTTGCTTAAAATTACATTAACTTTTATATAGATTGCCATATAATCTACATAATCTTTCTAAACTTTTTGAAAAAATGAAAAACTTGCAAGCTTTATCAAAATCAAACTGTAAAAACTGTATCACAATGTATTTTTATACTCATACAGGTGTTTTCAAGAACAGTTTAAAGCTTACTAAAATATCTAAAATATTTTTTCCTTACTAAAGTTTGAGTCAGACTTATTTCATACTCACTTCTGTTACCGGTAGTTCCTGGGTTGTATGGGTTGTTTGTTGGTAGGTTTGAGCCGGAGATGACACCTGGCACACCTACGACACCTGTCTTTGTGGTGCATTGTGGGATCTGGCAACACTGGTCATTGGGATCAGTGGTCAATGTGCAGTTAGGTGTCAGTGCTGGGTAAGTTGGACATCTATATAAAACATTACAACCCATAGAGTTTTATCATATGTAAAAAATATCAAACTATAAGTTTAACTTCTAGGTTATTTTTATCTCTTAGAAATTTTGAGATATGTGTAATACTATGAATTATTCTTTTTCGTCTGGCATGTTACATTTTATAAATAGCATAATGACTTCCATCTATTTTCTTTATATTAAACATTATGCTCTTTTGCATATATCTATTTTTAATTTTTTTGTTTGATAGAATTTAATCTAGTGCATCATTGAAATAATTTAACACTTATAGCCTATGACCTGCTGGAAGAGACTATGAGAATCTATGGCCAGGCAAGCTTGAACATCCATACAGTCTGACCAGGTTCGATACCATAAGTAGCTTAATATTAGTATTTTTACTTGAAACCCCTTTTATTACATGCTTTTCGGTGGTTTATAGAAATATATCAGTGATTTAAAACTGGTAATTTCACTGTTTGAAACAGTGAAATTACCACTTTGATAATTTCACTGTTTTGAATTTAAGCCCCTTACGTTGTTTCAGTTAAATACCAGCGTGCACAGAACTGGTTACCAACTTAATGACGTGACGTCATAAATGACGTCACGTTGTATTATTATTTGGCGCGCTTTTCATTCAGTATTAGGTTTAATGTCTTTTTAAAACGTTTCTTTGCATATAATAAAAAGAAAATTTATTTAGTTTAGTGTAAGATCGAAATATATTTCACCTTGTGAACACCAAAAGTTCATATTTCACTCGTGGCTGCGCCACTCGTGAAATATACCTTTTGGTGCTCACTCGGTGAAATATATTCCGATCTTACACTGAACTAAACAAATATCCTCTATATACTTAGATACTTTGAATACAATGTTTCCAGTTCATTATCTTGGCAAATCAATCATATAATTTCAGCAGGTGAAGGGTGAACATTATTGAATGTACATGTATATAACATTACCTATCATCACATGTAATCTTTCCTGTCATAGCATCTTCACATTTACAGACCTTGTCACAACCCTGGTTGAATGTCTGACCCTGTCTCAATGGCACACCTTGGTACACACAGAACTGTGTAGCTGGTGTGGGGTTTGGATTTGGCGTTGGCGACTGACCTGGCATAGGTACTGGGGTAGTGGGGCATTCAGGTTTCTTGCAACATGGGTTAATAGGATCATACACAAGAGTGCATGAAGATGGCAGGCTCGGGTATCGTGGACATCTAAAATAAAAATATCCTTTAGAAATGAAATGCATCTTACTCTACAGACCTATAAAACAAATTTCGAGGAAGCACAATTCATAATGTTCTAACACCATGTATATGACCCATTAGTTATCTTGCCAAAATGTTTTCTCAATTTAAAGACTTTGCAATAATATAACTTACACAAAATTAGAACTTTGTATGGAAACTTGAATGAACTGACACATATTTCTACTTAAAGGAATGAAAAAGATATTCTTCTGTGCTCATTTTTGAGGGAGACAATTCAAGCTGAGTTTAAATAAGCAAATAAAAGATTAAGTGAAGAGTTATGTCACCTGTCAGTACAGTGGTAATGACCAGACATGGCATCATCACAAACACATTCAAACTGGCAACCATCTTGCCATTTCTGTCCTTGAGTGTACATTGTACCCTTGTATACGCACACCTCTGCAATAACATATACATCAGTCAATATCAAATAACAGTATAAGGTTTTGTGACTCAAAATATGAAAATGACAGATAATAATCAAAATATCAATATTATGAAATTTTAACAACATTTCTCATACACATGCTAGTAAAAGTTCTTATAATATATTTTTATAATATATCAAGTACTGTGAATTTATTTGGCAATATATCAATGAAAAATAAGGACATACTTGGTGGCTGGGAAGGAGGAACAAATGTGGATCCTGGAAAAAATAGAGAAAGTTTACAGTTCAATTATTCAAATCAATTTTAAAAGAAGCTCAAATATAATTATTAATCTGTTACAAGTAAGGCTTTGGCATTAACATTTTCATAGCTAGTATAAAATCTGTCTAAATTGTGGAATAACTTGTATAAAATCTGTCTAAATTGTGGAATAACTTGTATAAAATCTGTCTAAATTGTGGAATAATTTACCTGAATTAAGCAGATTCATGTGAGTAAGCAAAATTAGCATCAATTATGTAATAATAAATTGGCTGTTTTCACAGACCAATACAATAAAGGCTATATGGCAATTTTTCAGCCTGTATGTTAGAGGAAGACCTCATCTCTATCTGTGCATTATTCCAGGCACATGAGAGCACCTCAAAAGAATCACTGGCTATCTGAAATGTACCTAGATATTTCTTTTCATGAAAAAAATCAAAATTCCTCCCTTGACAACTTCAAACCCAGAGCAATGCACATCAACTTATTTTTTTCTTTGTCAACAAATTTAAACATTAGGCTATAGAGACCCCTGCTGAATAAATGTCCTTCCCACAATGAACAATACAACAAAATATAATTGAGCTGCGCCATATCAAAACAATCATAGTGTGTTTGCGACCAGCATGGATCCAGACCAGCCTGCGCATCCATACTGATCACTATCAGTTTCTCTACTTGTAGTAGGGTTTGTAAATGAACAGCATGGATCCTGATCAGACTGTGTGGATGCGCAGGCTGGTCTGGATCCATGCTGCTCGCAAACGCATTATGTTAGTTTTGTCATGGCTCGGCTCATATTATGATGATACATACCTGGTTGTGGGCTTGGAATCATCTGTGGAGCTGGTGTTCCTGAACCATTAACCTGTCCAAACACTCCTGTGTTGCCTGGGCAACTGGGAGTCAAACAGCAGACGGGATCTCTTGGATCAGGTACCATGGTGCAACCAGGTTGTTGTGGATAACTTGGACATCTGAACATAAATAATGTTGTTTTTATATATATATATTTATATCTATGTATTTTACCTATAAATAGCAACTATTATTACAGAGCATGTTTGTTACTTGGTAATACTTAGTAAAACATGATAGTTTGTCTTTTTTTAGTCATACTTGAAATAATCCAAAACACAGATTGCAGAAAGATAACTTTTCATGAATACAATGATAGAAACATTACATGTTATACACTAAACATTAAATAAAATGTAATAATATTCAAAATGTACATTTTTTTCCAAATGCTATTTTACTAAAATCAAGCATTTATTTTGTATCTTGCAAGAGAAAAAAAAAAAAAATGTATTTTTGTGTTGGATATGTACAAGTAATTATAAAAAAGTACCAGAAGTCATAAAAAAAAATGAATATAAAGTGTCACAGTAAAAGATATGAAACAAATTGCTAAGCACCTGTCATTACAGCTAATTGCGCCAGTCTTTCCGTCGTCACAGACGCAGTATTTGTCGCAACCGACGTACCATTTCTGTCCAGTTGTATACTGTTTACCATTCATAACACAAACTTCTACAACATACATACACCAAATATTTAAATAAATCATTTCCTGGATAGATTTTAAACATAAGAGAAGCTTTAACAGTTAATTTTATATATTAAGGTATTTGTTTCTATATTATTACATTCTGTATTTACTTCTGCGACTCATATTGACATTTTGATATTTTTGTAGTACTTTTCTAATGTAATGTAAATATGTTATATCTGCAATGGTAACTTGGCGATGAATGTGTATTTGTTTTTGCAAATAAAATATTCGACTCAACTTGTAACTGGTCTATTCCATGTATCAGCAACTTCTTAGTTTATAATAGGCTTTTATGGTTTCTAATGAATATATTACACAGAATAAATCTAGAAAAGGCTAAAGAAAAATAAATTACCTTTAGGTGCTGGTGTTGAAAGAGGAGCTGGGCCACCTGAAATACAGTCATGTGATCTCTATAAAAAATTGTATGATTATTGACAGAACATATTGTCAACCTTAGTGCAGTAACCTGTTACCTCACTAAGGTGACAATATAATTTCAAAATGGTATTTTAGTCATTGTCAAATGAGCTTCGTTACAGTGTTGTCAACTTGTCATTAAGAGGCTGCAGTTCACAATAATGGTCTCAAATACATCTTAATAGCCACCTTAAAAACTTATAAAATTTCTTCAATATACAAAAAAAAAAATATTGGATAAAACCAGAAAAGACCACATCTCAGTTTCAAAATGGACAGTCTCAGAAATGTTCTAATGAAACTCCTGACTAATTGAAGTTTGTTTAATTCCCATTGAAAACAAGTATACTATGTTGACAATAATATTTGTTTTGCTATATCTCTGAATAGTTTCCAATGATGCCTTTGTCAAATTACAAATATAATGAATTAAAACTGTGTGGTTTAAAATTTTTGCCTCCAAGTTAAAATTGAATGTTTTTTCACATTTAATTCTATAGAAAATATGCATGAACCTAGAGGCATGATTTGTCTAGAGGCATGCTTTTTAAATCAAAGTATATAAAGAACATAGACAAATACCAGTAACAGGTGCTGGGGTGTGTGGGCAAACATTGCAGGCTGGTTTTGTACAACATTTGTTGTTTGGATCCTGGGCCATTGTACAGTAGGATGGTAGGCCAACATAGCGTGGACATCTGAAACATGATCAGATATATACTATCCCTATATACACAACAAATTGTGAGAAATCTGGTAATACAAACATCATTTGTGACATACATGCATTACAGTCTAAGGACAAGATATGGCATTTCATGAAAAAAATTATTGATGGCCTTATTTTAATGATTTTAGAAATAAAGTCATCAGTTAAATTTTAATAAATACTAAGGCTCCTAAATTGAAACTATGTTTTCCATTTCTTGGTTGGGAAAAACTGACATACAAAAGGAAATTCTTTGAAACTTGAAACATCTCCTGCCCACATACCATTTCCTCTAAATTTTAATGTATGATTAATATGTTAAGTGTAATGATATGTAAAAGATTTTTTTGAAATATTGAACAGCTTACTTCTCAGTACATTGGTATTGTCCGCTGCTAGAATCTATACATGAACAAACAAATGAGCAACCATCATCCCAGCTCTGTCCTTGTCTGTATTGGGTTCCCTTGTACTCACAATATCCTGATGATTAATGATCAGACATTATCATTTACATATGAAATGCTATAGGAATAAGTGGCCAAGTGTTAACATGTCAGACTCGTAATCTAAGGATTACTGACCACATGGGTTCAAACCCCATCAAGTCCTTGTTTCCATCAGCAAGAAACTTTACAGTCATTACTAAGTACTGGTTTGTTCCAGGAACATATTCGAGAGTGTCTCAATAAGCTTATAGCTTCCAATACAATCAAACTAAAATAAATTAGTATATTATCATAAAGGCATAAGAATCTTACACCGCCTGCCAGTATAAAACAGCATATATGGCTAGATTGAAACTAAAAAAAATTAGAGCTGTCATTGCGCTCTGTCAAGTAACTGCATTTCTTTTACTAAATTACAGATTTAAAACTTTATGACTCATCTTAAACCAACAGACTAAGATTGCATTTTTCAGCCCTGGCAAATCTACTGGTGATTTGCAAGAATATTTTACCTTTAACATTTTATCATTAAAATAAGTAATCAAGAACAAAGTAATTAATTTTTGTCATGACAAAGGAAAGTATATGATATGAAAATATTGAATATAAACTACTGACCAACATTTGATGGTAAGACTCCAGTGACGGGGTCTGGTTGTGGACCTCCGCTGATTACACCTGGTACCGCTGTTGGCATTGGGTATGGGCAGACGGTTGGTGGATTGACAGTGGTTCCTGGTTGTGGAGCTGGTGTAGGAATGTATGTACATCTTGGTACCTGGCAGCAGGCATCAGTTGGATCAATAACCATTGTACAGCCTGTGCCCAGGTTGTTGTAGGACTTGCATCTATAATTATTAAATCATATTTCTTTCATTTAATTCTTGACCAAAAGTGACCAACCTTTGAAAGAAGAAATTAGAGCCAGGTCAGCAGTGCACAACTATGCAATGTGACCAGTCTCTTCACTATTGTCAGCTAAATTACTGTTCATGTTTATTTTGAAATTCCTAAAAGGAACTCCACTGTGGTAAAAAAGCCTAAATACATAAAATTTTAATTTTGAAATCTGCGCTGAGGGGAAGATTTACAGCATGGTACAGTAAAAAATCTACTTGTCAAAAGGAAGTGTAGTGCAGTAACAGGTTAACTCCTATAAAATCATATAAGGAGTTAACCTGTTACTGCACTAAGGTGACAATTTACTGCATGGTACGGTAAAAAATTCTACCTGTCAAAGCAAGTATAGATATTGTTGTCAGCATCATCACAACGACATTTCTTTTGGCATCCATCATCCCAAGTTTGTCCCTGACTATATGGTACTCCCTTGTATACACAGAATGCTGCAGATGACAATAAAGAATAACTCTAGCTTTCAAAATTTGAATAAAACTGAAAGATCAATGAAAATTAAATCTGTTTCATGAAACTTTATTGCTTTATTAAGTCTTAAAGCAGCACGCCTCCAGATTCCTGCTAATTTTCACGAAAATTTTGAAAATGTATTAAAAAGTTAACTTACAACCCATATATATTACCAAAAAGGTCAAAATATGGTAAATTAATCCTTACTGCGAATAATCCTTACTGCAGTACTTAATATATATCATGAAAAATACTACAAAAATGGCCATAAATGCACATAACATGGAAATTTTATCCTTTTATTCTGGATCTTTTTACTTTTCTTAAGATCTTAGTAAGTTTGATTTTTCTTGAAATATTTTGGCCATCTGGAGGCATGTAGCTTTTAAATAACAAATCTTACTGAAAATTATGATAGTAAATGAAAAATACATTTTTATTGTAATTCAAAGGTAACTAACTTCTGTTATATTTATTGCAATTCAGAGATCATATACCACTTAATGAATACTTTCTATACAAACCCAAAAAATGCTGTTAGTATATCTTAAAGGAATAAGTGTTTTTCAAACATTATATCAAACATGTATGCTACAATTTTATACTCTGTAATTATCTAAAGAAAATAAACGAGTAAACCAGTCTTACATTGTGGTAGGGGAGGTAACTGTGTGGATACTCCTGGAGAAACTGGTGCTGGTAGTGTTGGTGATGTCTGGTTGTAGTCACAGACTGGTACAAAACAGCAGACGTCATTTGGATCTCTCTGTAACTTGCACTCTGGTGGAACCAATGGGAAGGCAGCACATCTGAAAATAGAAACAAAACTTATTTAAGATTCTCAACAAATATATGAAATATGGGTACTTCCTTACAACCCTCAAATATAAACACAGCTTTTCCCCCATGAATTATAAAAGATTTATTTTCCTTAAGGGTCTAACATTTGTTGCAAATTTCAGTCACATAAAATGTTAAAACTATTTTATCATTGAATACAATGTACATGTATGTGTATATAAAACTAATTTTCTTGAGTGTCTATCCACGCTTTAAGGCACTGTGAGAGTAACGACAAATATACACGTATACAAACCTTTCGGTACATTCATATTGAGAGTAACGACAAATATACACGTATACAAACCTTTCGGTACATTCATATTTGCCGGTCATACCATCTGTACAGATACAGTCGTACTTGCATCCGTCTTGCCATTTCTGTCCTTGTGTGTACATTCTACCTTGATACACGCATACATCTGTAGAGATTAATCATAATTAGTTTCAAATTGCACAAGATGGTTATTAAAGGACAAAAACAAATATATGTTTTTCATATCCACATACTGCTAGTTTTCAATCACAACCACTTTTCAATCATCCCTAGAAATTTTTTATTTTTGACCTTATTTGTCATGTAACCAAATTGTAAGCACATCTTGCATTTACCTTGACTACATTTATCAGCAGCAATGTCAATTATGGCGATAAAAAAGAAAATACCAGTATTTTAGTTCAAAATATGTAAAATGTGTGTTTTCCACTAATCCTTTATTTACCCAGTTACAAATCGCAATAATTTTCTAAAAATAATTGACTTACAGACTCAGTTTTTTGTCAGTCTGCAGAAATGGATATTTCGTTTGACAACTGTTTCAATATCATTAAGTCATAATGTATACTGCACTTCAAAAGCTATAATTTTGATATGTACATATTTTACCATACAATTCTTAATTGGAAGGTAATACATCAGTAAAGTAACAGTCACTTAACCAAGGAAAAACATTCTCTCTGATAACTTTTCAGAAAGCTGTCACTAGAATGGGGTCATATAGACCCTAAGATCCTAAAAATTTCACAAGAACAGGCTTTTTCTGTTATGCACATTGAGATGTACATCCATACCCCAATTGTGACAGCTTTACTACTGCAAATAGATATCAAGATTGAAAAAATGGCAATATAAATAGGTTAAAATTGTTTATTACCATTTATCTGAAGTTGAGTTTGTCAAAATTTCTTCAAAATACATAACTGGTTATATTTTAACATTGTATGACAATTTCTATGTGGTACAGTTTATATTTTGTTAACTGATTGAAAAGTGGTTGTGAAATTTTGAAGAACAAGAAAATGGGTCAGTAATGATTTGTCCTCGATTCATAATAATAATTCAGGTAAAATTTTATAAAGTTATTGCATTTATTAGCTGAAATGATAATATTTGCAGAATTGTAAGAGAAATTTTATTTTTATAATTTCACTGTCAGTTATTATAGAAAAATCTGTTAGCTGATCGGAAAGAGGCAGTACTGGGATATATGAAATATATTAAATGCAGATCTGTATTTTAGAAGAAATAAAACAATATGACTTTAAATAAAATTTCAGCATAATAAAATCACAATCAAGTTTGTTTCTTGAACTTTAAACAAGTACTACTGTTACATGATGAAACATGCTCATGATATTGAAGAAACCAGGAACATATGACCCCTGAGTTAAGAGGTAATTTGTTGTGCAATCTTTTCTAAGTTTGATGCATGCAGATGCAGCCATGATTTTAAGATCAATGTTCTTAACAAATGAACTTGGTAGATATTCAAGAGAAAGTTATCTCACTCTTGGGAGCCGAGGTGAAGCCATTGACATCTGGGGTTGGTGCTGGTGGAGTTCCTGAGCCTGAGATCACGCCTGGTACTCCGGTAATAGTCTGTGGACCTCCTGTTGGGAGAGTCTTTCCTGGTCCTGGGATTGGTATACATTGTGGAACCTCACAGCAGGTTGGATCCTTCGGGTCTGGTACCATTTTACAGCCAGTTGGTATTGTTGGGAACTTGGCACATCTGAAAATATGACAAATTTTATACATTGAAACACAATTATAGCCATAAATGTATACATTTTCTCAACAAGATAGAGATCAATATTTGACTTCACTCACACAGAAATTACATAACACCAATATAAAAATGATGAAAAAAAAAACAACACAACAAAAGTCTAACAAGAAAATAGCTTAAAATAAAAAATCTATTATGAAAAAAACAATCCATATACATGTACCCAAGACATGTAACTTTTGTTAGTTTATCTTCTTTCCAGGCATATGTATACTATCTACCAGGTGCGAAGTTGAAAAAAACTAGTAATTGTATCACATGCACAACATTAAAATAAGTTTGTCATATTTTCAAAACCAAAAAATCAGACCTGTCATAACATCTGTAGAAATGAGTCTTTCCATCTTCGCACACACATTTCTGGTCACAGCCGTTGTACCAACTCTGACCAGCTACATAGTGTACACCATTCATCACACAGCCCTCTGTTGATATAAATATATATATACATATAATATTAGTGACAAAAATGAGTGGTAGTCTCCCTTTTGTAAGAATCATGTAAAATTGGGTACAAGTTATTCCCCCTTACTTACTCAACTCCATTTAGAACTGATGACTGCTATACTAGTATAGCATGAAACTGTCAAGTAGTACAATAAAAACATGAAACATTGATTCCTTTATTTATAGAAAACATTATGTAATTTGATGGGCAAGCTTTTAGCTATCTGCTTTTTTTCCTTCTCTTATTTTAATTATATTAAACATAAATGTTGAACATATATAAAGGGCAACCTGATATTTTTATCTTTTACTTCATCACAGGTTGTAACTCTCAAATTATTCAGTGAATAATAGAATACACTACTCTGATTGGTAACTATTAGTGAAACAATTCAGATAAAACATGAACCTTTTGAAGTTTTTTTTTGTGTTTCAGAGCATAAAAAACCTGTAAAAAAAGACACCTATGCATTTTTTCTAAACAATGTTATCAACAATGAAAGACAGCTTCAAACTTACCACTTGGTTTAGAGGTGAAACTGCCAATCTTTGGTGTAGGTTGAGTGCCTGAGCCTGAAATGACACCTGGCACGCCTGAGACAGACTGTGGTTGTGGTGTTGATACTCCAGGTACAGGTGCTGGTGTTGGCTGAGGTTGTGGGGATGGGGTTGGAACAGGAGCTGGTGTTGGTTTCTGGCACACTGGTATCTTACAGCAAGCATCATTTGGATCAACTACCAATCGGCAATAAGATGGGATGTTCAAGAACAATGGACATCTGTTATGGAAGACATAAATTAAATATTAATGGCCTTTCTATTACAAGTATTGTCAATAACTGAATTTATTTAATGAGTTGAATTAATCATATATTATGCTAGCCTTTGGCTATTTAATTTTTGACATACCCAAAATAATCTTCAAATAATGTTTTAAAATTGCTATAACAAACACAGTATTACCTTTCTTTGCATTCGTATCTACCAGTATGGTCATCTAAACATTCACAATCATATTTACAGCCATCCTTCCATGTTTGACCAGCATTATATACAACACCATAATGTACACATCCAGCTAAAATAAGAAAAAGCAACATCACTTTAGTAAGTAATACATGTACGATACCAGTACATTGATACATGTTTAAGGAAAAATTCATTTCATTGACAGTAAAAAGTTGAATTCATTTTTATGGAACTTTGTGCTTTATTTTATTAAAAATTACTTTCATTCCTGCGCACATATATTGAAAATAGCACACTCTTAACTGAATTGTGATAACAAATTGGTTTTGACTGTACATTCCTTTATATTACTTACAATTTATATGTTTCAGTTCAGATGATTGCATTATTTTATCAAATTCTTTTCAACCATGTGAAAAAAAAACAACAAAAATATATTTTAAAATTGCACTGTATTTACCTTTTCAGCCAATTTTGATTATGTTGCTATTAGAAAACACTTTACAATTTGTTGAGATGTTAAGAACAATAAACAAATTAGAACTTACATTTGTTTCCATTGACACCAGATCCCTGGAATGTTCCTGGAAGAGCAGTTGGTACTGGATAAGGATTTGGTGCTGGTGTTGGGAACTTTCCTGGAGCATATGTTGCTCCTGGAGCTGAAAATAAAGCAATAAAACAGAATTTTATGACAAAAATATCTTTTTCTTGTCCAAACACCTCTTATTTGGAGGTTAAACAAAGACCAACAATTATGGAGAGTATAAATTATTTATGTAAAGTTGAACATGTTGAACAAAGATAACTGATTTATAAACCTTGCAAAGCATATAAATCAAAATAAAGTGGATTACTACTGAGTAATATCAGAAAAACATAGAGAATCAGGAGTGTTGTAATATACTTACCAGGTGTTGGTACTTTGTCAGGAGAATATGTGTAGCCTGGTGCGGGTGTGGGAACCATTCCTGGAACCCATGTCGGGTATTTGCCTGGTGCATATGTGTATCCAGGAGCTGGTGTTGGAATCATGTTTGGTGCATAGGTAAACCCTGGTGCTGGAGTTGGTACCATAAGGCCTGGAATATATGTAGGGAATTTTCCTGGTGCATATGTGAATCCAGGTGCTGGTGTTGGTATCATGTTAGGAGCAAAGGTACGGCCTGGTGCTGGTGTTGGTACCATGCCTGGTACATATGTTGGGTATTTGCCTGGAGCATATGTATATCCTGGAGCTGGAGTTGGAATCATGTTGGGTGCATAAGTAACACCTGGTGCTGGTGTAGGAATCATACCTGGAACCCATGTTGGGAATTTCCCTGGAGCATATGTGCTGTGTGGAGCTGGTGTTGGAACATACCAAGGTGCAAAAGTAACACCTGGTGCTGGAGTAGGAATCATTCCTGGTACCCATGTTGGGTATTTTCCTGGAGCATATGTCATTCCTGGTGCTGGAGTAGGTATCATGTTAGGAGCATATGTGTAACCTGGAGCTGGTGTTGGTACCATGCCTGGAACATATGTTGGGAATTTGCCTGGAGCATATGTATATCCTGGAGCTGGAGTTGGAATCATGTTAGGAGCATATGTCACACCAGGAGCTGGTGTGGGCACCATACCTGGTACCCATGTTGGGTATTTCAATGGAGCATATGTGCCGCCACCACCTGGTGTAGGAATCATATTTGGTGCATAAGTTACACCTGGTGCTGGTGTTGGAACCATGCCTGGAACCCATGTTGGGAATTTACCTGGAGCATAAGTACTTCCAGGTGCTGGAGTTGGTATTTTATTTGGAGCAAAAGTTTGTCCTGGCATTGGTGTTGGAACCATTCCTGGTACCCAGGTTGGGTAGAACCCTGGTGCATATGTTTGTCCTGGTGCTGGAGTTGGAATCTTTCCTGGAGCATATGTGACACCTGGTGCTGGTGTTGGGATCATTCCTGGTACCCATGTTGGGTACTTGAATGGTGGATAGGTAGATCCTGGTGCTGGGGTGAATCCTGGTATCAACCATGGTGCAAATGTTTGTCCTGGGGCTGGTGTTGGTACCATTCCTGGAATATATGTTGGGAACTGGTTAGGAGCATATGTTATTCCTGGAGCTGGTGTTGGAATTAAGTTTGGTGCATAGGTCTGTCCTGGTTTGGGAGTTGGAACCATACCTGGATGCCATGTTGGGAATGTCTGGCCTGGTGCTGGTGTTGGGTATGCACTTGGAGTGATCACTGGGAATTTACCCGGAGCATATGTCATACCTGGTGCTGGTGTAGGTACCAAGAATGGAGGATAAGTATATCCTGGAGCTGGAGTTGGTACCATACCTGGAACCCATGTTGGGAACTTGCCTGGTGCATAAGTGGATCCTGGAGCTGGTGTTGGTATCATGTTTGGTGCATATGTCACACCTGGTGCTGGTGTTGGTACCATGCCTGGTACATATGTAGGGTATTTTCCAGGGGCATAAGTTCTTCCTGGTGCAGGAGTTGGTATCATGTTTGGTGCATATGTTACACCTGGAGCTGGTGTTGGTACCATGCCTGGTACATATGTAGGGTATTGTCCTGGGGCATAGGTTCTTCCTGGTGCAGGTGTTGGTATCATATTAGGTGCATATGTAACTCCTGGTGCAGGTGTTGGCACCATGCCTGGAACATATGTAGGGAACATTCCTGGTGGATATGTACTTCCGGGGGCTGGTGTTGGTATCATGTTTGGTGCATATGTAACTCCTGGTGCTGGTGTTGGAACCATGAGTCCTGGAATGTATGTTGGGAATTTTCCTGGAGCATATGTGAATCCAGGTGCTGGTGTTGGTATCATATTAGGTGCATATGTCATGCCTGGAGCTGGAGTTGGGACCATGCCTGGAACATATGTTGGGAATTTGCCTGGAGCATATGTATAGCCTGGGTGTGGAGTTGGAATCTTTTCTGGAGAATATGTTACTCCTGGTGCTGGTGTGGGCACCATACCTGGTACCCATGTTGGGTATTTCAATGGAGCATATGTGCCGCCACCACCTGGTGTAGGAATCATATTTGGTGCATAAGTTACACCTGGTGCTGGTGTTGGAACCATGCCTGGAACCCATGTTGGGAATTTACCTGGAGCATAAGTACTTCCAGGTGCTGGAGTTGGTATTTTTATTTGGAGCAAAAGTTTGTCCTGGCATTGGTGTTGGAACCATTCCTGGTACCCAGGTTGGGTAGAACCCTGGTGCATATGTTTGTCCTGGTGCTGGAGTTGGAATCTTTCCTGGAGCATATGTGACACCTGGTGCTGGTGTTGGGATCATTCCTGGTACCCATGTTGGGTACTTGAATGGTGGATAGGTAGATCCTGGTGCTGGGGTGAATCCTGGTATCAACCATGGTGCAAATGTTTGTCCTGGGGCTGGTGTTGGTACCATTCCTGGAATATATGTTGGGAACTGGTTAGGAGCATATGTTATTCCTGGAGCTGGTGTTGGAATTAAGTTTGGTGCATAGGTCTGTCCTGGTTTGGGAGTTGGAACCATACCTGGATGCCATGTTGGGAATGTCTGGCCTGGTGCTGGTGTTGGGTATGCACTTGGAGTGATCACTGGAATTTACCCGGAGCATATGTCATACCTGGTGCTGGTGTAGGTACCAAGAATGGAGGATAAGTATATCCTGGAGCTGGGAGTTGGTTGACCATACCTGGAACCCATGTTGGGAACTTGCCTGGTGCATAAGTGGATCCTGGAGCTGGTGTTGGTATCATGTTTGGTGCATATGTCACACCTGGTGCTGGTGTTGGTACCATGCCTGGTACATATGTAGGGTATTTTCCAGGGGCATAAGTTCTTCCTGGTGCAGGAGTTGGTATCATGTTTGGTGCATATGTTACACCTGGAGGCTGGTGTTGGTACCATGCCTGGTACATATGTAGGGTATTGTCCTGGGGCATAGGTTCTTCCTGGTGCAGGTGTTGGTATCATATTAGGTGCATATGTAACTCCTGGTGCAGGTGTTGGCACCATGCCTGGAAACATATGTAGGGAACATTCCTGGTGGATATGTACTTCCGGGGGCTGGTGTTGGTATCATGTTTGGTGCATATGTAACTCCTGGTGCTGGTGTTGGAACCATGAGTCCTGGAATGTATGTTGGGAATTTTCCTGGAGCATATGTGAATCCAGGTGCTGGTGTTGGTATCATATTAGGTGCATATGTCATGCCTGGAGCTGGAGTTGGGACCATGCCTGGAACATATGTTGGGAATTTGCCTGGAGCATATGTATAGCCTGGGTGTGGAGTTGGAATCTTTTCTGGAGAATATGTTACTCCTGGTGCTGGTGTGGGCACCATACCTGGTACCCATGTTGGGTATTTCAATGGAGCATATGTGCCGCCACCACCTGGTGTAGGAATCATATTTGGTGCATAAGTTACACCTGGTGCTGGTGTTGGAACCATGCCTGGAACCCATGTTGGGAATTTACCTGGAGCATAAGTACTTCCAGGTGCTGGAGTTGGTATTTTATTTGGAGCAAAAGTTTGTCCTGGCATTGGTGTTGGAACCATTCCTGGTACCCAGGTTGGGTAGAACCCTGGTGCATATGTTTGTCCTGGTGCTGGAGTTGGAATCTTTCCTGGAGCATATGTGACACCTGGTGCTGGTGTTGGGATCATTCCTGGTACCCATGTTGGATACTTGAATGGTGGATAGGTACTTCCTGGTGCTGGGGTGAATCCAGGTACTAACCATGGTGCAAAAGTCTGACCTGGAGCTGGTGTTGGTACCATTCCTGGAATATATGTTGGGAACTGGTTAGGAGCATATGTTATTCCTGGAGCTGGTGTTGGAATTAAGTTTGGTGCATAGGTCTGTCCTGGTTTGGGAGTTGGAACCATACCTGGATGCCATGTTGGGAATGTCTGGCCTGGTGCTGGTGTTGGGTATGCACTTGGTAACACTGTTGGAAATTTTCCTGGAGCATATGTCATACCTGGTGCTGGTGTAGGAACCAAGAAAGAAGGATATGTGTAGCCTGGGGCTGGTGTTGGAACCATGCCAGGAACCCATGTTGGGAACTTGCCTGGTGCATATGTACTGCCTGGAGCTGGTGTTGGTATTTTATTTGGAGCATATGTCACACCTGGTGCTGGTGTTGGAACCATACCTGGAACCCATGTAGGGAAATAGCCTGGTCTATATGTGCTTCCTGGGGCTGGTGTCGGTATCTTGTTTGGAGCATATGTTACACCTGGGGCTGGAGTGGGAACCATTCCTGGCACCCATGTTGGGAACATACCTGGTGGATATGTGCTTCCTGGAGCTGGTGTTGGTATTTTCCATGGTGCATATGTAACACCCGGTGCTGGTGTTGGTACCATGCCTGGTACATAAGTTGGGAACTGGCCTGGTGGATATGTGAATCCAGGAGCTGGTGTAGGTATCTTGTTTGGAGCAAATGTCACACCTGGAGCTGGTGTTGGTACCATACCTGGAACCCATGTTGGGAACTTGCCTGGTGCATATGTATATCCTGGTGCAGGTGTTGGTATCAAGTTGGGAGCATATGTAACACCAGGTGCTGGTGTTGGTACCATGCCAGGGATCCATGTTGGATATTTACCTGGTGCATATGTACTGCCCGGAGCTGGTGTTGGAATTAAGTTAGGTGCATATGTAAAACCTGGAGCTGGTGTAGGTACCATGACACCTGGAATGTATGTTGGGAATTTTCCAGGAGCATATGTACTTCCAGGTGCTGGTGTTGGTATCATATTAGGTGCATATGTCATGCCTGGTGCTGGTGTTGGTACCATACCCGGTACATATGTAGGGAATTGACCTGGAGCAAATGTATAGCCTGGTGCTGGTGTTGGTATCATATTTGGAGCATATGTAACACCTGGTGCTGGGGTAGGAACCATACCTGGAACCCATGTAGGGTATTTGAGAGGTGCATATGTGCTGCCTGGTGCTGGTGTAGGTATTTTCCATGGAGCATAAGTTACACCAGGTGCTGGTGTTGGAACCATGCCTGGAACCCATGTTGGGAATTTACCAGGTGCATAAGTACTTCCAGGTGCTGGAGTTGGTATTTTATTTGGTGCGAATGTCATTCCTGGCATTGGTGTTGGAACCATTCCTGGTACCCAGGTTGGGAAGAATCCTGGTGCATAAGTTTGTCCTGGTGCTGGGGTTGGAATCTTTCCTGGAGCATAGGTTACACCTGGTGCTGGTGTTGGGATCATTCCTGGTACCCATGTTGGGTACTGGAATGGTGCATATGTAGATCCTGGTGCTGGAGTAAATCCTGGTACCAACCATGGTGCAAAAGTTTTTCCTGGTGCTGGTGTTGGAACCATTCCGGGAACATATGTCGGGAACTGGTTAGGAGCATATGTTCTTCCTGGAGCTGGTGTTGGAATAAGGTTTGGTGCATAGGTCTGTCCTGGGGCTGGAGTTGGAACCATACCTGGATGCCATGTTGGGAATGTCTGGCCTGGTGCTGGTGTTGGGTATGCACTTGGAGTGATCACTGGGAATTTTCCTGGAGCATATGTCATACCTGGTGCTGGTGTAGGTACCAAGAATGGAGGATAAGTATATCCAGGAGCTGGAGTTGGTACCATACCTGGAACCCATGTTGGGAACTTGCCTGGTGCATAAGTGGATCCTGGAGCTGGTGTTGGTATTTTATTTGGAGCATATGTAAAACCTGGTGCTGGTGTTGGTACCATACCTGGTACGTAAGTTGGGAAATAACCTGGTTTGTATGTGCTTCCAGGAGCTGGTGTAGGTATCTTGTTTGGAGCATATGTCACACCTGGGGCTGGTGTTGGAACCATGCCAGGTATCCATGTTGGGAACATGCCTGGTGCATATGTTCTTCCTGGAGCTGGTGTTGGTATTTTCCATGGTGCATATGTAACACCTGGTGCTGGTGTTGGAACCATGCCTGGTACATATGTTGGGAACTGGCCTGGCGGATATGTGAATCCTGGAGCAGGTGTTGGTATCTTATTTGGAGCGTAAGTATAACCTGGGGCTGGTGTTGGTACCATTCCAGGTACCCATGTTGGGTACATTCCTGGAGGGTATGTGCTTCCTGGTGCTGGCGTTGGTATTTTATCTGGAGCATAGGTAATTCCAGGTGCTGGAGTTGGTACCATGCCTGGTACCCAGGTTGGGAATTTGCCTGGTGGATATGTAAACCCTGGTGCTGGTGTAGGTATCTTGTTTGGAGCATACGTAAAACCTGGTGCTGGTGTGGGTTGCATTCCTGGAACCCATGTAGGATAAAGACCAGGAGCATATGTTAACCCTGGTGCAGGTGTTGGTAGCTTGTTAGGTGCATATGTGTAACCTGGTGCTGGTGTTGGAACCATACCTGGAACCCATGTTGGGAACATGCCTGGTGCATAGGTAAGACCTGGTGCTGGTGTTGGTTCTTTACCAGGTGCATATGTGAATCCAGGAGCTGGTGTTGGTACCATTCCTGGATACCAAGGTTTAGGTGTGGTAGGTGTTGGGCAGTATGGAACTTTACAGCAAGCATCTCGTGGATCTGTTACCAAGGTACATTCTTCTGGTGCATCATAATTTCTACATCTGTAAGAAAATAATGATCATACTGCATGACACTAAATCAACTATGCACATGACTTTTAATGAGTACTCAAATGCCTACCTAAATATCAAACAAATGTTAATCAAACAAATATTTATCAAACAAATATTTAAGATAAATTTGGTGTAGTATAGTTGCTTCAACATCAATAACTTCTGATAGTCTCCCAATAAGCTGATCTTATGTTCAATTATGAATTTGTGTCTGAATGCTCCAAACTTTATTACATTTTAATTCAGAATTTGTTATAAATGACTTTGTGCATACATAATGCCCTAAAATCTTGTCCCTTGATGTCAACATTACTTTTTAAAACAATCCAATTTAGGGCCACCCCACTATTAAGACCTTTTTCCTCCAGATTCCCAAGCTGTCTCGTAAGTAGGGTTTTAAAGTACATTACTTATTAATAGTTTACCTCTCATATAATGTCAGGAAAAGGAAATATTGTGTTAGGAAAAGGAACAATAATAACTGACCTGTCATTACATCTGTAGAATCCGGTCATTTCATCTTCACATACACACTGTAAGTCACAACCATCATTCCAGTGTTCTCCCACACTAAACCTCACACCATTATACATACAGCCAGCTATAAAAATCACAATTATAACCCCTAAAAATGCTGAATTTCTGAAACAGACTTTTCTAATTTCTATTACTTTGGAATTACCTATTATCAAATTTGGTGACATCAGGATGAAAAATTAAATTCAATCCGTCAGCAGTATAGAGAATGGACAGAATGCACGGACCTATAGTTTTTACTGGCTCTTTAATGGTAGCAAAGGATTATCCCTTTTGGTTCTAGCTAAGTTAGACCAAACAAAATCACAGAAACTTTCATTCAAGGTTTTACCAAATAAAGTACTTCATTTCTTTTTACATTTCTACAAAATATTTAGGATATAGACATGAACTATTTTTCAACATAATTTCTTGGGAATAACAGTTCCAGTATATCCAAACTGAAACTAAAACTGCATCAAGAATTTATCCTAGATATTCATTGATGATCCTTCAGTTTTTCAATAATTTATTTAACTATGAAATTTTATATTTCATGAAAAACTTTCATGATTTATAAATATGCATGAAAAATGGTCACTATACAAATTTAAGCTGCAAATTCTCATTTCATCTTTTTTATAATCAATTCAGCTATAACCTGAATGTGTTTATATATATTAAAGAAACAATACAATTGAACAACAAAGTACTCATATGTGTTGATTCAAAATTCGGCTTAGTTCAGAAATAACATTGGTAACACAAGTGTAGTACACAACTATTTAGAAATAATATATTCTTTGACTCACTTTTTGGTGCTGGTGTAGGAGCCATTGTGGAGACACCTGGTGGAGCTGGTGTGGGGACATTAATGGCTGGGCAGTATGGTTTTTTACAACAAGGATTGTATGGGTCAGTGATCATTCTACAGCCAGCTGGAAGGTCATCATATTTGGCACAGCTGTAATATACAATGTTTGTATACATAAGTTGTTCAAGCCCCATCATGGCCCAGAATATTGCTTTTACTTTATTTCTCAAAAGCACTTTTATTTTCAGTATACTTTTATAGTTTTTCGAAAGTTACTCATTGACCTTTTACCTGAACCATCTATTTCTTCTATCGCTTTTTTGGCAATTTGTACAATTATAATGATTTATTATAATGTACGGAAGTCAATTTAAGGATTTCCATATATCATATCAAAGGCATATATTAAGTACTTCTTTACTTTTTGAAATAATCCAAAATAAAACCTAGTTCAAAACATTTCTCAGTCCTCAGAATGTTTAATTTGAAAAGCATTCTTCAGTCTAATTGAGATTTCTCTTTAATAAAAGGAATATAAGCTTGATTATGATACAGTGGACAGAACAGTTTGTATAGTGAATATGTCTGGAAAAAAATGACAAAAACTGGTAATACTTACACTTCTGTACATTTGTATTGTCCTGACATGGCATCAATACATTCACAGTTGTAGTTGCAGCCATCTTGCCATTGTTGTCCCTGTTGGTACATGTTTCCTTTGTAGATGCAAACTTTTGCTGTAATTAATAAAATATTCTTTTTTATATCAGCATGCTTTCAAAATGACTTAAGGTGTATATTTTCTTGTTATAACGGGATGATAGTGTAATAATGGATTACTTAGAATGTTGGGTTCAGTTAACATTTTGAAAACTAAAATTTCATCAAATGCTTGCTACATGCATTTTATTAACTACACCAAATAATTTGCCAAACCAGGTTTTTTTTGTATTTTAAGGTTAACCTAAGTTAATGAATGACAAAACTAATAGGTTTCTAATTTTTTTTTTGATTAATGCAAAAATGTTTTACTTGAAGTTAAAAACTAAAACTTCATGACATAGACTGTATTAAGGGAATATATAATACAAACATTTGACAAGAGTATATATATAGCAAGGGTTCGGGCATTAGTGAACCATCTGCTATTGTGTTAAATCATATAAAAATGGTTTGATAGTAATATTTTGATGGTACAATACTTACGTGCAGCTGTGGTTGAAGGTCCGGGTGTTGGGGAGTATCCTGGGGGTGCCATTGTTTGGCCATTGGGGTTGGTAGCACACCACCAATATAAACACCTTGGTGGTGGTTGGTTTTTGGTGGGGTGAGGTAAGGGGGGCCCTTTTGGTTTGATTTCTTTTTTGGGTTTTTTTTTGTTTTTTTTTTTTTTCTGGAAAAAAAAAAAAACAACCCCCAAAAAAACCAATTTTGGGGTTTTTTTTTTTTTGTTCCCTTACAAAATTAATGGATCCTGGAAACTCTGTACAAGTGTACATTGGGCAGGTAGGGCACCATAGGCTGGGCATTGTGAAAGAGGAAAAAATGATACCAAAAAAAAACCCATTTAAAAAAAAATTTTAAAAAAGATTTTTAACTAAATTTTTGAAAATTCCCAAAAATTTTCTAAAAAGCAACCCTAAATAAAAGTTTTTTAAAAAAAAGGTTTTTTTGGGGAACCCCCTTCCCTAAAATTTTAAAAGGAAAGAAAAATCAAACCGGGAAATTTAAAAAAAATATTTTTGAATACTACTTTCTAAAAAAAAAAACTGAAAAAATTAAAATTTTAAATTTTCTTTTTAAACAAAACAAAAAAAAAAAACTTCCCACAAAACAACAGTATAATGGAAAAAAGAAAATTATTTTTTTACTCATTTTAAATTTTTTAAAAAAAAAGGGGGCCCAAGCCCCCCTGACAGAATAAAAAGAAAAGTAAAGAAGAAATAAAATCAAATATATATCTGACCTTTCATTACATGTGTAAACTCCTGCCATAGCATCTTCACAAGTACAAACATAGTCACAACCATCGTACCATTGTTGTCCCTGTGTGTAGGTGTTACTCTTGTATACACACACATCTGGGGACATAAACCATTATTATAATATGTACGGTATATAATATTTCTTAGCATATAAACGTGATAATTGTACCTTGTGCAATGAATATATGCTAAGAAAGCATTGAAAACTCTACCAAAAATATTGAAAATATGGAGTTTGTTATTTCTTAAATTTTACAATTTTATATATTACTTATAATATATTTATTTTGTCCAGAACATTTTTTATAGTTTTAAATTGTTTTTACATCATTTACTTTTTCTTAAAAAAAAAAAATTTATGTTTAAAAACTCACGGGAATTTTTTTTTTTTTTTGGGGGTTTTTTTTTTGGGGGGGGTTTTTTTTGGGGTTTTTTTTGGGGGAAAAAAAAAAAAAAAAGGGGGGGGTTTGTTTTAAAAAAAAAAATTTTTTTTAAGGGGGGTAAAAAAAAAAAAAAAAATTTTTGGGTTTTTAAAAATTTAAAAAAATTTTTAACTTTTTTTAAAAATTTTTTAAAATTTTAAAAAATTTAAAAAAAAAAAAATTTTTAATTTTTTTTTTTTAAAAAAAATTTTTAAAAAATTTAAAAAAATTAAAAAATTTTTTTTTAAAAAAAATTTAAAAAAATTTTTTTTTTTTTTAAAAATTCCCAAAAGGAAAAAAAAGTTTTTTTTTTTAAAAAGAAATTTTTTTAAAAATTTAAAACCAAAGGGGGGGGGGTTTTTTTTCCCCCCCTTTTTTTTTTTAAAGAAAAAAATTTAAAAAAATTTTTTTTAAAAAAATTTTTCCCCCAAAATTTTTTTTAAAATTTTAAAGGGGGGAAAAAAAAACCCCCCCCCAAAATTTTCCCCTTTAACCCCAAAAATTTCCCCCAAAAAAAAAAAAAATTTTTTTGGGAAAAAACCCCCAAAAAAAAAAAAAAAAAATTTTTTTTTGGGGGGAAAAGAAAAATTTAAAAAAAAGGGAAAAATTTTAAAAAAAAAATTTTTTTTTTAAAAAAAAAGGGGTTTTTTTTAAAAAAATTCAGGGAATCAAAATGAAAATTTTTTAAAAACAATTTTGAAAAAAAAATGTAGGAATTTACAAACAAAGTTTAACTAAAAACAAACTAAGCAGACTGTACATAGACTGATAAACAAACATTCTTTTAGTTAAACAAACACACACATGAATTAAACAATTATAAGAACATACTCAATGGTGGTGGGGTCTGTCCTGTTTTTGGTGTTGGAACGTTGGCGGAGCCTGTCACTTGTCCTGGGGGTGCTGTAGGTACGTGGTATGGGGTTGGGGCAGGTGTTGAGACCCCTGGGACAGGAGCTACAGTTGACACTGGTGTGGGTGCGCAGGATGGTACCAGACAGCAAGAATCTGCTGGGTCAGTGACCATCTTACATGTTTTAGGTACATTGTCGTAAGAGGCGCATCTGGAAACAAGAATTTAAACTGATGTGTAAACTATAATTTACTACCCTTAACCTACTGAATTTTATAAATGGACTTGTCCAGCTTTTATTTTTGGAACTGTCCATTACCAATGTTAGGAATGTCAATATCAGCCAACAGAATAGAGGCTAGTCAGACTGAATATACGTGCTTCCTAGCCTGGTTTTTTCTATTCTTTTAGCTTAACACTATTTACTTTTGGTTCCAGAAGATGAAAGGTTTGTATTTGTAAAACATAATTGTTTCTTATAGCCACATGTTTTTCATGGATGCAATGAAATAACTTGAAGTACATTCTTAATATCCACTTCTACTTTATCAATTTACACAAATTTCAACTGAGCATTGAGAAAATCTCAACATTTTGTAAGGAATGTGAAATAAATACCAAGAATTACATGTGAACTAGAGCTGAAAGTGTTTTCCTTTTTGTGTTTTACACAACTTATACGATAATTAATTACCTTTCATTACAAGTATAGAGACCCTTGTCAGCATTGTCACAACGGCATCTGTATTGGCAGCCATCTTCCCAGATCTCACCCTGGTTGTATTGTACACCCTTGTACACACAGAATTCTACAATAATGATACAAAATTTAAAGAAAAACAAAAGGCAAAAATCTACCAGATATTCAAATCACCGCTTTACAATTTAGCTTTACATGTTTATATCATAATTCTATCTAATCTTAAAAATTATACATTATAATGGTATGGCATACAGTAGTCTCCTATAACAATGATTCATCTAAGGAAAATGATTTCATCTTAAAAGAATTATATACTAATGTTATTAAACTTAACAAGTTCTAAATCATTTCTTCTGCACCATTAAAATTGAATTTATTATAGTTCAAAATTATTTTTCTTCAGTACTATATGATTGGATTTATATAGTTCTATATTGTTTCTTTTGTACTATATGATTGGATCAATGTAGATCTATATTGTTTCTTCTATACTATATGATTGGATTTATACATTTTGTAATTCTTTCTTCAGTAACTGTACGATTGGATTTATAAAGTTCTAAATTCTTTCTCCTGCAGTTTTTGATTGGACTAAAAATACAACGATTTAACAAAGGATTACTTTCTAGTAGAGAATTGAATATATCAGTTATCAACTTAAATGGAATATTTTCAAAGTTTAAAAAGAATCAATGGAAGATAAACAAGTATTTACTGTAGTGTGGAGCTAGAGTTGTTCCAGTCTGGGGTAGTGGGCTCTGTCCTGGTGGTCTTGGGGTAGGTGCAAGTGTGGATGGGGTGTTAGCCCCTGTTACTGCCTGTGTTACAGCAGGGAAGTTACACCTGGGTTTCTTACAACATGGGTTGGTGAAGTCGGTAACAAGTGTGCAATATTCAGGCAGGTTGTTATATCTCTGGCAACTGTTTTATAGAAAATAAATTCACAACTCATCAAATTATGCACAATATAAATTCTTAATTTTTGGGATGTGATACACATGTATTTTTAACAAAATGCTTGTAACACATCATTTCATGAAGTAGAAATCTACCCTTTTTGTAAATACTAACTAGAGAAAATAAGCAAGGGTATTCTGTTGTTGAAATATTTATGTCTAAGACTAACTCAAAAATTTAAGCTCTAAATTATATTTTTTTCAGTCATACAAAATCAGACATAAACAGGGTATAGAATAATACATACACTTCTGTACATCTGTAGAGACCAGATTCTGCATCAGTACAGACACAGGTCAAGTCACAGCCATCTTGCCAAGACTGACCCTGGTTGTAGTGGACACCCTTGTACTCACAGTAACCTGAAAAATATCAAAATTTATTAGATCCTATTATATCCCAACTATATTATAACACCAAACATGCCTATTATAGAAATTATCACAATGAAAGTAGATCAAGGTCTTGGTATAAAATTGTTTGTAAGCTTTAAAACATTCTTGGTTATAATTCAGAGGTTAATTTTAGCAGTTAATTTAAACAAAGATAAAACTGCCCTCTAAGGCACTGATCACACTGACACTTTTCTGCAATACTAATGACCTCTGAAACCATCTTAAAAATCATATATTGTTTAAATGTTTACTAACACTTAAATAAATGAAGAAGGTCAACACTTATCAAGGGAATAAGATTCATCAACAAAAAAGTCATTTTATCAGAATTGAGAGCTTTAAAAGCAAACTTCTCACAAATATTCAAAGGTAGACTTAGCAGAAACTCAAACTTACCAGTTCCAGTTCCTTGTCCAATGAATGAACCAGTTGAAGCTGGTAATGGTAGCTGAGTGGGTCCAGCTGTAGGACCTTTGTTTGGACATTTTGGCATGACACAGCAGCTAGGGTCCTTGGGATCGGGGAGGAAATCGCAAGTCTCATCTACATCTTCATATTCTGGGCATCTAAATGATACAGAATAACAGGTAATTAAAATACAGTAAATCCTCCTGGATTATATCCAAAGAAACCTCTTTCGAAATAAAACTGTCCTGAAACTTAATAAGGACATGTCATTTGACGCATTGTTCTTTTTAGAGGTACATGTATTTTTTTTCTTCAGATATCATTTCATTATGTACATGTTTTCAATAAAAAATTACAAGAATGTCAAGTAGGTCTGTAACTTTAACATTTTGTGACAATATTTCTCCAGATTAAGATATACTGCTTAAGATCATAGATTCTAGCTTAATTAAACCTTTGTTTACAGCTGACTTTGTGTTACAGACCATGTTGTGTCCTAATTACTATAGAAATTTGATATTGTCATTCTCAACTAAATAATTATCACCATTAGCACAGTAACTGATCAAACAGTGTTGGTTAAGATATCAGGGATATGCCTGCTGTATTTCAGACCAGACCATGTGCTGGTCACCGGCAAGGAAAAAAGAGATTAGTCTTCAATTTGCATTGACAACAGCCTTGTATATAAAACTATATAAATATCATGATTATCCAATGAAAAGTGACATAACAAACATGCAGTATTATAAGTAATAATATAACTGTGTAACTGCCGGAGGTCAGAAAGATAATACATGTATCTATACATGTAGTTTATACGTACCTTGTGAGACACCTGTAGTTATTTTCGGAAGCATCCTCACATGTACATTTGAAGCTACAGCCATCGTACCATGTCTGACCTTGCTGGTATTGTTGTCCCTCATATATACAATATTCTATAACATGGTACAAAAAACATTTTTACATAAAGGTTTCTTTAGTGAAAAAAAAAAATAAAAGCACAAGAACCAGCTAGACATGCCAGAAAATGTGACTGGTATGGACAACTTGGACAAAAGTGTTTGAGTTCCAAAGATTTAATTTTCAATCTTTTGTTGTTATTTTTTTTTAAATGTGTTTAAGAAACAACTTACTACGTAACTTAATATATATCTATTAAAATAATATTTTTCTTTTCATTCTGAATTTTTCTTCATTTTTGGAACTTGAACAACAAATTAAAGGGACACCACTGAGGTTTTTTGACATGACAAGACTGAAAATAACTTTTTGAGATTCATGTATTATTTAATGTAGGTCCAGACCATAACTTGTGATCATTCACTTTCTCAATTTTTCTAGAATCATTACTCTATTCTAATTGTGAGAAATGTTCCAAATTTGAAAAGAGTTGCAATTTATTTTATATTTCTCAATCATATTTTGCATTTCTTTCAGTTTGTTTTACCTGCCCCAGCTCATCTATGTGAGAAATTGAATTTTTTTTATATTTTAGGCTTTTAGACCTCAGTGGAGTTCCTTTAATATACATATATAAACAGCATTAATCAACTTTTGAACCACATGCTTATACAAATTGAAGATAAATGGGGAAAAAACAACATTCAGTGAATCATATACCTCCATGTGGCCTTGAGGTTGTAGTTTTCACTTCACCTACGTGGGTTACAAAGTTAACTTGGAAGTTACACTTTGGAATGTCACAACAGGGGTTCACTGGATCTTTAATCAGGTAGCACTGTTTGGGTAGTATGCCATAATGTACACATCTGTAAAACAAAATGCCCAAGGTATTTATGGTGCGATCATAATTTTTAATAATTTTATAGTAATTTCAATACTTGCAAAGAATTGTATTCATGGGCTCAAATGCTATAATTCACTAAATTTTTATCTTATCCTCTATGATGTGCTGGTTATCACAATCAGTTCCTGAATGCCTATTACATTTTGTTTATTATTAGTCTCTGGTCAACCATTACTATAGGTAATGCAAGATCAGATATTGTTAGCTATCATAAAGGGAGGTAATAAAGCACACAAAAGAAGGAAGCTAACTTTTCAGTACACTGGTAGTGTCCCCTGCTTGCATCATCACATACACAGTTAAAGTCACATCCATCTTCCCATACCTGTCCTTGTTTGTAAGTTTGTCCTCTGTATGTACAATGACCTGGAATATCTACTTTAATACATCCCATTTTTCAGAAAATATTGTTACAATAATCAGAATTGACATGCCAGTTTTTAAACCATATTCTTATATCAAAATAAAAAGTTTAAATACAATAAAATATGGATTCTGACATTGTTGCTTTAAAAAAAAGGGAACAATTTTTTCTTATCTTAACGACTGGCACACAAATCTCTTTGTTTGTATATAACATGAAAACAGCCTTACTTTATGGAAAGAATTCATGAAATCTTGAAGCTATAAAAATGAAATCAGCCTTTGAAACAAAATGTTAATTAAGGTAATTCATTATTTTATTCATGGACTGATGTTTTTTTCTTTCTTAGTTTCTTATATGTCCAGGTGAGTGGAAACAATAATCACTCATTGGGTTAGAAACCCTGGGGCATGATCAATTAATGATAGTTTCTATTATTCTCTTTTTATTATTATCAGTCAGTGATAAATGACGTGAGAACCAAATACTCATTTGATCAGTTATCTTTAAGTAAATAGATATCATTAAATCTACTTTAAGTCTAAAACTTCATGCAGTAACACATGTTCTATTCACATACATATATGATAATCTTATCATCTGCCTATCTCTTAAAATAGCCACACTTTCTCCTATCTCTACTTAAATTTCACTTTAGATTACGGTAGTTATAAAAAATTTTGACAGGTTATATATATGGGCCCTATATATAAAGGGTTGTTTGTAAATATAACCTGAGCTGTTAGGCTGTCAGGAATCTTTATAACAAATTTATTATACTTCAATCTTCCCTTTTTTTAGATATAAATATGAAATTACATAAGTGGTGTTACATAATTATCACTGTATATATCATGTTTTGTTTATCCAATGAAAAGACACCTACAAATGTGCTGTATTATAAGATATTTCAGACATTTAGAAAAGAAACTTACCAATTCCCCCGGTACCGACACCAGATGTTGGTACAGTTGGTGGGGCTGGTGTGAATCCTGTCGGGTACAAGGTCACTGATGAAGTGAATGGGTGGTAACTGTCTGTCCTAGGTGGTTCCACTAAACTGTGAATCTGTGTGGCTGGTAGGAACACTGGGAGGGGAACTGGAATCTTGTGGGTTACTGGATCTGGGTTACATTTTGGTGCCTGGCAGCATTCATCATTGGGATCAGTTTCCATATGACATGAGGGAGCCAGAGCTGGGTAGTTTGGACATCTGTTGAATTAAACAACAACAATACATATATTACTTGGTAAAATAGTGAAAAAAAATCTTTGTGGACAATAAAGATTCTAGATTTACCTAATTTATTGTTATATTTCAAACAAGCAATGATAAAATTGAAGTTGTGACATTAACAGGCAGTGGATCAATTTGGTCAGTGTTCATAAAACACTTGTATCTTAATAACAACAACAGTCTAAAATGTCATTTAATTAATACATTAGAAACCCACAAAGTTTTTACTGTAGTCTCAAATTTTTTTTTATTTAAGTGGGCTACATCTTATGAAAATTTCCTTTACTCCTTTTTTTTAAAATCACCCACATATCTAGAGAAGAAAAAAGGTTTCTTACTTTTGCTTGCAGGAGTAGAGGCCAGTGCCTGCTTCCTTACAGATACAAGAGAAATCACAACCATCTTCCCATGCTTGATTCTGTACATAAATCTGTCCCTTGTATAAACAACCGCCTGTGTAAAATAACCAAAATTTTTCAATTTACAAAACAACAATGAAACATTGTGAGTAATTAAACATTAGTTCAATGTCAGCATTAGAGAAAATGAAATTCCGAGGAAAGGCAAACATATTTCCGTAATATTTTATTCTACATTTTATTCTGCTTATGTACAATATTCATGTGTGTTTTATACCAGAGACATTTTATGTTACAATTTTTTTGATATTCCAGCAAAAGATTATGGAAGCAAAAAATATTTACTGCTGTAAAATTCTATAAAAATATTTTGTAACATATTTTTACCCTTGAACACTAAAATTTCATTTATAAAGACATCTGACAGTCTGTTTGTGTCAGGGTTCAATGCAACATATATAAGTTACTGCCAAAATTCCTAAAATTGTTAAATAGATTAAAGAAATTATTACTTACTGACAGAAGGAGCAAAGAATCCGGTGCCGCCGGTTCCTGGTTGCAAAGCTCCTCCAGTTGATGATTTTGGTGGAACATATGTTATGCCTGAAGTTACAATTATTCTATGCACTAATGAATATTTCTATAATGAAAGTTTTACTAAATATCGAAAATGAAACACAATAGTGTGTAATATTAGTAGAGAACACATATACATTAAGCATTCAATATAGTACTAGTTTTACAGAACACACAGTTTTACAGAACACACAGTTTTAGAGAACACATATACATTAAGCATTCAATATAGTATTAGTTTTACAAAACACACATTTTTAGAGAACACACAGTTTTAGTAGAGAACACACATACATTAAGCATTTTATATAGTATCAGTTTTACAGAACACACAGTTTTAGAGAACACAGATACATTAAGCCTAATAAATATACTATCAGTTTTAGAAAACAAACAATTTAAGTAGAGGACACGCAATTTTAGAGAGAACACAGGGATATGTAGAACAAAAAAAGGGTCCTTTACTGAACTAATCTCTGAAAACACCTTTATACTATTGCTTCAGCCATTATACTATTGCTTTAGCCACTAATAAGAAAATTTATTTGGACTTCCATTTCTATGAAATGTTTAATTTACCTGGTTGTGGGTTGGTGACATTGATGGCACCACCATTACCGATGCTGCCTGGCGTAAGAGAGGTGGACAAGAAGAAACCATTAACACACTGCGCTACTGGACAACACTCTCCAGCCTTCTTCTGCATGCTACATTCCTTTGGTAAATTGTTATATGTTGGACATCTACAAACATATCAAAATTTAGCTATATTTTTCACAATAAGCGTATGTGTAATACATTAACATAATAACACATAGACTGTTCAATTAAATTCAAACAATATAGAATAATCTAAAATGTAATGAAAGTCTGGGTTCACTACAATTTATTCACCCAGTAATACATATATAGATTCTAATACATGCTAAATGTAGTTATGAAAATTCAGGCTATATCCCCTAAGATATCTCATTCTTATATTTGTGAAGTATTTACCCAGCTTTGAATTGGGAGTTTCCATTCAAAATTTAAGGGATTTAAAAAATATATAAGTGAATACAAAAATTGAGTTTCCAAGACAAACAGTAAATAGACAGATGTCGATTCTGGCAAAGCAGAGTCTAATATTATAACTGGGTTTCATTAGGTAATGGGTTCAAGTTATTGAACCAGCTATGATGTTCTTTTACATTTTTTTACAAGCAATAAAAATTATTTCATACACAAGAAGAGATCTGGGTTCAAACATCTTTTTGTTTTATTCTATAAAAAAGGCATAAATCGTCACCTTAAAGCAATAACTGGCTAACTCTGAAAACATTTAGAAGTACTTAACTCTTTATTGCACTAAGGTGACAATATGTGTGTAGTTGAAAGGAAGCGTTACTTACGTGTTTACGCATCTGTAGTAACCATAGATAGCATTTTCACAAGTACATTGTGTATCACAGCTTGTATTCCATGTTTCTCCCTGTTTGTACAGTTTACCAGAATACACACATCGATCTGTAAATGTATCAAAATTTACATATAATTTCATTAAAACAAAAAAACAACGATGTACTCCCCACCCTGGGAACCTTGTCTGCGCTGATATCAGAACATATTCTAATTAACAAAAATAGTCACAACTAAACATGATTTACTTTAATGTTATTGTCTTTGAACACTCACCAGACTAAAAATTTGATAGCCATATGTACTTAAAATTAAATAAGCAATGACACAGTCAATTCTAAGATTTTGAAGTTGCAGACAGTTGAATTCTATAATTCAAAGAAAGTCAAAACACTAGTATTATTCTAAATAAAGTAGCTTTTTAAGTATATATATTACATTGTATGTAGTTTAGAATAATGATATATGACAATAAATGGATACTTACCATTTGGTCCCGGCTGTGGAAGTCCATCAGCTAGAAAAATAAATAAATATTAGTTACACAAATAATATTTAAATAATATCAGACTTGTATGGGAATCTGGCACTTAATAAGAAAAACATTCTTTTCCTTTTATTCTATGAATGAATGCTTAATTTGTTATGTCAAAATCTGTCATTGCTTAAAAGATTTTTTATTAGCCCATAATTTGATAAATTTTTGTCTTGATTTTTTTCCCTCCTTTGAACTTTGCACAGTCCATGTAAAGTATAAGGGATTTTTAATATCAAAATGTAGAAAGTAAGCTACCAGTCCAGTATAAAGCCTGTTCAGAAGACTGGCCTGGCTCTATACTAGTGGCAAAGGTAGTTCCTTTCAATTCTAGCAGGGTAATTGATTTAACACCTCTTATTTTTATATCCAAAATAGAACTATACATGATATTAGAATCTTATATTAATTTTGATATAGATCTGTGATGAAATATACAAAGATATGATAAAGATTATACTCACGGCACATGTTACAGTATTTTCTACAGTTAACAGCGGCCCATCCTCTGTAGCTGACACATACATCCTTGCCATACATGTTACATGAAGAGATAGCATCCAAACATGGTGGATGCTCTGTTGGTTTAGCTCCTAATAAATGTACAATTTATATCATCTTTATCAACTCATTTATATCCTATGAAGTGCTGTGTATTTCAACAATTATATCTTTTCATAATTATGTAAATTAGACATCATAAGAACTTATAGATTTGATCAGAACCCTTAATTTTAATATCTTAAGGACAAAATAACTCTGTTCATCCGAAATCATTCTGATGTTAACATGTGGTAACTAAAATCATTTTATTACAATATTCTTAAAATGATTCTTGATCTCAGCAGAACATTAAAATCTGTATTAAAATACTAAAATATCATTTGCCGAGAACTAATAACACCAGCACAATTTCTAACAAAGTTAATCAAGTTATGATTGTAGTTAACACAAACAAAACATGATGCTGATAAATAAACATAATAACAGTCATGTTCTATAGATAAGTAAAATGTTCACTGGTATTACTTACCAACTCCATAACCACTGATTGATCCTGAACCTTGGAAACTTCCTGTTTGGGAGTCGAACTCACACACTGGTTTCTTACAGCACTCTCCGGCTTTCTGTTCAAGATGGCAGTATGGAGGAATACTGCTGTATGATGGACACCTAAACAATAGAATAAAGCATATGCTTATTTGTTGACAAAAGAAATATGAAACTTTAAGTTAAATAGCCAACTTTTTTCCTACAAAAACAAAAAAAACCCATAAAAATGCGTTTAAGGCTAAATAACTGGGGTCAGTATTTACATATGAAAATAATGAAAATAAATTAAAACATATTTCTCAAACACAGCAAAACATGTGCTACAGTTTCTAGGGATACAAAATAATTAATCTTTTTTTTTTTTGAAATATGAAATTTCAAATACATTTAGATGAACAGCTACAAATACAGAAAAAATAACATTTTGTATTCTTATTTAAATTGATAATGTTAATTAATTAGAGTTAAAAATCTTTGGAGTTTCGTATTTATTAAAATAGAAAAATCACATTTTTAAAATTATGACAAAACTGCAGTGTCCTTTATGTGACCCTGATGTTGAAAGGTTAAATGAGACAGAAATAGGATTGCTCTTACAGGTCCTCGCATCTGTAGAGTCCAGATTTAGCATCAGTACATGTACATTGGTAATCACATCCATCTCTCCAGCTTTGTCTCTGGTAATACTGCTTGCCCTTGTATACACACACATCTGTAACAACATGTACAACTAACATTAGTTATTTTGTTTTATAACCACATAGAGGCATGACTGTGTATGTCATCTGTTGGGTTTTAAGTCACACTTATACACTGTACTTGTCATCAAGCAACCATTCAGCTTATCTGGTTTGGGAAGTTCTCATGTGCCGATTATTTTCGGGATGAGAATCATATGTCTTAACTTGCTCAGGCACATAAACTGCTATTAACAACAGATCAAAAACATCATTTCAAATTAAAGTACAGGTAGTGATACCTTTTATACTAAAAAAAACAAAAAAACAAATATGTTCTGCTGGGTATATTTTTTTCTTCTTACATGTAGTTCACTGAGCTATTTGTATATATTTGAATAACTGTACACTAATTTATTAATATTTTTCTGCATATATATTACCGATTCCATTTGCTGTGACAGCATGGCCACTAGATTGTTGCACATTGACTGTTGGGTTAAAGTTGCAAACAGGCTCGAGGCAGCAACTACCTGGCTGGGCAATCAGGGTGCAGTCGGCGGGAAGGTTGTGATAAACTGGACATCTGTAAATCAATGATAGCAATTCATAAGTGGAAACTATCTCATTTTTTAACAAAAGCTCAAGATATTTAAAATAATAATAAAAAAATAGAAACCTGCACCTTTTGAATGAAAATATTTTTATCAGGCTTGATTTTTTGCAAGTCGGAATGGATTTTCTACAATTCCTCTGATTAAACATGTATTTCAATTTACACTAGTCAACAACTAATGTAAACAGTGTTATATACATTTAGCAAGGGTACTTCAATGCTAAAATTGTCAAACACAGAACATGTTTTTAAACCATCTAATTACATATAACAATAGAATGTGTAGCCTACAAGGAAATTTTTCAAGGGAGGTAACTTAAGTTAAGAAATAACACTAATAAATACCTGTTGCTACATTTGTATTTTCCTGTATTTCCATCCTCACAGATACATTCATAGTCACAGCCATCATACCATTTCTCCCCAGTTTTGTAATTCTTACTCTTGTAGGAGCATTTACCGTAGTATCCAGATGAACTAGTGTTGGCAGAACAGAATCCGCAGAAGAGCTGGCAATTTTGGGCAACATATGATCCTGGCTGGGCGCAGTAATCTCTGCCGTAATTAGAGCAGTCTGGCAAGTTGTCTTCACATTTTGGTGGGGCATTTGTGAAAAGTGCTGAAGTATATGATTACAACAAACATGTATGCTCTATTGCATAAAATACTAATATGCATTAGTTCTATAAAAAGAAAAGTATACCAGCCTAAAAGGTCTTCCATCTCCTGAACTATTTTTAGTCGTTTCCATCACGGATTTATATGTAATATTAGAAATCCGTGTTTCCATTAAAGATTATTATGAATTATTTCAGGATTTTGTTAATTTAAAATTACAGAATCAAAATAGAATGATATTCTTTTTTATCTTAATTGACTTTAAATGCCCATTTTCGCGTTATTATCATGATAAACGAGTTGGAACTATTGGTAGATGTTTTCCAGGAAAGAGAAACAAATGGCGACAATTGAAGAAAGGGAAACAACTGTGTTAAAACTATTGGAATGAGAAGCAAATGGCGACAATAGAAGCAAGGGAAACAACCGTGTGAAAACAGTAACTAAATTTGGAATATTTTTTGTAGAATATATGTAGGATTTGAACTTACGTGTACAGAATCCACAGAATTTAGCACAGTTTTGTTGAGCCCATGAACCGTAGTTGGTACAGACATCATTTCCATATTGAGCACAATTGGCTAGTGTATCTTTACATGGATCCGGAGGTAGAGTGACGCCAGTAAGTGAAGGTTGGGTAGCCTTAACTGTTTATGGACATAGACATAATCTTATTAACTAACTCATTCAGGAATATTGTTACTTCATTCATGTTTTAAACTTCCATCAATTGTGTAAATTTTCCAAGATTCCAAAATATTACATGAAAATACAGGTTTCTTTCTCAGAGAGTATGAACCTACTTTGTTTTATTTTCTTTACTTTCCATTGATATTTATCTTTTGAAATAAAAAAAATGAAATATGAACAGAACAGGAAAGAACTTCTACTTTTTCTAGACTTATACAAATGAACATCGTCTTGTTAACATGCAATTAATACATATATGCAACATAATCACATGAAATCGCAATTAGTTGCGATCCGATTCCACCATTTAATATACAAGTGTATATAAAAAAACTGTCTAGTGAATTTTGTTTATGTATTTACCTTTGCACATTTGGGCAATAAGTTTGTCTGTTATAGCATCAAGATCGTTGTAGCTGTTAACATGGAAGGCATTTTCTGATGATGGGCTGTCAGCTATTTTATTCAATTCGGCATTATTTACTCTATTCCCAACACCGATTGCGAGCATTCCAATGTTTTCAGTACGGGCTTTGTCAGCGGCAGCTACAGCAGCTTGAGGATTGGAGGACCCTCCGTCGGTGATGAGAACGGCAATTCTTGGGACATTTCCTCGAGCTCCGCTGTATTGGCTCATTACCTGTTGTCCGGTGTAAGTAATAGCATCGGCATCGTGAGTGCCACCACCAAGGTATGTCATACCTTCAATGGCTTTCATTACCTATGTAAATGAAGGTAAAGTTTGTTGGAATTACAAAATGAATCATGAACAAAAAGTGCAGTAAACCCAATCAATGTCTATTTATAGCATTTTTCTGTTTGTCTTAAAGTATGTTATTTAAAATGTATCAACTAATCAGTTTCTCTATTACGTACTGTCCAGATAAGCGCTTTTATTTTTTTTATACAAATTATTGTAGGTGATTTTAATCTAAGGAAAACAATCCTATCTTATCAGCGTTAAAGTGTTATATGCGATGTATACAATTCATACATGCAACTTAAGGTGATTTTCTTGATTTTACTTTGAAACTAAATTGCCCGAATAACATATAAAATACACACAAAACACCAGCTAACTTTACCTCTGGTCGCGTTTGGTATTGTCCAAGAGGGAACTCTACCGACGGGTAGTTGGCGTATTTAACAACTCCAACCTGTACTTTATTTGCTCCAACATCGACTTTTGATACAACATCCTGTACAGAAAACAAAATGTTCTCATATTCTCTAAAACTTGCAACAATGTCTTGCTTTTTAAGTAACACCATAGCAGTCCGACCCAGCTATGTACATACATTGTTGGTTATTGGGATTCTGAAGTTTCTGATATTAACAATACACGAGAAAAAACTAAAAATGACTGTCAATTTCTCGAATTTATCAAGGTTAGTGTTCATTCTCATCTCCCAGGAATATCATACATGTAATTTAACTATTTAGCTAAATACTAGTAGTAAATGAAGCAATTTGGAAAGAGAAGATGAAACACAAATAACAAAAATACCTAACGATAACAGAATCCAAAAAGCTAATAAATACCTTTAGGAAATGTTCAAGTTTCTGGAAGTTGGTGTTTCCAACACTGCTTGAAGAATCTACCATAAATACTACATCGGCTTTCTGTAGACATCCTGTTTGAAAGGACATTTATTGTCAAATTATATATGCTAAAATGTACAATGTTAACATTCCAAAGAAATGAACGAAAGTATGAGAAACTCTGAATATTAAAATCAGATCTTTATTTAATGAATGAGTTACAAGATTCTGGTTTCAAGCATGAATATACATTTATTATAATACTTTAAAAAGATAATCAAAACATACCTGTTGGCTTTGGAATCATTGTCGGATCAGGTGGTAATTCTGCAATGAATAAATTCATTAAAACTATTATTGTTGTTTACTTCTTCAGAAGTCTTCTATGATGTGTTTTTGTGGTTATGTTTAGTACTGTTACAATGGCATTTTTTTTACAGTTAAGAACAAAAAATGTGAGATAAAGTCACATATAAGTTATTTTACAACACAGAAAACAGCTGTAAATAATGTTATTACATAAATACATGCACTATTTTTTTTGAAGGCAACATATCAGCGTATTTTTTTATCTAAGAGCGATTATTATAAAAAATCATACCATTGCAAATTTTTGTTGCCAACAGATCGGAAAGAGATCCTAAAGCATCAAAGTTCTGTGACGAAAACATGTGTCTGGAATCTGGGTCAGATGCAATGGTCTGCAATTCGCTCTGGTCTACCTTGTTTCCAACACCAACCGTGTAGAGAATAAGACCATTGTCACGCGCAGTTTGTGACTCGAGTTTGATCTGGTCTATTGTCCCTGAGGGTTGATTGGTTAAAAGCACTGCCACGTGAGGAGCGTCAGCACGCCCGCCGTGGATAGGGCTAAAAGAGGTACCCGTTGCAAATCGGATGGCGTTTGCCATTTTGGCTTGTCCACCTTTATACGGGATATTCATAATCGCTTGCTGAAGCTGATTATTATCCGTATATTGATTAAGGTAGAACTGATTTGTAACGCCAGTTCCAAATGTCAACGCACTGACCTGAACCTTGTCAGGTGCCACTTGCATGTTGTTCGAAACATCTTTTATAAAGTTTAATTGTTTCTGAAAGTTTTGAGTGCCTACATTGTTAGATGAGTCTATCATAAACGTAACATCCGCTTTGGTATCACATCCTGCAATAGACAATAATCATAATATTATTTGTTGTTTATCGTGTTATTTGTTGTTTTGTCATGTTATTTGTTGTTTGTTTATCATGTTTTTATTAATCATGTTATTTACTGTACTGTTTGTTGTCTATCATGTTATTTGTTTTTGTTCACTTACAATGCTATTCGTTAATTTCCGTACTATTCGTTGTTTTTCATGTTATTTGTTGTTTGTTTATGCATTTAATGTTATTTGCCGTTTCCCGTCTTATTTGTTGTTTGTTTTATGTATGCTTTCATTACAAGCATTTATTTATACCTCGTATGTAAATATGGAGATAAAATTAAACGTCTTTTTCAATACATTGCACAAGGAATGCATATGGGTATCACATATGCAAATGTGCGCACGCGCAATCGTAACGTAACTGTGTCACAATGCAACTGTAATATCTTTGTACATGGCATATCTATTTCACATAAAATATTTGTTATAATAGGCTAATATCTACTTAAAATATAAAAATGGGTGCCTTAAGTTTTTATATTATTCATAATTCAGGCATGTACACTGATGTGAAATTGAAATGGTTTTATATTAATAAAACCATATACAAATAAATGTAGTGAATACAATTTTTAGAAAATTGTTTGATCTTATTTTTGTGAATATCACAGTCATGAATTGACCTACAGATAAGCATTGTTGGGATTGTATGAGATAACATCAGCTCTGTCTTCATTTTGGAACGAAAAGAGAAACTATATACATGTTAAACTCTTATCGTTGGAATATATGTGTCGAGTTCACTTATATATACGAACATATCTCTTATCTATTACTGTCCTAATTTAAAAAATTGGGTTATATTGACTATCTGACAATTATAAATCGTGTTTGGGATGAGTGAAATTGTTTCAAATAAAATCAAATCTACTTTTTTTCTCAGTGGTGTATAAGTATTTAATAGAACATTATACGGTATATTAATTAGAAAGAAATTGATAAAAAAAATACAGTATAGTAACTTCATACCTTTAGATTATTATACATGTCATATATTCCTTACTGTATATTAATTATTGTATATTATTATAAATATGTATTATTATAACTGTATAGTATTATAAATATGTTTTATAATTACTGTATATTATTATTCCCAAAGACTGTTCATAATCTGTATTTCTGCTGTGCTATGTTTATTTATGTTTGTCAAATCGTTCCAAAGCAGAAAGGCAATAATAAGTAAATGCAAATATATGACAAAATTTTGACACCAAATTTCATCATTTTTCTTTATATCCTCCTCTTAATTAAGTTCTATAAACTATTTATGTCTTCTATCGAATAAGTTGGAACGTTCGTTTTTTTTTGTTTTTTTTTTGTTGTTTTTTTAATGATAAAAAACAGCTTCAATAAAAAAAAACATTCAAGTTATATATATATGTATTAAGTCCTATAACATTATCACAAAACAGCTTAACTTAAATTATTAATATGTTACACATTGTTTACAATGTTCTTATTTTGCAGCCATTTTTATATGATTTTGCAATGTAATTGTGCTTTCATTTTTCCAGCAACATATTTTTTACCAAAACAAGAAAGAAAAACCAAAACAAACTGAGACTGAAATACAAAAACAAAATAACAATTACAAAGGATCGAGTCTATGGCTTAATTAAAAAAAAAAAAGAAGATAACTTACCCATTTGGGCCCTTACCGCCCCGCAGGTAACGGTAAGAGCAAGAATGATAGACCATATCATTCTGCCGAAAGTCGAAATGCTTTCCCAGAGGTTAGCCGTCTCTTTTATATAAGGGCCACAGCTCCTGGTCACATGGTTCAACATTAAGGATCCATTTTTATCAATGAAAGGATTGGCAAAGAAACGGCGAAGGCCTTTAGTGGGGTTTACGTGAATTCATAAACTTGGTGAATGGTTGAGATGGAAAATCTTATGTAAAAATGCTTTCATTTATATAATAAAGATAAAAGTGTCCTTACAGGAGCCTCAATATGTTCAGCAAAGATAAGACAATAGGTTATGTCGCAGATCACATACGGATTTGTGACCTTAAAAGTAGGATTTCCGTTGAAAAATACAATTATTTTGCACAACTAAGCAGCAATTTAGCAAAACTAACGGGATTGGCAGTATTTTTGAATCAGCATATATTTCAATAGGCTGGGTGATACCAAAAAAGGGAAAATGATTTTATTCAAATGTGTTGCAGAATCGTGTCATAAGGTTTATGAATCTATCAACATATCCTATTATTATACAAGACGAAATAATGTCAATACGATTAGATGCTTGTACCCCTAAACCATTTGCAGTATACCATGTGTATCTTACAGAACAAGATAGTAGTTTAAAGGCACATTATGCCTCAGAAAAGAACAATTTTTTACTTCTTTAGAAAGGGCAAACATGAGTTTTACAACATTCAAAAAATGCTTTTAGCGCATGTAAGATGCTTGTTACATGAAGAAAGTCTCGGTGCATGTGAAATTATTTGTCATAAAAGTAGCAAAAACAATTGCCAAAAAGCAACAGAATAGAAAGTACGTTCAAGAAATTGGCCTACGCGTACCTATTATAAGCTATAAAAGTACAACGTAAATAAATGACTTTTATAGAAATAATTATAAAAGCTCTTCTGGAGCATAATATCGGCCTTAAAAGTAGGATAAAGTAAACAATTGAGATCTTTGTTAGATACTGGTTTATATAGTTGAGGCATAGTTCATGCTGTCACTTGATCGCGCAATAATATATTATAGTATAAACATCAAGATTCCTTTCAGAAATAATAAAAAACTATTGCAATTTCAAATAATTGCACCACTTAGAATAGAGCAATAAAAAAACCCAAAGAAAGCCCAACACGGCAAAATTGAAAATGTTGCAGGCTCGGTTTGTTTGAGCCTGTTCATGGACGGTAATGAAAAATTGCAAGTTACCGTGCACGCCCCCCCCCCCCCCCCAGCACCGAATTAAGCAGAATTCAACATCAATTGATATTTAAGATAGTTTCTTCTTATAGAAAAGGAGCATACTTTCCATTTATTGTTGTCTTTTTAAAGTAAGGTTTGGCATTTCTTTTTATCACAAACATTAACACAGAGGTCAATTTGAGGATACAATACTAATGTTTATAATTGTAGACAATTTGTATTTTTACAAATTTAGTCATTTTTACAAATTTAGCCATTTTTACAAATTTAGCCATTTTTACAAATTTAGCCATTTCTTTATGTCAGTCAAAATATCATCCAACGTCTGCATTTTAAACATGTTTAAAAGTAGTGATGGCAAAAAAATACGTTTATTTTATTTTTATTTTATTTAGTCACTAACTGAGTTCTAATTGACAGCATTAAGGTCATGGGATTGGCGGTATATGATAACGTGTTACTTTATATAGAATAAAACACTATGAAACCGGTTTATGATTTCCGAAAAAAAGAGAGAAACCATGTGCGTCTCCAAATGTTCTTACTTATCATGTGAAATTACGAGATTATTTCCACTAATTTATTTAAAAATTTTAAATTTAATTAAAGCTGAAACCAGAGCTGTTGAAACAACAAAGAACTAAAATAAAAATAAAAATCTTATCGACAAAGTTGACTTTAAGTATTAGCAAAAGGACACCATGGAAACAAAACATGTTCTTAAATAATTAAAGCGTTCTAGAAAGATTTAATGTGCACAATTTCATTCCACTTCGATATAAGATAAAGGACGGATACTGGGACCTCATAAAGAGTGTTTCCTATATCCGAGTGTACGTTGTATCCGAGTTCGCTATAAGTGAGGATCACTGTATATTGTATTTGGTTTGTTTTGATTTTTTTTGTCACATCAAACTGAAACCTGTACATGTATATGTCATATGGCGATTTTCAAGGTTTTCTGGTGAAAGAAGATCTCGTGTGCCTCTTCGCGCATTACTTCAGGCACAAGCAGGCATACTCTATTTTGGCTTAAATGGTTCAAATAGTTTGGTTGAAATGACAGGTCATGACACAAAATACTTGCCTGATAAGATTTTGTTTGTTTGATTGGGTTTTACGTCACACCGACACAGTATAGGTCAAATGGCGACGTTCCAGATTTACTGGTGAAGGAAGACCTCAGGTTCCCTTCCGTGCATTATTTCAGGCAAGAACGGGCACCTGAGTAGAACCACCGACGTTCTGTAAGCTAGCTGGATAGCTTCCTCACATGAAAGAATCCAAAGTCCTTGTCGGGATTCGAACCCACAGCGGTGAGGGGCAAGTTGTTTGAAGTCAACGACCTTAATCACTCGACCACGGACGCCCCTACCTGATCAGACGTTTGTCATAATGATTATACAATCATGTAGTAGGTATACAGATTCGTTGATTAAGGTTGCTTCCTTAACGATTGTTGTTGAAAACAATATATTTAATTAAATAGGAGATTGTTTTACCATTCTAGTCATTGTCGTGATAGTAAAATGGGCAGGATTTTTTTGAATGAGAATTACCTTAAACTAATGATGAAACAACTTTTGATATCAGCACCTGCGATAATAATTACAAATGCACCAAATCTGGACCAATGTGCAGCACTCTTAGGGTTTGAGTATTTCATACCGCTTTGTGCGCATGCGAGGGGTTGCACATTTCATCATCACTCAATAAAACCAGACCTGTAATTGTCAACATTCTTATTCATTTCGGAGAGATCTCTCCTTTCGTTAAATTTTATAAAAGTAAAGGCTGTCACAGAGTTGTTTCTTACATTAAATGGTGACGTATTAGTTATCTCTGAGTCTCTGTAATTAAAGGCCCAATATGCCTTAGAAATGCTACAGTTTTATTTCTAAAAAAAAACTTTTTTTTTTTTGGTGTCTTGTTTACAGTTTCTAAAAAATACACATCTGCCATATAGATGAACTAAACTAACTTTTACTTTTTTTGCTCTGTAATCATCTGTTAAAATTATAGCGAATTTCTATTTTGTATGGAAGTCAAAATACTACTTTGTTTACATTTTGCTATCTTTACAACACATTACTGCAAATTGTGATACGTTCTTCAGTTGATGCTCTAAGTAAAATAATAAATCATTTTAGCACATGTTTCACATTTCTAAAGAATAAAAAAAATATGGATAATGTGCCTTTAAACAACATTCATAGTTATGGTGTTACAAATGATTGCTTGTATACACCGATTAAAGTCAAAATTAATTTTAATACGAGAACGTATATTATGCAAGGACCCGATTTTTTTGATCGGTGGTACTTAACTTTGCGTTTATTTGTTTGTAAACCGAAAGTCTAACAGTGCTGGGTTTTTACTGATGCATCAGCACTGAAATGTTAAAATTTCAGATATCTTCGCATATTATACCATTTTACAAGAGACGAATTCCTTTAAAATATTAAGTTGAAATTTTCACATAATTTTGCGGTCACAGTAGTGAATAATTCAAACATTCTGAAGTTCTATAAAAATGAATATGAAATCTTTATAAAATTGGACTGAAACAACAGAACACAATATGATACAGAATAATGACAAATCATTTAAAAAAATAACATATATTTAATCTAGCACAATAGTTACAATTTATTAATAAATATGACCAAATAACACACTGGTACATTGAAAGACAAATTTTCTGGATTATAAACAATATTTACATTATACTGATGTATGACGTCAACGTTACAACAATGACAAACACGTCATGTATTAAATATACATGTATATACAATATCCCAACCTCCCGCGCAGTGTTCTCCTCTTAAAGGTTAATACTGGCCGTAGCGGAGTTTGAAAATAATAATGTATGCCGGTATAAATCAGTGACCGCCGACAAAAAAGTTGCAAGCAAAGATGCATTCTTTTCGTATTTGCATTTCTTAAACAAGAAAATGTACAGTATTCAAGTTGTATTAACGTTTAAAACGAACTAATAAATGAGCCGCGTCACGACAAAACCAACATAATGGGTTTGCGACCAGCATGGATCCAGACCAGCCTGCGCATCCGCGCAGTCTGATCAGGATCCATGCTGTTCGCTTACAATAGAGAAACTGATAGCGAACAGCATGGATCCTGATTTCATTTGACGTTGTGTCAACCGTCATTGTGTAACCTTTGTTGATTAACACTTTACACAATTAGAGGACATTAATTAATCACCGACATCAAATATATCATACTTATAATCCACATTTCTGGTTGTTTTATAATATGCAGACTGAGAGAAACTTCGTCCGTCATATTAAATGAATATAGGCTACCAAGCCTTTACAACATGTTGCCTTGGTAACACAAAAATAAAAAATATAGTGTAGTTATATTTTGATGATTTCAATATAATCTTTTCAACAATTTATCTTTAAAATATATGACGAGACTGACCATATATCCTAGTTATATAATAGCAAACATTTTTCAACTCATTTCATACCATACCAATGCAAGGAATATTTTTTCTCTAGCAAAGAAGGACTAATGTGTTCATAGTAATAATATGGATATGCTGAGCAATTGTATTCAGCTTGTACCAAAGGGAATGTCAATCAGTGGTGTTAGAATCCATTTTACTGTCCTCGGTCTCTTTATAAGCCGGAGGTGGTTCGGAAGGAATAACGTTAGGTTCTAGGTCTGAATACTTAGGTGGATTTTCTGGATTTATGCACGGGCTTGTACTTTGTAGAATTTGACCGCTTTGCACTTCTCTTCCATCAACGGTTAATTGTACGGCACTCGGGGTGTATGGTGGTGGTGTTGGGGGCTCGAACCCATAATTTGTAAATCCAGCGCAGCCAGAATGCATATACGGATAATTATTTTGATTATTTATTTGACGCTGCATGTCAATGCTTTGTATGGTTTCACGTCTGACGTCACCAGGATAGCCCATATAACGTAGGTGTCTATCACGTCTAGTCATGATCTGTAAACCGAAAGCTTCCCCATATTTCCGAATCAGCGCGATTCCAATGGCAGACGTGATAAGGCCTACACAACCTAGTACAAACACAATTATGGCGATAGTTTTGTTTATTTGAAAGTGTTCGCTATAAGAGCAGGATGTATCGTTCACCAAGCAGAGACCGTACATCCAGATAATTGCCAGTCCGATCACACATGCGAAGAACATCAGGAACGATATTCCACGATGCATGTTTAACTGAAATCGAAAACAATAAAAAAAAAAATAAAAAAAAGATCCCGTTTAAAAGCAGTATTCGTTGTACAGGATTCAACAGCGTGGATACACATATAAATAAATCAAATGGAATGAATATTAATAAAGGAAATGAAGTATCAGTGACCATTTTAATAAATACTGACAATATATCAAGCTTAACAATTGTGTCATTAAAAATATGGTCAAAAACCAGTACATTATATAACCCTGTATTAATACAGTTGAGTGAAAGTAATTCGATCATATTTACTATTTTCCAATGCTATGCCCCAATTCATTAAACTCGGGCCTACTTTATATCGGTATCTGTCACAAAACTGTGAAATATTGTCAAGGCTATATAAAAATTGACATTCACTTTTTAAAAGAAGCTGGCGCCAGTGATGAATGGGATCGAGGCGGAGCCCAAAGTCAGTTATTAAAGTATGTTCAAGAGAAGCAAGACATTACATCAAAATTAACAGTGACCCTGACAATATTATAACTCTAAATTTCAATTAGTTTTGTACCGCCTGAATCTAATTTTCGGTAGAATGTCCAATGATCAACGTTATAATAATGTCCACGTTTATATATAACGAAGTGACCCTATGTTTATAACAGAATAGATTTATAGGTCTGATTGCAGTGCATGAATTGTTTAAGCTTTATTATTATTATCATATACATGCAGGTCAAGTGTGCAAGATAACAAAACTTCCATAACAGTGCCTAATATATACAATACTTAAATAGTTAAAATTTGAACCGAAATAAGGCCTTTATGTATACAATTACTTTATTAATATAAATTTGAACATAGGCATTTATTTATACAATTACACTTGGTGCTGTGTTTATGAAATGGATAAGAATTATAATAAATCAGGAAAATTCCATCGTTATTTTAAAATTGCTGAGAAGTGTCTGAACAAATTTGCGTAACTGATAGCTGTCTTTTCTGTCATTTGAATATCAAATCCCTGAATATTCCGATTGAAATTTTATTAAGTAGTTTATCACGTCAGACAATTTCTCATTCTCAAACTGTAAGTATCGGGGATTTTCTTAGCTTCTGTATAAGATACTGGTAGTAATTTGAAGTTAATCAGCCAGCAGTATAAAAAATTGTAACATGATGGATCCGTGGAAACTAACCCTTAATGGCATAACGGGTGACATGCCCGGGGTTCATATCAAACAGCGAATACTGCTATGATTTAGTGCGCTTGACTGGCTCTCAATAAGCATATATTTTTTATCATCATCGGATGTAAACATGGCATGGCTCTATACTGCTAGAAAAAAACTGACGGCTTTCATTTCCGCAGCTTTCTTACGGTAAAAAACATGGGAAGACGAACATTTCTACCAAACCAATTTTAAAGCATCATAATTATATATAATAATTAATGCCAAACGATGTGTTTGAGAATAATATATTATTATAAACACACATACCGCACACAGCACCTCCTTGCGTGACACTTCACATAACGTAAATAGTGGTCCCTTATTATACACCCTGAACGCTACCATACTTGATATCAGAAGCTATAAACAGAGAAAATCATCATTTACAAACATGTTACATTATGTTGTCACAACATTTAATGAATCAGTACACGTGCAACATGAAATATTATGATGAAAAAGTAAATGTGCATTAAGTCATATCAAGATGAACAGTACTCGTGCATCGTGTCATAAATAATGAAATAGCACACATGCATCATGTTATTTAATAATAACACATTACACTTCCATCATGTCATATAATACTGAAAAAATACACGTGCATTATGTCATATAATGATGAAACATTACACGTGCATTGTGTCATATAATACTGAAAAAAATACACGTGCATTATGTCATATAATGATGAAACATTACACGTGCATTGTGTCATATAATGATGAAACATTACACGTGCATCGTGTCATATAATGATGAAACATTACACGTGCATTGTGTCATATAATGATGAAACATTACACGTGCATCAATGTCATATAATGATGAAACATTACATGTGCATCATGTCATATAATGATGAAAGATTACACGTGCATCATGTCATATAATGATGAAACATTACACGTGCATCAATGTCATATAATGATGAAACATTACACGTGCATCATGTCATATAATGATGAAAGATAACACGTGCATCGTGTCATATAATGATGAAACATTACACGTGCATCAATGTCATATAATGATGAAACATTACACGTGCATCAATGTCATATAATGATGAAACATTACACGTGCATCATGTCATATAATGATGAAACATTACACGTGCATCATGTCATATAATGACGAAACATTACACGTGCATCATGTCATATAATGATGAAAGATTACACGTGCATCGTGTCATATAATGATGAATCATGTCATGTAATGATGAAACATATCACGTGCATCATGTCATATAATGATGAAACATTACACGTGCATCATGTCATATAATGATGAAAGAATACACGTGCATCATGTCATAATTATAATGATGAAACATTACACATTCATTGGTCATATAATGATGAAACATTACACATGCATCATGTCATATAATGATGAAACATTACACATGCATCATGTCATATAATGATGAAACATTACACATGCATCATGTCATATAATGATGAAACATTACACATGCATCATGTCATAATTATAATGATGAAACATTACACATTCATTAGTCATATAATGATGAAACATTACACATGCATCATGTCATATAATGATGAAACATTACACATGCATCATGTCATATAATGATGAAACATTACACATGCATCATGTCATATAATGATGAAACATTACACATGCATCATGTCATATAATGATGAAACATTACACATGCATCATGTCATAATTATAATGATGAAACATTACACATTCATTAGTCATATAATGATGAAACATTACACATGCATCATGTCATATAATGATGAAACATTACACATGCATCATGTCATATAATGATGAAACATTACACGTGCATCATGTCATATAATGATGAAACATTACACGTGCATCATGTCATATAATGATGAAACATTACACATGCATCATGTCATATAATGATGAAACATTACACATTCATTAGTCATATAATGATGAAACATTACACGTGCATCATGTCATATAATGATTATAATACTTCAAGTGAAATAATGACCATGTAATAACAATAAAAATTTTTTGACAATATATGAAGACCCTCAACAATATATATACAATAGTCGGTCACTTATGTAATTACTGGTTTGTTATCAAAGAAGCCGGTTAAGTTGACCAACCAGACCAAAATGTGTTGTAATCGGCGTAAACCTAGAACAAAATACCGTTCTCAATTTGGTAACATACCTATTACCTAAGGCAGATACCATGATGTCAGCTCTGCAAGTTTATAAATAAATCTTTAGAAATAACATTTTATAATATCACAGATTTGCTTTGAAAATTTAGTATAGTCTCATATGGCGATTTACCCACCATGCAGCCGATGACAAAACTTCCGGTGTAATATGGAAATCCCCCTCCAGAGTGATAATGCACGGAAATTGAGGAGGAGACAACAGTCACAAGGCCGCAGACGACTTGCAAAACGGAAAGACCGAGATAGACACGAATAGCCTTCTTTCTAGAAAGGTCCTCTCTCTCGGAATCCGTAATACCTCTGTTGTTTCCATCTGAAATAAAACAAAAAGAGAAAATAAACCTCGGCGTACAAAGATTCCATCAGTTATGTGCAAAAAATTCTGCAATACAACTGAAGTAATTTGGTATCAATTAAATGAAATAAAAAAGACACGCACATTAATTCATACGGAATCTGTATTTCATTTCTTGCCTTGTCATGCAATATTCTAATTAGCGAGACAAAATAGGAATCCGTGTATAATTGCTTGGTGCTTAGAGATTTATTTGAATTTACAAATTGAAACCGAAGAGTTAAAAAGGGAATACTTTCCCCAGCAATTAGTAAATTACTTTATTTTATTTTTATTTCTTTATTTACATGTGGTATATCGTTTACCTGCATCATGTAATCTGAATGTTTAGATGGAAAGCAGAACAATATAATTAAGTGGAGATCTGGAAAAAAATATCTGTTACTGAAACAGACTTAGCTTTTAGAGACTAGTTTAGAATAATGAAAATAATGAGTGCTTCGATGAATTTAACGAAAACAACTCTGTGAAGGCCGCATATATTAGCTGGACATGTCCGGGTTTCTAAACATAATTTATTTGTCGTTTTCAAATAATGACACGGCTGTTGTCATCATATATTGATGTATTTATATGAGCCGCGTCATGACAAAACCAACATAGTGCGTTTGCGACCAGCATGGATCCAGACCAGCCTGCGCATCTGCGCAGTCTGATCAAAATCAATGCTGTTCGCTGTCAGTTTCTCTACTTGTAATAGAGTTGGTAAGCGAACAGCTTGGATCCTGATCAGACTTCGCGGGTGCGCAGGCTGGTCTGGATCCATGCTGGTCGAAAACTCACTTTGTTGGTTTTGTCGTGACGCGGCTCATATATCAGTTCTGATATATTTTCTTCTGGGTCAGAAGTTCAGAACCTCGTTTCTAGAGTCGTAGGTCCATGCCCGTACGCACAAAAATAGCAAATATTTCAACGCGCTGTATGGTGTTGTTTCATTATCTACTAGGCCTCTATTATCTATTTATCAAATTCATTTTTGTCATTTAAAACTAGGAACGGCGCAAATGATTAAAAGATACATGTACAGTTAAGACGTGGTTCACAGTAACTATGTAGAAAAAAATCACACAATAAGGTTGAAAAACAAATATAACAAAGTTAAATACTTTTGTAACAGTGTGTATATGTGAGAGAGTGAGATAAAAACATGCCCCTAGGTAGAAATCTTATCTGAGATTGGAATTTATATTCACGACCTTTTTCGATCTTGTATAATATCTAATGTAATGTTTGATGAAAAATGATAAAAAAAATGAAAGTGTATTTTAGTTTCAAATTATATATCTATACAGTTTGCATGCCTCTATTTTGCTCTAGTAATAATGAAAGTCGGACAGGGTAAATCGATCTCTGCAAAAATTAAAAACAAAATACGTCCATATACGAGAAGGTATATAATGTAAAGTTATCTTTACTTACCTGTCTCGGATAACGTTTCCGGTAATACACACAACATAAACACACCCTGAGCCGACATCACATTTCACAAATTTTAGAAATCTTGTTTAGTTTTGTTTACTAATTAATCCAATGTACACAGGTGTCCGATTTTATGGTACCCCTTCATTTAAGTCGGGGCTATTTTTATGGTATGGTATGCCGGGTGCAAATTTACAAAAGCGAAACAGGTGTATATTTCACTGTTTGTAGTGTGTTACGCGGTCAATTACTGTGTTAACGTAACTGCCCATCTTTAATAAATATATCATAATTAAGATATTTCTCGCGCATTCGCATACTGCGTAGGGCAAAATAAAATCAATAAGATAAAATCAATATAATTAAAATGAAACACCTTTAAATAATTCTGATCTAATTCACAGAATATAATATCTGTGTAGGAACTATATTTTGTTAGACAGTGAGTATTCATCTATGACAGTGCATTCGGTTCTGACGTAAAACATTCGTCTGAAGTAAAATGTACAAAAGCATTTAATGAAACCACTTATACGTGTTAATACAAAAACCGGATATTTCTTCCTAAAAAAATAATGGTCAGAAAGAAAAAAAATACGTATGCCGTGAAGACATTACGTCAGTTGCAGTCCTATAAGCGTTCAAATCAGCGCTAACTCAATCTTTTTAAAACTAATAAGACTTTTTTGTAAGAAGTTCATAGCCGGGTTCATAAAATAATTTTAAAAAACAATTTCGTTTAGATAACAAGTTTATTCAATCAATAATATTTCGTTTCAAAAAATAACTTCCATATACATGTATAAGCACATTAATCTGCAAAAGCATACAACACAAGGCATAGATCTATCATTCTGGTTGTGACAAACACAATATACGAGACACCGGTTGTTCAAATTCATATGTATCCATGGTTATGCACGGACTATATGCACGGACTATAATTATGTAAAATCAACGTTATAACAAATAAACATATTTTAGCCGCTTTGTTGTTGTCGTTTTTATGGTAAGATCCCCCAATGCACTACATGCTTTGAAGAGTATTCAAGTAAGCTATATCGCAACTTTTCGGTCCTTTCCGTCAGTCCGACGAATCTCCCAAGTGTACACTGAATGCATCATTTCAAGCACGGACAGATACCTGGGTAATGTCATGACCTTACACAATTTAATTTGATAGTTGTTGTTTTTTTTTTTCTTCACACGAGACAATTCAGTGTCCCTGGGTGGGACGCACACCAACAGCGAGGATAGTGCTGGTGATTAGAAATAGACAACGCTAACTGTTCTATATATAAATGAGCCGTGTCACGACAAAACCAACATAGTGCGTTTGCGACCAGCATGGATCCAGACCAGCCTGCGCATCCGCGCAGTCTGATCAGGATCCATGCTGTTCGCTATCGGTTTCTCTACTTGTTATATAGAGTTGGTAAGCGAACAGCATGGATCCTGATCAGACTGCGCGGATGCGCAGGCTGGTCTGGATCCATGCTGGTCGCAAACGCACTATGTTGGTTTTTTCGTGACGCGGCTCAAATCATAACTTCATATAAAATATCTGAACAAACTAAATATCTGAATCATCATATACATACACATTTCATCTAACACAATATATATTATATGGCACATATTTAAAGGGAAACAAATCAGACAATCTTCTTTCTGGCAATATTTCTTATTTATGGTATATCCCAAATGCACTACATGCTTTGAAGAGTATTCAAGTAAGCTATATCGCAACTTTTCGGTCCTTTCCGTCAGTCCGACGAATCTCCCAAGTATACACTGACTGCATCATTTCAAGCACGGACAGATAACTGGGTAATGTCATGACCTTACACAATTTAATTTGATAGTTGTTTTTTTTTCTTCACACGAGACAATTCAGTGTCCCTGGGTGGGACGCACACCAACTGCGAGAAGAGGGCTGGTGATTAGAAATAGACAACGCTAATTGTTCTATATATAAATGAGCCGTGTCACGACAAAACCAACATAGTGCGTTTGCGACCAGCATGGATCCAGACCAGCCTGCGCATCCGCGCAGTCTGATCAGGATCCATGCTGTTCTCTATCGTTTCTCTACTTGTTATAGAGTTGGTAAGCGAACATCATGGATCCTGATCAGACTGCGCGGATGCGCAGGCTGGTCTGGATCCATGCTGGTCGCAAACGCACTATGTTGGTTTTTTCGTGACGCGGCTCAAATCATAACTTCATATAAAATATCTGAACAAACTAAATATCTGAATCATCATATACATACACATTTCATCTAACACAGTACATATATTATATGGCACATATTTAAAGGGAAACAAATCAGACAGTCTTCTTTCTGGCAATATTTCTTATATATGAGCAATACTTCATGTACATTATCATGTAAAAGTCGGCTACTATTATTTATAGCTATTCTATATTTCACTTCCATGAAAAAAAATCTGACAATGATCGCAACAGTGATTATTTAAGAGACGCTTGCAAATATAACAGGTTTAACCATAACTATTCTATATCTTATTTGAGAACGAGTTAGAACAGTAAGAAATAAATATCTATTGACTTAGGCGTACAATTTAGCCAAATAGATACTTAGCCGAATAAATGCTGGGCCTGCAAGTGACTTCGCAAACATTCGCTCGTAAAAATCCGACTAAATTCACAAATTTCTGTTCTTGTATTCTCTGTCCATATTTAGAGGACAAGGGACATATTCAAATTATGACCCCGTTGAGATCTATTAACAATAAAGACAGGTGTTTATGAGGGTGTTGAGCACTGTTCATATTTCTTTCTTGATGTAATTCTTTGTAATTTGTATCTTGGAAATTAGCAACACAAAATAGTGTAGAATTAGGTTTCTGGATAGCCATTAACTCTAAACCTTCTGAATGTGTGTAATAAATTTACCCTGCTTTAAATTTGGAACAGTCCAATCAAAGTCTAAGAGAATACAAAAAAAAATAATAATAAAAATACACCAGTGTAGCCAGACAACACAGATGTGCAGGTTGGCCTGGCTACTAGTGATGAAGGTTAATCGCTTTGGATTGCAGCGCATTAAGGCTTAAAGGTCCATTATGCCCAAGGAATACTTTATTTTTTATTTCTCAAAAGTCTTTTATTTTTGGTGTACTTTTATAGTTTTCAAAAAGTTACTCATTGGCCAATTACCCCTTACCATTTTTTCTAATGTTTCCTTTTGACATTTAGTATGGTTAAAGTAACTGAGTATTTTGTATGGAATATGCTACTTTGATTACATTTGGCAACATTATTGCACATTATTTAACATTTACCGCTACATTCTCAGGTGACAAGCATCTAACAACTCTAAACCAATTATATAAACATTATAAAATTCATATTTGCCCATTCTAAAGATGTAAAAATGAGCCACGTCACGACAAAACCAACATAATGCGTTTGCGACCAGCATGGATCCAGACCAGCCTGCGTATCCGCGCAGTCTGATCTGGATCCATGCTGTTCGCTTACAAACCCTATAACAAGTAGAGAAAGTGATAGCGAACAGCATGGATCCTGATCAGACTGCGCGCATGCGCAGGCTGGTCTGGATCCATGCTGGTCGCAAACGCACTATGTTGGTTTTGTCGTGACGCGGCTCAAATGTACATAATATACCTTAAGAGAGGTAATAAGCTGCTAGTAAATGTGTTACAAACGGAAAGCTACGAAGATTGCCGAATTTAAACGAGCCAAAATTTGGTGACATACCTTACAATTGTATGTCTACCATTATTAAATGCATGTTCAATACAAAAACAACGTCATCTAAACATAATGAAATAATGTCGTCAAGGAACGAAACTCATCACATATAATCAAATATAAATATACATGTATCTATGGCACATATCATTTTTACACAAATAAATAAACAAACAAACATACAAACTAAAATACAATGTATATGTTGTTAAAAAAAATGTTATGACACTATCGTGAAGATGAGCAAGTACTTTCAAACATATTTAAAACTTAATATAAGCTGATAACATTAACAATTAGGAAACATAAAAAAATGATTATCGCAAATATATCACAAAATGCCGAATGTAATTTATGCGAATTTCTGGCATTTATTTTTACATCTAAACTGTAAAAAAGAAATATAAAGTATATGTATAGTTCTTGTAGGATATCATATAAAGTGAAATGTTTGTTTTACAGTTTTTTGTTTACTGTTCTTGTAGTAAAGTGTATGTATCAAAGTTTTAACTAAAGTTGTAAATTTCAGCATCGCGTTGAAATAATTCAACTCATATCGGAGTGATCGGTAATAGAAAGTGCATCGAAACACCAGGCTATCTGATTTGTACGAGGGCTTGTAGTTCCCGAGTATTAATCAGATTGCCGAGTGGTTTGATGTTCTTTCTCCTTTATATCATAGGCTAAAATGAAAACACGTTCCTGGTCGTCACAATATGAAACCCCAGAATAAATGAATTTGTACGAGCATCTGTACAGGATTTTTCTATCAAAATCACATTCCCTGTTGTCATTATAAGTAAACCCCCCTAAAAATGTAGCGAGCCAACGGGGATGCTCTATTTTGACCCCCTTCATCACTATTAGTTAACGCACAATGCCTTCATGGTTATACGATGTAAAACTCTGGCACATTTTCTATAGAAAGGACTCCTAACTATTATACAATTTTACATTAGAAAGCTGGAAAACCAAGAAACAAAGCTGCCTTTACTACACAAAGTAAAATACGTATATACATCATAACATAGCTAAGTTAACACTAAATAAAGTTGGGAATGCAAAGTATAATTAGTGTTACAAAATCAGTGCTGCCAACATAACAACAAATAAATAATCATGTAGTCATTAAAAGCTCGAGGTATAATATACATTAGCCTGGGTTCCAGTCTGTCGATTTTTTTTTATGTGCTTCTGTTCGGCAAATCGACAGCCTGGCTGGGTTCCAGTCTGTCGATTTTTTTTATGTGCTTCTGTTCGGCAAATCGACATTGATACGATGTTGTGATCGAGTATGAAATAGCGCGTAAGTTATGAATAAGCAAAAAAAAATATCAACGCCTGAATCCCAGGCTAAATATACATGTATATAACTGCAAAATGTTACTGCAATGAAATAACTCATCTGGAACTTTTTAACACTCAACTATGGAGGAATACGTGAGACACCCAGAGAAATAAATTACGATCAAGTTGCCCCCTACACCTTAACACTTCAGTGTTAAACGCAGTGGTACATTTTTGTATAAAAAAGCTAGCGCAGGGGATTTTACTAGGATTTAACAAGCTGCTTGTACCTGCAAGGCGGATTATATAAGTAAGTCTTTTACGATAAAATGTACCCTAGTATTCTCAGGGATTAAGGGAGACGGGGTTTGATGACTGATGTATGAAAGCAGATTCTAATCACACTGCTATGTAATGGAAACATGAACAGAGACATATATTCAACTAATAATATTTAGTGGGAATTTCTTTGAAGGATGGTGGTAAAAGCGGCCGGATAGCTCATCGGTAGAGCCGCGGTACGGGTATTCCGAGGGTCCCGGGTTCGAGTCCCGGTCAGGGCTGCACATTTTTCTCACCCTGTGACATTTTGGCGCCCAACGGGGGACCGTGACTGATATAGGCTCAGAGTTTAATTTACATTGCTCTGTAACTCTGTGAAATTCGAGGACGAATTTCAATATTTGTGGTGAAGTATGTCACGGTTCAGAACTGTTCACTATTTAGGGGAGAAGATGTGTAAGCGGCCGGATAGCTCAGTCGGTAGAGCCGCGGAACGGTATTCCGAAGGTCCCGGGTTCGAGTCCCGGTCAGGCTGCACATTTTTCTCACCCTGTGACATTTGGCGCCCAACGGGGGACCGTGACTGATATAGCTCAGAGTTTAATTTACATTGCTCTGTAACTCTGTGAAATTCGAGGACGAATTTCAATATAACAGGGGAGTATGTCACGGTTCAGAACTGTTCACTATTTAGGGGAGAAGATGTGTAAGCGGCCGGATAGCTCAGTCGGTAGAGCCGCGGTACGGTATTCCGAGGGTCCCGGGTTCGAGTCCCGGTCAGGCTGCACATTTTTCTCACCCTGTGACATTTTTTTTTTTTTTTTTGGTTTGCGCCAGAAATTGTTGTCTTGTTTATTTATTTATTTATCAAGGCGTATGTTTATGTCCTTACAGGCATAAACAGACCATTCCTGCATTTGAAAAAGGACCATACGACATAATGGAAACACGAACAGAGACATATGTTCAACTAATAATATTATAAGGATATTTCTTTGTAACATTTCTATGGCAACGAAGATCACAAGCCAGGACTTTATTTTTATATAAAGTGGGCCTGGAAAAAAAAACATTTGGCAGTACTCTTTTCTAAAGCCTACAAAATGATAAGGAAAACAATGAAAATACTTTAAGTAGTTCCACTGACGTCCCAAAGCCTAAAACATTTACTTTAGCATTGTACATTAATCAACTGGGGCACTTAAATAGTAAAATATGCAAAAAATAATTAAGAATATACTCAAATTTAATTAAAAACTGATGTTATATGTGATTCTGAGTCTGATTTTAGATAAAAGCGTTGTTTAAAACACTTTTCCTTTTTAGATCAATTTGCACAATAAAAACATTTTACTGATAAAAAAAGCAGTGAAAGAATGATCTTAAAATTTGCACACAAGTTATTGGTATAGACCTACATAAATAATATAAAACCTCACAATCAAATATGACATGTGTATTCAAATACCTCAATAAGAATTTATAGATTCTAGGCTAATAAAACAATAACTGGCCAAATATCCATTCATACAGGAAACTTTAAATACCCTGTCCAAATAATCTACATCTTGTTTATGAGCAACAAGTTTACTTTAATTTCTTAAAGTGCTATCAGAAAACGAGGACTAATGAAATAAAAGCACTATAATCATGGTTCTAACGTTATCAACATTTGTATGCTTTTGTTATAAAACAATTAAAATCAACATATTAAACGCTTTTTTTTAATGTGAACACACTACAAGGATAATGATATAAAATTTATGAAAAAATAAATATTACATTTTTATAGATATGATATACATGTTTATGAATTCATTGTGGAACTCATTGATCCTGCAGTCGACTGTTTCGTTCTTTTAACTTCTTTTTCATTGCAGGGTCATTCAGTACAGCAACGTAAGATGGCGGCTGTTGGCCTGTCACGTGCTTCCTCGTATGGCTGTGCTGATCTTCGTTGCTGCTCTCTGAAAGATGGCGTCCATCGTGCGTTTGTTTAAACGACGATGTTGATTTGTAATTGTTTGCAGTCGGTCCCTCATCCGGCGTTTGAACATTTTCTTCAATATCAAACATTGGCAATGGTTGAAATGTAGAGTTTGGTCGACTAGCGCTACGTTCTTCGCCATTTTGTTTCCGGCTGCGCGTTTGAACTGCGCATGCTTCAAAATCAAATACCCATCCGTGGATACACGACATTAAAGATGCATATATTGAAAGTATCGTACATGAACACAGAAATATTGTAATAAACACTGCCAATGCTCGATGTTCTGTTTTGTTTGCTTTGAAACTACACTTTGAAAACCACATATCTGTGTCACAGGGGCCGACGGCGAATACAACACACACAAACAATCCAAGAATACAACCCAGTAATGAAAGAATAGAGGAAACAGTATTTCCGGTGACCTGTCAACGGAAGAAAATATAATTATAAAGATGACAATAGCTTTTGATTGCATGTGCTGCTGCTTGTAATATGTTGTTTTCATCAGATAATCCATATTGATTTTGAATTTCTGTGAATTGTCGTAAATTCCAAGTCTTGAATAAAACTTTTCTTTCGATCATAGAATCAGTGTCTTTTTATTTCTCATTTAAAGAATTTCTGATGAATTAGGTCACTGATCTAAGTATTCAACGAATTTATTTACTTAAAAAGAAGAGGAGCAAGTGGTTTGAAATAAACGAACCTTACCACTCGGTCATGGGCGCCCCAAAAAAGTTTCTCAACTTACATAAAGTTCTATAAGGAAACTTTTATTTTCTATACTTACAGCTCTCTGTATACGCCTAGCTGCCGTCATTTCTAGGAAATAATAGTCTCTTAGTGGAGCTTTTGTGGCGTAAACATAAAGTGAGCAGATACCTGCACTTACGACCTACAAAATATATTATAATTATATACACCAGTAATCAGTTTATAAGAAACTTTTATGCTATGATCGTGTGATACAATCTGCATTTTTACCTACAATTTCCTTTTATTTAATATTAAACACAAAAGAAATTGTAAAATGCCACATCATGTCTCAATTGTAAAATGCCACATCATGTCTTTTACATTGAAATTTGAACACGTTGACTTGCCATGGTATCGAATTACTTTATTCTCATTTTATACAATGTATCAAATGAATTGATACTAATAATATCATAACAATCCGTAAATTAAACAGTCAATAGAAAAATATCGATTTATGCCAAAAGTCAAATCCCGGCTCATCATTTTCATTATGGAATTCATAATTCAGCCCGTAATGCATTTAAAAAGCATTTCAAATGATTTTTCTGTATTATGAATGATTCTCTAAAGTGAGTTTACCGTATTGTGAATGATTCTTAAAGATTTCTTTTTGTATTATGAATGGTTCTTTCAAATGATTTTATCGTATAATGAATGAATGATTCTTAAAGGATTTTACCGTATTATGAATGATTCCTGAGGATTTTTCCGTATTATGAATGATTCTCTAAAGTGATTTTAGCATATCATGAATGATTCGAAAAGCATTTACCGTATTATGAATGATTCTCACAAGGGATTTGACCATATTATGAATGATTCTTAATGGATTTGACCGTATTATGAATGATTCTTAATGGATTTGACCGTAAAATGAATGATTCTCACAAGGGATTTGACCATATTATGAATGTTTCCGAATAGATTTTACCGTAGTTTTAATGATTCTAAATAAAGATTACCGTATTATAGATGATTCTCAAAAGGGAATTACCATATTATTAATGATTTTCATGAGGGATTTTAACATATTATCTATGGTTCTCACCAGGGATTTTACCTTGTCATGAATGATTCTCAAATACAAAACAGGAAAAAACATACCAAAGCCCCGACAAGGAAAGCACCAATGAAATATGGAGGCGTTGATATGTGGAATTCATCTTCTGTAAACTGCAAGGCTAAAAGCCCAGATACAATGAGCAATATTCCCAAACATATCTGTAACAATGAGACGATACCATACGCCTGTCTTACAAACTTTCTGGACGCTACTGAAAATAGAAATACATGTGTATATTAATGTATACTGCTTTTTTTAATTATGCATTTTTTCTGAAAAGAAAAACAACAACAAACAAAAAACAACAACAACAACAACAACAAAAACAACAACAAAACAAGAGCTATTTCCATTTTTTAATGACACTCATTTTTTTTAACTTGGACCACAATGCTTCAGTCTTAAAACAAATGACAGCTAGCCTCGGTGTTGTCATATTTATATGACGACGGAATCATTTTTTCAAATGGTATATAGAGTTAAAGTGTAAACGTTAAAATGTAAGCACTATATAGGCCGGTGCTAGAGAGGGTATTGTGGATACGTGAGAGTCGAGACTTTTTATTATCTATCATGAACAGGCTCAAAAACAAACTGAGTCTGCAATCTTATCTAAATACTAATACCCTGAAACAATACAATCTGGTTTTTTTGTGTACTTAAATAGTGCTGATGGCTTATATTTTCCCGGCATTAATGTAACTATAGTTTGAAATATAAACACTACAAAGTAAAATTAATTCTGCAATGGACAAGGTGATCTTTTAAATAATGTTTAATTCAACTTGTATAATTATTTGTAAACGCGTCGGCCACCACTGTGCTGTCACTTCCTTCGTTTCTGACCTTTTGAAATGAAGTGGATACATATACAACGTAGTTTTGGAAGGGCCTTGGTGCGGTGTTGCTGTTGTATAAGCTATATTAAGACATAAGAACTAAAATAAGCAAGAATAAACTACAACATGTACATTATTTGTGAAAACAGTTAATTTCCTTTCATGTCTTAATAAGACCTGAGCAATGGAATGCTTATTTAATGTTGCTCCCTGTTTAAAAGGATCACGTCAATACCAAATGGTATTTTTGTAATAAATAAAGAACAAATATACATAAAAAATTCGGAGTCTTGAATGATCTCTTTTCATTACAAGTGTGTCTTGGAAGTATGATTACCGATTTACCATATAGTTTTCGGCCTAAGCCTACTTCAAAGATACCAGTATGTAACTTTGTTAATTCATGAAAATGTTTTTGTAAGGTGGAAATGAAAGGAACAAGATTGCAAAGGGAAAACTCCCCGGGAGAAGTAATTATCTCTTGTCTGTTTTTCATTTAGCCGCTGCAGGGAGTAACTCGTGCTTTTATTGATTGAAGGATCCATGTATAAACGCATTTACGTGTGTTATAAATATGTAATTAAATAAAAACGATTGTAGTTAATGATTTAAGTGAAGCTTCAGACTTACGCGTGAACTTTAACTTTAACTTTATTTTCGGTGTCTGCAAGTATGTACAACATGTGTAAAGTATGCAATAATTATGCCGGTAGATCTTCATTTGGCAACTTCCGTAATATCAATTTCTTTATTTATAAATGATGATTGAAGCACAAGGTGGTAAGAATTTACCTCTTTGAAGTTGAAAGGAAGAATGACTTAACAAGCCGAAAAGTAGGTCACTGTAATGTAGCTCATTGAGAGCAACCGAATGATGGAAGTAGTCATACTTCGATATCCTTGGAGTTTTATATTTACTCTATAATGTATGTGTAATTACGTTAACAACCGAAGAATACCGAAGTATGATGAATCAGAAATTACAAACAGTCACAAAAATACGCTGCTTACTTGTGAAAAGTATAATAATTATACAAGACTTCTTAAAAGTGTAACCAGATTACAATTTTTAAGAAAGCCGGGAGCATTATGCACATACATCTTTTAAGAAAGCGGGTAGCATCATGCGCATTATTTCAATCCTTTCTAGACAAGTTACATGAATATTTGTAAAAACCTTAAACTATGTTTGTAAAATAGCATTAAGATATAACCTGACTGATTGGCTTTTTTACTAACAATCTTAAGCAAATGTTTAAATAGATATACACCAGCCATTATCAGTCATTTGTAAGAAAACTTACATCTCTTGGGAAATCTTTCAGACAAATAATGATCGATCAAACACACTGTTTTACAAAAAACAGTAATTCTTCGACAAACCTCCAAAAGTGTTCTTAATAAATAATCCCAATAGTTGCTTGTTTTTCTTTTATCCAAAGGAAAAGCGACAAAACATTTGATCTTTATTTAAGAGGGATTCGACAATAATCACAATCAACACTAAAGAGAGAAAGCAAGAACATTCATGGATTGCAAGAGCAGTAGGAGAAACACAACATTCTTTATTCTAATAAAAACATGTATCAGTAATCTTGAACATATACAATGTGAATGAGGCAACAATCTTTATCTTCACTGAAGAAACATGTGACGAAAATACTAATAGTTTAATAGTTTGCACAGAGAACATCGCAATAATTTTCAACATAATAAATTTATTAGCGGTAACAATTTTTATCTTATTTTAAGTCACTATGACGATAAGACAAATAACATGTCGATAATTTTCGTAAATTGTCATGAAATTATATTTTTTCAATGAAAGATGTGATATTTAAAAAATATGAAATGCTCGTCATTCAACATCGATATTGAAACCAAAGACCTGTATATTATTTAAAAAAAATACTGATTGCCAGCAAATAGAAAAGTCTGACTAATAATTGAAGAAAAATGTTTTCATTGGACGAGTAAGTTTTACAACGGATGATAGTTCTATTTGAGCCGTGTCATGACAAAACCAACATAATGGCTTTGCACAGATGGATCAGACACTGCCATCGCCGTGATCAGGATCATGTTCGTCCAACTCTATTACAGTAGGAATCTGATAGGAACAGCATGATCCTGATAGACTGCGATGCGAGGCTGTTGATCATGCTGGTGAACCCTTAAGTTGTTTTTCGTGACACGGTCTTTAGTTTACTTATTTGAGAAAGTTCATTTATCATAAAACCACATACAATTGTATTTCTATTTTGTAATTTTGAACATGTCCGCAGCACTGATTGCTTTCCAAACTGACACGGTGAAACCTAAAAGCTGCACTACGTTCGATGAAATGAAGGGGAGCGGTAGCCTAGCGATTAAGGTGTCTGCCTCTCAACCCAGGGATCATTGGTTCGAGCACTAATCGAATCACGACAATGTTTCTTCATATGACAACCGTATTAGTTGGTTCCAGGAAGCGTACCCGAAAGTGATTAATATAAGTTGCAAGAGCTTGTTTCGCAGTCGAGTTTAAATAAATATGTTTTAAATTGTTGATTCGATTCAGAAGATACAGTATAGAAGAAATGTTTTAATGCTGACTTTACGAAATAATTGTACACGGATATAAATATTACTTTGAGATACAAAGAAACCGAATAGATATGATCGTATTGGTATGTGGTCTGATATATATAATAATATTTTATAGAGATAAAAAGCTATAAAAATATCATAGTATAGTAACACTTGTGTTTACCTGTAAATTTTGAACAAAAACAAAATTGCTGAAGATTAAGGTGGGAGAAATAAAGTTTGTAGACAAACTCGACGGGTGGAACGATTATCAGAAGTCTGCTAAGTGTAATGTTGTTTGTTACGCAAGAAAAAATGTACGTTCATATTTATTGCTTGCTTAATTCTACAGACTAACAAAGTTAACGCCTTAAAGTAGGTATAGATAGAAAATGATAAAATGTCGTGGGTGTATAAAAACAGAGAATTATTCTATATATTCGAGATGAATTTTACATTCGTATTTGAATAAGTAAAAAAAATGTAACACTGTATGATTTATTTATATACATGTAAATGGTCGTCTATGCGTTCTACATACGTGTATATCTACATTTCAGTTGTACATAGCAGCATGTCGTTTACTTAATAAAATATAGCTATGTAAGTATGATGGTGTATAATTTGTAATCCTTAAAATATGAAAATTGAAACTTGCTTCACTGACGTACACGATTTTACTATTGTTATTGACAAGTGTGTGACTGAACTATACGGTTTCCCTATTGTTTTAACAAGTAAATGACTGAACTATACGGTTTCCCTATTGTTTTAACAAGTAAATGACTGAACTATACGGTTTTACTATTGTTTATGACAAGCTTGTGACTGAAGTACACGGTTTCACAATTTTTTTATTGAGACTAGCATGAACTCGAAATAAGAATGTTATAAGTGTAGATGGCCCTGGTTAGTAGCCGCACGACTCGGATTGTGTAGATGGGCCTAGTTAGTAGCTGCACGACTCGGATTGTGTAGATGGCCCTAGTTAGTAGCTGCACGACTCGGATTGTGTAGATGGCCCTAGTTAGTAGCTGCACGACTCGGATTGTGTAGATGGCCCTAGTTAGTAGCTGCACGACTCGGCTTGTGTAGATGGCCCTAGTTAGTAGCTGCACGACTCGGATTGTGTAGATGGCCCTAGTTAGTAGCTGCACGACTCGGCTTGTGTAGATGGCCCTCGTTAGCAGCTGCACGACTCGGATTGTGTAGATGGCCCCCGTTAGCAGCTGCACGACTCGGATTGTGTAGATGGCCCTCGTTAGCAGCTGCACGACTCGGCTTGTGTAGATGGCCCTAGTTAGTAGCTGCACGACTGGATTGTGTAGATGGCCCTCGTTAGCAGCTGCACGACTCGGCTTTGTGTAGATGGTCCTAGTTAGTAGCTGCACGACTCGGCTTGTGTAGATGGCCCTCGTTAGCAGCTGCACGACTCGGATTGTGTAGATGGCCCCCGTTAGCAGCTGCACGACTCGGATTATGCCAAAGAGTGTTAGAAGACACATACTAAAAAATATGATGAACGGAAACGAATGATCATGTTGGAATCCTAAATTCAACAGAACAGTGTTAAATTGAATCACTGTTTCGTGATATATCAAAGAGGAAAAATCGTAAATTTAAAATGACATTGTAGGCAGCAAATATTAAACAGGAACATAATTGCTGAAGATTGAGGTGTGATAAATAAAGGTTGTAGACTAACTCGACAGGAGGGACGATTATCAGAACTTTGCTTAGTGTAATATTGTTACAAGATGAAACACCCGGTCATATTGATATCTTTATTAAAAGAATATCATGT